TCGGTGCCATTTGGTTAGGGATACCTCTGCCCTTTCTCATTGTTGACGTTTCGATGTACTTGGTGCGTGAAGGACATTTTCTATAGCTGGCCACATGGTTTTGGTTACAGTTTATGCAGATGATGGTCTCGCTGCTACAGTTTTTGGAGTCGTGTGGTTCACCACACTTGACACATCTTGGGCTGCGTCTACAGTGCGTGCTGGCATGTCCAAATGCTTGACATTTGAAGCATTGTATCGGTTGTCCATCAGATTTGAATTTTTCAACTGTGAATGTGTGGTGTAGTAAAGTTCTCACTTTGTTGAAAGTTGCCAATGAGGTTGAAGGGTCAGCTGACACTGCGAAAATAGGCAGTTTAATGGATGCAGGGGGGTCTTTGACCTTTTTAACGAATTGCCGGACAGCAGTGACCGGAATATCATTAAGCTTCAATTCCGTTAAAATGTCCTGTTCGCTGAAGCAGGATGGAAGACCTTTTAGTATGAATTTCTTGGGTTTATCCTGTTTGAATCCATACGTGTAGAATTTAATGTCTCTGTTGGTTAATATATCTGTCACTGCTGAGTGGTCGGCTCTCGACTTGAGGTGAATGGCCGAGGTTTTACCTTGAAACTTTATTTTAAAATCCTTGTTTTTGACGACTGCTTGGATTGATTTGATCAGTTCCATTGTATCAAGGTTGATGTTTTCGATAATGATTGGTGGTGTAGGATCAGCGGCTTGGTTTTCCGTTGCAGAGGAGTCATTTCCCTTCAAATTAGCAGGTGACGAATTGTTTGGAGTGGACAATGCCTCAGCGGTTTTATTTTTCTTTGCCATTTTTTTTGGCGGGCTCATTGTTAGTCTCCTCTTATTCGAGTTCAGTAGGGTTTCGACAACGCGCTTATTATAATAATATAATTTCATTAGTAGTATATCTTCAATATATTGATTCATTTTTTCCATTTGAAATTCCACAAGATGTGTCTTCTCCCTTCTGCTCATTCTACAGTGGGCTAAATCTCAGTTAAACAAATAAAAAACAAAAAGCATTCAGACACCACAGCATTGCGAGGGTTGCCCTCCCTCTCTTAGGATGCAGTACTACGATGCCGCTGGGGTCACTCAAACCCCCAGAACTGAGCCTAGTCAATCCTCTTTGATTCATGACGTAAAATTTTCCAGTAGAAACAAGAATGGTTGACATGAAAGAACTAGTGAGTGATATTCTCCACGAAATTGTTGGGGAGATCGACATAAATTGCTTAGATAAATTAAATATCGTCAGGATAAACAATGGCATCTCCACTATCAACGGTGATCTATGGTTTTACAGTAAATTAGATGCCTGGAGAGAAGTCATAGCACCTGAAAATAACGATGAAACCTCCCAAGACATATTGGAATATTATTTAAGAAGAAAAAAAAACTATGTCTCTGGATCGAACGAGGATAACGTACAGAAGGTGAGTGACAATTAATTAAAAAAAATTCGATGAACATCTTCTGAGACGCGAGTTAACCAATAAAATTCCCAGGCCATTCAGTCTTTGGTAAAAGCAAGTGAAAACTGGAGCATAAAACTAGAGAGTGGTTGCCTTCAAAGGGAGAGAGTCTGTTTCTCTTTAAATCATCACTCAATCATCACAAGTGTCATTAAAAAAATAATAATTGACAATATTCACCTGCCACAGAAGAATCGAACGATTTTCCTCCAAGTGAATAACGACCCGGAGTCGAATCTCACGACTTTTCGACTCCAGGAGCTCAAAAATTTTGCTCAGAATATTTTTAGACTCCAAGGATACGACATAACAAATACTTCTCCAGAGAAATACCTCCTCACAACTAACAGTCACGGATCTATAGAGGCTAGCTACAAAAGATATATCTGCAATTTCGTCCAAGATGCACGATCGAATGTCTACAAAACAAACGAAACCCGCGAATCTTACTTGAAGAGGCAGATTGCAATGCTGAAAATATTGAGTGAAATGAGGGAACCAGGAAGAAAAGATCTTGACGGGAGAATGAGAAGTATTGCAGAGGCTACTTTGAAATTTGAAATACTGGGAGTTAAGCCCCATTGCCGCAGCTTCATCGAAGTTTCTGACGATTCCCGGCTATCAAATTTTACAATCAAAGGTGGGGCTTTTGTGCTGTATAATGTGGCGAGGATTCAAGCAATTTTTCGAAAATTTGAGGAGGAGTACTCACTCCAGACTCGTGAAGCCTTCCAAAATGTGGATCAAATCGATTTTAGCAGACTTTCGTTACAGGCAAGTTAAAGTTTTTCATACGAATGATAAATACGAAGGGATATATATAATTATATAAAATATATATATATATATATTATATAATTGTTTATATAAATCATGTGTCACATTGTAAAATCCAGGATTAAGCCTTCGAATCAATCCAGGAATACCTATCTACAATATATATTACTCTTGCAGGGAGAGTGGAATCTTGTTTATAATTTTATACTGACCTATCCCAAAGTGCTAATGAACTCAGTGCACCACGAGGAATTGCTGGAACTATGTCCCCAAGTCCTGTGCGCGTTCTTGTCGCGTTTAAGTAGAAAGTTCAGTGTCTACTACCACCACACTCGAATATTAACGGTAAGGGAGTGAAATAAAATCATCATACTAGAGTTTTCTTGTAATTAGAGTGTTTATTCCTTCAGGAGGAGCGTAAGCATTTAATTCCGATCATGTTGGCCCGACTGTCCCTGCTGAAAGCTCTTCTGATCGTTTTTCATCACGCCCTGGAGGTATTAAACATCACCCCAATACCACAGATGTAAATCACAAAGAAGAATAAAAAGACAGGAAAAATCATCAACCGAAGGCTCGCCATTCCTTTTGCGAAATTCTTATTCCTTTATTTTATATTTTTTCGAGGACCTGCTGCCTGGCACACGGTCTATCATGATCCATCCAGCATTATTGTAGTTTCAATTTTTTTAATAGCCCTACGTCATTAAATTATTGACCGATTTATCGACAGAAGCTTCGGATGAAGCGGCTTCTGCAGTTTCTGTCGTTGCATTTGGAACAGTTTTTTTCGGGTTTACAGGCTCTGTGGGTTTTTCTGGCAAGATGAGCTTGTCATAATGACTCTGTGTGAGGGGTAAGTGAGGGGCGATGCAACTGGGTTCGACGAAAAGAGTAGGTGATGCCTGAAAATTTAAGGAAAATTTACTCGAACCCTTTGAGATACGAAGGATTTCATAAAATCCTTAAGTCATTTGTGATCTTTACAATTTTTGCCTTCTGTTTCTATTTATACGTCCATACGTGTGTTTTAGGGAGACGATCTAGACCTTTTAGGAATAATAACGAAAATAATAACGTACGTCAATATCCTTGACTTGTGCTTCCCTCGAGGTGTATTCCCTGAGAATATAATTTTTTCCAAATTCGTGGTAGAGTCTAGTGTCGTTTATCTTCAGCATTACGTTGTCTATCCGCAAGAAATAACGTAGGAGGATAAAGAAACTTCCAGGCATGACACGCTGAATAAACAAATAAATAATTTATGATCAACGGGTTAATGTTAAATTACCATAATTACTCGAGTAAAAATCCTTACTATTTTCACTGAGAGTGAAACTACTCCATGGTCGTGCAACTCGTCCTCGAAGAGAGTGAGTTCTTGATAAAACCGAATATGCTCTTTTTCTTTCAACTTTTCAACGTTAATCCTCTCTTCAGTTTCTTCGATCGTCACACCTTCCATCGTTCCCATGTAGTCAGTTGTGAAGGTCCAATCGAAGGGTTTCACTTTTTCCTCTAGATATTCTTTACAATCAGACCTGTGGCCAGACAAAAATCAACTTTCTACAACTCGTTTTAGAGATAATTAACCGTAAAATCGTTTATTCTTTACCTAGATTCCTTCCAGGCTTCTGCACAAGCCAACTGAAGATGAATTTTACCGTTCGATACACGTTTTAATGCATCCAAAGCATTGAATTCTATTTTAGCCCCATTCTTGTGTTGTAAATAGAGAATATTATTCGGAAACACCATGTCTGGCATGTGAGGCATCTCCAAAGCGCTGTTGTACCTGAATAAATCCATATTATCAAGAACTAATAGTTAATCAAGACGAACGGAATTTTAGAAATCTCTATGAGATTGACTTCTCAGAATTGAATGAAGAAATAAAAATTTCTGCAACGAAATAACGAATGAGTTAAGATTCTCTGGTAAAATTAATTGTCTTGGGATTGTATTTTCATAGCCCTGAGGTACTTACACACAGAATTGACACGGTTGCGGATCATCCCCACAGGACTCTTCATTTTTCGAACACTTAGAGTGCAAAATATGAGACTTGGTGTATTTTATCCGCCAGGGATCAAAAATATGCTCTTCCTCGTTAAGAGGCAGTGGAAAAATCTCGATTCCACCGTTCACCGTTAGCATGGGCATCCTTCTAAAAATGTATGTCTGATAAATGTATATCTGAACTGTATAAATCTATCTTGAAGTGTTTGTATTTTCCTAATAACCTCTTTATCATAATTGGATTGAGTTCCAAAGAATAATTTTCGAGATTCCATAACTGCGTGACAGTATTTATTACACATCATAATGTACTTACGAGTGTTATAAAGATTGGTCGATTGAATATCCAGGATTATTATCAAAACTGACAAGTGACTGATGGAAGATGGAAAAGATGTGGGCAAAATGCGGATGATAGACGGACGATTCCATCGCAACGACACGAATATTGCGCGGGAAATAGAAAAAGGCTCCAATCTTGAATATTTATCGAATAAATACTGCAGATTTGAATTAATTCAGGGGCCAGAACGTGACGTGAAATAGAATGAATTCCATTTTCTTTACATAATGAATTGCTCTCGAAAATTATGGATTACATTATTTATGGAGGAAAATTGAATTTTTTTTGTAGCCCATTGGATTTACCAAAAAATAGGTGTCGACTTACGTCATTTTACCATGAACGACTCGCTTTAAATATGAAATTTATTTAATTTCAATAAATATTTTCTCTGTGAGTAGTAAAGTCAGTCGCATTTGGAAAATAAAAGGAAAATTTACTGTACCAATCATAAGGCTTACAGCCCGGCCTTCTCGCGATCTAGTGATTTTTCCCCCCTAGAATTCCCTAAATTTTGACGAGATAATTGAGTTTTACGGTATTACTAATTACGGCCAAAAAAATATGTCAAAATTAGGTCTCAAAGGGGAATAATGGTGGGGGGAGTTTAACGAATATTGATTTATAAAAATGAAGAAATTTGGTTGAATGTATTTGTTTATGATATTAATTTGATTACTAGCTCATAGGACATTGATAGGTAATGATAATTAACTGTAGCAAATGAGGGAATTTTTTCTTCTTGGATAAATGGACTGGGACTTGCAAAAATGACGTGGCAGTCTGTATGATTTTTCAGTTTTTATTATGTGGAAAATGACACAGCTCAGAACTTCATTCTGTGTGGATATTGGCTACTGCGAAGTCCAAACATTGCTGACAAATAGGTGAAGAGCATCTTTTTGTCTTCACGTTTCTTGATAGCGGCGACGATGAGCTTGTCGACAATCTTCTGATCAGACTTTCTCTGATCGCTGGGTTTGTACTCCTCCTTCTTCTTGCTGAAGATGTCACCCTCCTCCTTTTTGGCACGCTTGTCACGTTTCCTCTTGAAGTACTCGTCGTTGAGGTTCTGTGGGAGCTGCACTCCGGACAAATCGATCTTCGTGGAAGTGGCAATCACGTAGTTCTGGCTAACACGACGAAGGGGACAGGCATTGATGAGGAATGGACCTGTAATTTGAGATAAATCAAAATATTTATAAATATTTATAATAATAAAATTGATGATTTCTAAAAATCATATTTCAATCTCGAGTGAAAAATAATAAAAATAATATCAATTGTACTGACCATTGACAAGGAGAAGTCCACTCTTGAGAATCTTGAGAAGAACAACGCGTTTGCCCTTGTGTGGTCCTGCCAAGAGGATGCAAACTGTTCCAGGTGTCAATGTTGGTCGTACATAACGTGAGTGATCACGGAATGTTTTCTTGGCATGATGAACTGTCACTGGATCAGTTGTTGGATAATTTGCACGTCTCTTCTGAAGACGAACGATACGAGTGCCTCCGTTCTTCTCACCATTAATTTTCTTCTCGATCGTCACTGGCTTCTTGGGCTTGACCTAATGAGCAAATCTATAAGTTTTCGAATAATATCTCTGACTTTAAAAAATCAGGGCAAAATGCTCGCAGACTTTTTAGTGATTCTCCTTCTAAATTCCGCAAAAGTTTTAGAAATTGAAACTTCGTTATTTCTCTCAGGTTCACAGGCTTAGGTTTAATCCTTCATTACTGAATTGTTCAATTGAAAAATCGTAGGGGACTTACAGTCTTTGGAGTTTTCTTGTCAAGGAACTTGTATATAGCTTTCTTGTGGAACATGCGAGTTCTGCTGAACCGATAAATTCCATTTCCAAGGTCGTAATTCCGGGGACGACCCTTCTTGGTAGCCTCAGCAGCGGTCTTCGCTGGCGTTTTTGCCTTAGCATCCGCCATCTGACATTCAGAAAATAGAATAAAAGAAATTTCTCACTTTTACAATTAAATAACATTACAAAATAATATTTCCACAATAATCCGAAAGATCCACGCAAATTTCCTAACCAACAGCTGTCGAATAAAAATTTACAGCATTATTTATTCTGTTTATATCCAAGGAATATATAACTAATAATGGAGTCGAGGAAACGAATTATAGGTTATGATTGTTGTTAATCCATTCTATTATTCTCGTTAGAGAAACGATCACTGCATCCCTTGAAATGTAATACAGAGAACTTGCAGCACTTTTGTTAATAATTAAATTCACGTTGAAATCACTGATGAATGAAAGAAATGAAGGGAAATGTCATCCAGTCGGTGTGACGACTAGGCTCTCTTCTTGTTAATATTTACCACAGATTCTAGGTTTTGGAAACAAAAATATTATTATTGGCTGCAAGAAAAATTATCGTATTGCTGGTATTTGTGGTTTTTTGGAGTGGATTTGTGGAAAAATCAAGGATTTATTCGGATTATTTGAGAGCACTTTTCACGAACATCGCTTACCACGAGTAGAGAAACTGAAAAGAGATCTCTAGGCGCAGGGTTACCAATTTTATGGTCCCTAGGAACCAAAATTGAGATTATCTCGATGGTACCTAGATTATGGACAAGAAGAATCGATTTTTTAAATCCAGAAAACAGTTTTCTCGCTTTACATGAATAAAAAATTGTTAATGCGTACCAGTGATAGCTCTGGATTCGAAATATTCAAATGATTAATCGAAATTCGCAAGTAAAATGGCTCTCCGGAATTTTTTATTTTCATGTTCTAGATTTATCTTCAGTTATTCTCATTTTTACGCGCGGTATTTAAATAAACAATAATCTAACGGATTTACAATAGGAAAATTGAAGATAATTGAATTCCGATACTCAATAAAAATATGGCTTTTTCAATTTTAAATTCTCCACAAATCATATTATCATTTTTCTACTGTGACAAAATGATTATAATAAACATTTTGATTCATTGAGACCTTAAAAATTTGTTAAAAGTTTTCATGAGTTGAAAAAATAGCGAATACAAACAATAATATTTTATTAATGGATTAAGACAAGTGTTAATTATCTACAATTATCATTATTTTGACTGGTGGTCATCAGGTTATGATTACTGCCATATCAAAATCATAAAGCATGACAGTAGGTTATAAATAAACTCTCACCGAACATTCCCTCATCAAGAATGGAGCTGTTAAAATGTTTAAGCAAGGAATTATTGCGGAGAAACCATACACATGGTATTCGGCAATTTTCCGCAAGTGTTTTCAAACAAAATCAGACTGAAAGTCAATCAAAAAATGAAGAAGAAAGAACGACACACTTTGGATTCGAGACTGTCAAAGAAAGTGAGAAAGGGAAGAAAGGTAATTATTTAATTAATCTGTTCACGTTTTTCTAATAATTCTGCGTCTTCATTCACCATTTCACTTGCCATCGGGGAGAGTGAAGTAAAACGATCCCTTCAGATTACTCTGTTGTAATATTCATGATAATATATTGAATTAAATTCTCTGAATTCTCATTCCACAAATTATTTATCAATTTATTAATTAATTTGAGCTTTATGTTAATTATTCATTTAAGCTTTAGATAATTTCCATTGATTTGCAGTTCACACTGTCTTCGAGCAAGTAGCGAATTCGTACGATTTAATGAACGATGCAATGAGTCTGGGTATTCACAGGATATGGAAAGACATGTTCATTCAGGAGTTGTCTCCAACCCACGGCAGCAAATTGCTGGACATGGCCGGTGGCACTGGAGACATTACATTCAGATATCTTCATTACTTGAACACTCGTATGAACCCTAAGGGCTTGAAGAGCCACGTCACGGTGTCTGATATCAATCAGAACATGCTGGATGTTGGTAAAACCAGGGCCGAACGCTTGGGATACACTGTGCAGAAGGGGTATGACATCGCGTGGCTTCAGGGAGATGCTGAGAAATTACCCATCAAGGACGAGTCGTACACAGCGTACACCATTGCTTTCGGAGTTCGTAATTGCACTCGAATCGACAAGGTAAAACGCAGAGGAGAATTTCAGTGACTGATGCCTTCTGAAGACTCTATTTCTCAAACGAAATTCATTTTTATTTGCAAAATCAACCCTTTAAATTAATTTCCTCATTTATCCAATGGGTTTCAGGTTCTCGAAGAAGCTTACAGGGTTCTGCAGCCTGGGGGACGATTTTTATGTCTCGAATTCAGTCATTTAACAAATAACTCTCTGCAATGGTAATTTCATCATTTTTTAACGTGTAAATATATTGGTATTGGTTAAATTGTTATTTAAAAGAGAGGATCAGAATCTTGGTGATTTACGATTCCAGGGCATACGATCAATATTCCTTCCAAATGATCCCTGTAATGGGAATGCTTCTTGCCGGAAAATGGGAGCCATACCAATACCTAGTGGAGAGTATTCGCAGATTCCCAAAGCAAGAGGAGTTCAAAGTAAGAACTTCAATATAAACGAAAAAACGTATTCTGAAATGGTGTAATTCTCACTAGGATCCATACATTCTCCACAACAATGCTGAGAAAAATTTCTCTCTCTAGTGAAGATATATCAAAAGTAAAAGAACCATGTTTTATATACTTTTGATAAGGGTAAAATTGCCGGCAGTCATTGTTGTGAGAAATCCCACTATAAACTGGATTATGACATTATTTTATGGATTTTTCAGAGTATAAATTTGTGGATAATTTTTTAATTTCTTTCAGGAAATGATCGAAAATGCAGGCTTCAGACATGTGACGTATCGCAACCTCACGTTCGGAATCGTAGCCATCCACTCAGGCTTCAAAATTTAATCAAATTGAGACACTGTCCCACCAAATTATTGAATTAATTACTAAATACTTGTGTCAATTGTTGTTGAATAATTATTTGAATACCCATTGGAATGAAAGAAATCCGAGAAAACAGGGAGAAATAACTCCAATTGTGGTTTCCTTTAGAGACAACTGTATTAGTATTTAGTATTGAGGAATGCAGCTTTAGACAGAGCAGTTTAAATATACACACAGGTTACAGTCCATCCAAAGGTTTCACAAACATTAAATTAATACGGTCCCTCTAATTTTAAAATGATTCTTTCTCGGGGTGTCTCAATCCAAATCCTATTCTGCCTTCTCTCCACTGAATTTTCATTGCTATTAGCCTACTGTTTTTCGAAGAGATGTGGACCAGTCTTACCTTCGATGGAAGCAATTTTTCTAGAGGTACATTCATATTCTCTCTTCGAAATTTAATGCCCATCAGTATTTCCAATTACATTAATTTTAAAATCACCCAATTCCAATCGCAATTTCCTCAGAATACGCAATGAAAACTTTCATTGAGACACGCCGTGATTTTTTCATGGCATCTAGGCCACATTGTCTTTATTTAATTTAATGATCTTCTTTTCGGGTGCAAAAGATTTAAAATTGGAGAATGCAACGAGCCTCGAGAGAAGTGAGGCTCGGCATATTATAAATTTTTCTAAGTGTTATATTTTTTTTTCATTTTTCATCATAAAAATTACAGCTACACCACGTATGGAGATTGAAATAAGTTGTCGACCATCTAACGCCTCAATCGCAATTGAATTTTGGATAATGAAGCTGGTACAGAGAATTTATCAATTTACCCAGTATTTTTAATATATTTTTTTCACTCCTAACAAAATCGAAGCACTGCCAGAATATTTCTCAAGTAAATTCAATGATGCAGCTACAGATTATAAAATCCCTCCAAGTGGAAGTGTAAACGAAAAAGGAAAAAAAAAACGAGGGGTAAATAAATGTTATAAAATTTGACTCATTCAACAGATATTTCCTACAGTTCTTTAAATTCGATGGGTCGTTGATAATTATCGTTAAAATTTTTCAATTACACATTATAAAATACTAGACTTTGTTTTCTACACCTGTTTGAATATATTCTCCTATCCTTTCTCCATTTTATGATCCAATGATTTCTTCAAGCGTTCACATATCAAGTGGAGTGCAAATAATATACATATTTTATAAATCATCTATATAAGGACTTTGAATACTTAGTCTAGATTTTTCTTAGATAATACCGTAGCCTTCTGCAATGCGAGAGCATTTCCTCTATTTTTTTTTTATTCTGTTAAATAAAAAATTTATCATCAAAACGTTTTATTTTTATGCATAATGCAATGTTTTTTCTGGACCGCACAGAAATAAAAGTGAACCGCAGTTATGAATTGCTATACTTTCCCTTTAAGTTTTCAATACGATAAACGTCTCGTATTGAAGATCAACAGAGAATCCATAAGTCATCACTCGTAACGAATAAGATGATTGAAATATGCAACGTCATTTCGAGATAAAAAGCCTAAGGATTTTTTTTTTGTCAAAGTTCCCACGGTCACATCCTTGTGCCAATCACAAAATTACAACGACGGTAACGGATATTGATTTAATATCATGATATAATATTTAATCTTAAACACTATTTACTATTGATATTCGGTTTTTTTTTGTTATGCAGATAATAGACGAGCGCATAATAACTGAATCGATAAATCATTAACTAGAAAAATAATAGCGAAAAAAATACTAAAATAAATTGAATGCCATATTGAGTCGGTGTAATGAACTTTTTAATATTCGTTACCATTGATAAAAACAAAAATTCAATAAAACCGAGAATTGAAAAAAAAAAATGATAATGGTTAATAAAAATACATCGTTGGATCAGAATGACCAATTTTGATTGAGGGACTGTTATTCCAGATAAGTCGATGATTGCTGCTCATGCCATCAAATTTGTTGCATTTTATAAATGAAAGAGAAAAAAAAATGAGGTTTGCGTTCATCATTGGCGACTGGTTATTCACAATAAATTTAAATTTCCTCTCCCCTCCCAGTGAATGACAATCCAACGAATTTACCGAACTGTCAGTTGCTGTCGCTTTGTACATAAACTATAATGTAATTTTTCATCTCCTGAAATTCTAATATGAATTAAAAACCGCCAGCATTGAACCCAACCGTAGATATATACCTAATATAAAACAAGAACACAACAAAGTTTTTTTTTTGCACACGCTGTTACATTTGAACATGTACACTCGTACGCATTTTTTTTTTCATTTCTTTTTTTTTCAAAGTAAGTCCCCCTACCCTCAGATTTCAGTTATTTTTTCTACACATTTTATACTCGGCCTCACGAGTAACCATTTAACAACATCAGGATGATACCATCGATATTTAGTCTCTTAATACATTAGTCTCGATGCTAGGACTCTCTTTTTCTTTCTCTCTCTCTCTTTCGCTCTCTCACTTTCTCTCGCCCTTTCTCTCAAAAACGATGAATTCATTCAGTTATATACCGGTTAATTTATTTTAAAGGATGGTAAATGTCGAGATGGAAAGAATTGTAGGGGAAAGGGAGGGGGTGGTTAATTTTTTTCCTGTTTTTCGTTTGGGGTACAGAGAAGTTGTTGTTGTTATTCTGTAGCTTATCCACTTTTGAAGAGAAGAATTGCCACCTGGCCCAGGTAGAAGTAGATGAAATGTCTTGTTTCATGCGTTACGTAGCTGCCAAAGTTACGTCCAACAATGCAGTGCCACGTTGGATTGTACTTTTTGTCAAATTCCTTCTTGATATACGCTGCAATATCCTGAAAGCATCAACAACAGAAGTAATTGAATTGAATGAACAGCTACGGACTGGTAAAGTTGAAATTGAGAGACAGAATTTTAGGAGAAAAATTCCCACTAAAGCATCTTTGACATTTTCCCGTAAAATTCATCACTTCTCAGTGAGCTGCGATCCCTCGATAATTATATTTACGTTTCAAAAATGAAATAAAACTCCCTCACCAGGTCGATATCAGTCCACTCTCCACTCAATCAAATTACCCCTGAATTCATAACAACATTACCTTCTCGATATTGTATTTTTCTAGGGCCTGGGTTGCACAATCGACAGCATCCTGCTGCATCTCCTCCGACATGTCAGCATTTTTAATAACAGCTTTACGGTCCGTCATGTTGTATGGCCTAAAACGATCACTGCAATTAATATCCCCGTTGTCACGCATTATCTCCAACCAACTCGAATGAAACAAAAAAAAAAAGCATTTGCTATGAACCTGTCCAAGTCGTCTTGACTGAAATGTCCTCGATAATAAATTCAAATGAAAAAGAAAAAAAAAACAACAGTGGGTGAAAGAGTACAGCACAAACTCCGGATTAATCAATTTTGAGGTAACCACGATCTCGAAGGCACCATTGACACACAAAAAATGACGGCCACTAAGAACCCCTCAAAAAATAAAACCCTTTGAGAAATAAACCGTAACGGTTGTCATAGCAACCTCATCATTCAACTCTTCCATCGAACGAAAATGGCAAGGAATTTCCCCCCGCAAAACAAACAATATTAGTCAATGTGAGAAACGCGAAATTCCTAAGAATAGATCAAACATTATCTTCACCATTGATTTAACAATTTCTGAGACCTTGAAATTATTCAAATATCGACTGGCAATGGCACAAAATTTTCACATGAATATCAATGGCCCACCAGATCCCGCCATATCCCACTCCTACAAACACAAATTTTTCATTAATAATGTGCATACAAATCCCTCAACCCAATCGATTCACAAAGTATATATAAAAAAAAACTTCCCATTGCCCCCATAAATACGGAAGTATCGATGGAACCGATAGGCGGCTAAAGATGGAACTCGTGCAGAAATAAAAGGAAAATAATAAATTATAAATACATCGGCTTTCTGGATAAAAGTCACTGAATGAACCTGGTTACTCGTGATATCTTAACAGTAGCGTGGATATCAAAAGCCGGCATTACAACCGATAATTAACTGACTATCAACAAATATAAATACGGACGGGCTTGTTAATTCAGGTGTAATGCAATACCGATGACCGAGTAATTGGCAATAACTCTGAGCCACTGGAAATACGGACAAAAAAATAATATTGAAATTGCTCCTGATATTGGTGGGTGGTAAAGGGAGGTGAGGAGGGGTATGAGGGGGAGGAGGGCGAGAAACGCGGGAGGATGGCTCGTTTTGTCGATAGGTGGAAAAATAAAAATAGAAATTAGATCGCACGCGATCGACAAACTAGGTCGATTAATTGGCCAACCTGATTGGTTAGTAATTTGAAAAAATAATTAACTCCCTCCCCGATAAGTTTTGATGAATATTGTGGCGAACCCAGTCTGCGGGTGTGTGTACGATTACCCTCTGTTGTATGAGATTTTGACGTACATGGATATAGGTCCCCGGCAAAAGGCACCGATCAAGTGCAGAAATTTTTTTTTTTTTTTCTCACAATGTTGAGGAATTGTAACACGTTTTTTTTCCAACGTACCTCTCTTTGGTTATTCACTCGGGATAATTTTGGGATGATTGCCGCTGGTATTGTGATTATTTCACGATTTATTGGCCTTCAAGTTTGTCTGGATCAACGATGATAACTTGTTTTAAAGTCGGAACAAATTTTTCCGTACACGAGCCGACACCGAAAATTTGTCGTATGGACTGAAGATTGAAACGCCTGGGTATCGTTGAAAAACCACCGTTTCCTCAATGCTCATTGGCTCATCCGTAGGGTCTTCTATCAGGGTCTTCTATCGGACCACAATCCACTGCGCCCGGCAAACGCGGGACAAAACAAAACAGAGAAGATATTCCGGGGGCTTCTGTTTTTCAAATAAGTGAATGCCAATTGCTTCTCACTGGCTATCCTCAATTATTTTACCCTCCCTCTTGCACTGTAGAAACTTTTTTCACGTTTTCATTGTAATGATGTTCTATACCCCTTTCGCAAAAATTCACTCACTCATTCATTCATTTTTTTCATTTTTATTTATCATCTTTATGGTACACTTCTGATTGGATTGATGTGAAAAAATATAGCCTTTTGCATTTTGGAATTGTTTAAGCACTCCGGAAGTTTCATGGCGATGTGAACTTTTTTCAGCATTTTTTATAAACTTTTGAAAAGAATTTAAAAACTGCGAAGGAATTGCATGAAAATTATTGAACTACCACGAAAATTGGCGAGGCATTGAATAATGACGAAATGCAAGAACCTTCGATTTTTTTCACGCCAATTCCATCAATTATTTGCCAGGAAAATAAAAAAAAGTGATTATTTAATTATAGTAATCGTCTATATCTTTCACAGAACATTATATTGAAGCATATGGAATCAATTTCGACCTACATTTCGCCAAAAAAATGATAAATCAATCCCATAATAATCCTTTTGTCTTAGAGACAGTTTTCCAGAAAATACTTAAAAAAATGAAAAATTTTGAAAATCCCCGCCTTTTATAAAACCGGCAGCGCTGTAACCCGCCATTTTCTAAACCGAGGGGCTCCAACTTCCTCTCCCTCCCCAACCCTTTAGATATCCGCCATTTTGTTTTTATTTCTCATGATAGAGTCGTTGAAGGTGCATCGAGGTGGAATTTTTTACATCCTGAGAAACAAAACACTGGACAAAGCTTAATCCTAAATTATCCATCGAAAACTTATTTTCTATTTGAAACACTAACAACAGTGAATAAGAATGTCTCACGGTGGTGGTAGAAACGAATGCAGAATATACGTTGGCAATTTGCCACCAGATATAAGGACCAAGGATATACAGGACTTGTTCTATAAATTTGGTAAAGTAACTTTCGTGGACTTGAAAAATCGCAGGGGACCACCATTCGCATTCGTCGAGTTCGACGATCCGAGGTGAGTTTAATCAGTTGTCTCATCATTCTGCAGCGTCATGCATCGTTACGATTGAGTTTGATAAGGAGAAAAAAAACTTGTATGAAGAATGGAGGCGGTTGTAGGAAGCTAGAAATATTGAGGATCCCCTGACCTCTTTCAATTCAATATTCCCTATTTTTTCGCGTCCAGATGAGTACTTCTAAGCCCAACGATTAAAACGTGGAATTTTAACTCCCCATTAACTTCAAAAATAATTATTCAAATTAATACGATCGTGGCTACAAATAGGTTTGTTAATTATATTTTGTATATTTTTCTAGGCCATTTTGTCGGTACCTATCGAATATTCTAATTCAAATTAATTGAAAACCGCAAAATTCATCAACATTGCTAACATTCCACGTGATAAATCCATTCATCATCAGGATAATTTATTCATTTAGATATTTGAAAGTCAAACCTATTTAAATGCGAGAGTTGGATACATAGACATTAATAAATCACCCTGATATGGATAATTTAACCCATTAATATGTTGATAAAAAAAAGGGGGTCATTGTTTTTTTATTGGTTTTGAGTAGAAAATGTTTCAAAACTAATAATAATTACTTGTGTTAGATAAATTCACTAACAAAAACAATCCAAGTGAATTGATTGGACAGAAGTAAATTAAATTAGGTGTAGTAATTTTTTATTCCAGTGCAGACAAGTCGGAGATATTTAATTATTATACTGGCACTTGTAAAAATCAATTTTTCATCAATTGATAATTTATTTAATGAATGTTATCAGTATATACCACTAGTGAGCGAACTGTTAATTCATTATCAAAGAAGCCATAGTATAGGAGGAATAAAGGCAATTCTCCACTTGTTATTGCTGTGAGACAATACGCATGCGCCTGGAAATCAGGTTTTCGAGGAATAGTACATGAAAGTTGGGAATTTTTTCAGGGATGCTGAGGATGCTGTGCACGCCAGGGATGGGTATGATTATGATGGATACAGGCTGAGGGTCGAGTTCCCCAGAGGTGGAGGTCCGAGCAATAATTTTAGAGGTGGACGAGGTGCTGGGGATAGTGGACGTGGTGGACGGGGGGATGTGGGGAACTCCAGGGGACGGGGACCTCCGGCCAGAAGATCTCAGTACAGAGTTCTGGTCACTGGGCTGCCACCCTCTGGTAGCTGGCAGGACCTCAAGGACCACATGAGAGAGGCTGGTGATGTCTGCTTTGCGGATGTTTATAAGGATGGCACTGGCGTTGTCGAGTTCCTCCGGTATGAAGACATGAAGTATGCTGTCAAGAAACTCGATGATTCCAGATTCAGATCACACGAGGTTCGTATGCAGTTTATTGTATAATTTATTATATAATAATAATAATTTGGAAATTTGTTTTTGAAGATCACACAACTTTTTTTTATTACTTTTATTACCTGGGAACTTTTGAAGTTTTATATATTCTAGATACTTTGGAGATATTTGAGAGACAGCTTACAGAGGAGGATTTAATTATATTTGGAATTACCTAAAGCCGTGAATTTTGTATACAATTTCAAAGTTTTTAAAGATTGGCAATTTGATTAAAATTTCAATGTGGTTCTATTATTATCCTGAAGGATTCCTCTCTGGGTAGCAGTTGCTTATAATTCCGTTTCTCCTCAAAATTGATCTTCCCTTATTTATCTCAGTGCGAAATAGGTATAAAATGTTAAATACGAAAACATACTTTTAGGGAGAAGTTGCCTACATTAGAGTGAAAGAGGACCACACAACAGGTGAGCGTGGACGCAGTGAGGATCGTGAGAGAGGAGGTGGTCGCAGTCGTTCTCGCAGCTACAGTCCGCGTCGTCGTGGCTCACCAACGTATTCACCACTGCGACGTAACTACTCGCGCTCACGATCACGCTCGAGGTCTCGTTCTTACGACTAAGTGTGTACGTATATACCCATATATGTCTCACATTTGATAACAATAACCGAAAGTTCACACGTTGATTTGCTTTTGACACGATTTCATGATTTTCTAACTTGAAAAGAAAAAAAAACCGATAAACTGCTGAAGATATTAAACTTATTGCTTAACTTTCCAATCCAAAAATTGAGACAGACTGGCAATTAAGTAACACCAATTTGATATTTTTATTACTGAAATCATCAATCTCTGTTTTTTTTTTCATCGCGAACATGTATGAGTGACGAAAGGAATAGATAGATATTTTTTTAAGGCAGAGTTCGAGTGGTTTTCATTCTAATTGTGCCAGATTGATTATCCATGGGTGGGATATTCCCAGATCGTTCATGAATTATTTCTCCCATTTCTCGGGTGATTTTGTACATTGTAGTTAAACATTCCGTTCTGGCTTTTTGTTTTTTTCTTACGAAAACGATTATTTCATACTAAAAATTAATATAATGAGCTCAATAATCATGAAACTGTCGATTCGATTAGAACCCAGGTCAAAACTCATCAACAATCGCGTTTACAATTTTTCAAATATTCTTCCCCATGAGAATTTAAACAGAGTACTGCACTTTTTCAATTAAATATTAAACACGAAACGTAGATGCAAGAGAACAAGAACTGCGAATTGAGTGGCCTTGATAAAAAAAAAGTGTCGTTGAAAAATTTATTTTCAGTCTGATGCTTGACAATTGCGTTATCCATCCTACTTCTCAGACACTTGATTCAAACAATAGAAAAATTAATGAATTCCGTAGTCACAAACGCAAGCTAACAGATTATTTTGTCAGAAAAAATAATAAAAACGAACGAATTGTAGATCATAAATATCCTATAAGCGTACAAAATTCAATCGAAAAAAAATTGAATTTTTGTTTTCCTTTTCCTAAGAATTCGTTAAGACTAGATTTTTTAATAAATTTCCTGAAATGTCGAATCAAAAGGAAAACAAAAATCACTCTCTGCAAATATTTTCTGTGATTTTTCCAAAATGAATTTTCCACCTCATATGTATTGAAGAAAAAAAATCACAGGACGTAAATTTGCGTAGTGAATAAGTTTATATAAAAAAATGGAACTATTTAATCCAAAAATGACATGTCTGTAATCAAGAAACTAATGTATTTTTTCTTCTTTTGTATATTGGATTGGATTGTAACACAATGAATGAAAAACTGAACCCCACACGATCGTTGATTCTTCGATGGATAATTGAGAGATGGACCCGCGCGTTTTGGATGGATTATTTTATCATCGATAATAATAATTATTAAAAGGATATTTAATTATGATAAAGTCACAGTAATGGGACAGGATTGCATTAACCAAGAGGAAAGATATAAAAAAAAGTATTGAGGATTGAGGATTAAAAAAAATTTTCACGAATGGAATTTCATCGAGACCGATGCACACAAGGCCACGATTTATCAGAGGACCCATGACTCTTATCAATTTGTCACTTTAACGAATATTCGTTCACTACTCAGTATCACTGTGGAGAACAATAGTGTTTCAGTGAGCAATTGACTCTCAACTTTGATTTACCGTATTTGTTTTCGACTGAACATTTTTTTAAAAATTCTTTTAATTATTTGAGGGACAATCGAGGAACAATCGTGATAAATTTTTCATAATAAATTGTTGTTATCATCAAAGTGTACGTTGAGTGCGCCGAGGAGCTGTGAGGAATGGGAAATGCTCCAAGAGGATGTTGAAATCGTTTAAACTCATTCGATATTAATCATTAATAATCGGCCTTGCGTCTCGATGGGATCTGGCTGTTTTTAGAGGATTGAACTGACGAGAGCATTTTAATTGGGATTTAGGATATCTTCGCGGGATTTTGTTAATGGATTTATCAGTCCGTCGGAGTTATGGAGTATATTTGGATCACAGGATGTGGGATTATGTATTAAGAGAATGGTCATTGTCAATTGTGTGGAACAGAGGCTTCTCGCCTCCTAGGGCTCACACTAGGTTGGAACAATTGGAAATTGGATCACTCTTGGATTATCGTGTTTAAATGGAATCTCAGAGGATTGGATACCTGAGGTATTTGGACACCGATATGAATTCTCCTTTTTATATTTTTATTATTTTTTTTTTCACAATGTGAGGTACTCGTTCATTGACTTCTGCATGCATTCTTTTTTTTTCTGCTTAATTAATACCTCCGAACACTTTTGAGAGCACTTGGAAGATAATAATCGAGAGAAGCATATGAATAATGAGGAGCACTCGGATATACTCTGTTTCCCCTCAATTGACAATATTCGTTAACGTTATGACAGTCATTTTTTCACTCCTCACCTTGAGTAGTTCCCCTTTGTGTGTATTCCTTTAATCTTTTTTTACCCACATTTTAGTCATTTTGTGCTTACCAATCTTAGATTTATTGTTGACAATCGTTGGGAGTATTTCTATGACCTTTTCTTTCTACTTTTAGTTTTTTTCTATTCAATTTATCCTTTTTAACGGACGTTTGCAGAGGACAGGTAGATTGCTTTGCAGGTCTCTTGGGGCATCACAGGATATTCGCTGTATATTCTTTTATTGATTGAATAAATTTGAAGATTCACAGAATTTCATTTTGAAGTATTTATTTATTTAACTGTAGAAATTCAACAAATGATAGTTTGTTCGTTTCGTAATCATAGGATAGAGTTTTTTTATGTGGGATTCCATGTCGTCAAGAACAGAAGACGTTTACCAGGACTCTCCCACTGGTCGCAGGATAATTTCTTGGACCTGAAAAATTGAGGGGATCCTTCTAACCAAAGAGATGAGAGTGATTTTAATTTAATAGCGAAGGACTGAAACGTGTAATTCTTATTTTTTATTAAAAATCGATTCATCTAAAAATTATTGCTTTTAGAAGAATGTATTAAAACCTATCGGAAATTAAATCAGCTACAAAAAAAATCTTGACGTTTCTCACCTCAAATTGATAGTTATGGAAATAAATTGGGAATTTTTAAAAAACTTCAAAACTTTACAGTTTGTTACTAAATTATGCAATATAATCCATATTGCTACTAAATTATAAAATACAATTCATACCGAAACATGAGGCGGGGTGGACAGAGCGTAGATGAGTGCAGCTGCAATGTCCTCAGGCTTCAATGAAGGCATTGCGTTAAGGATTTCCTGGGAGAATGTTGAATATGTAGCCATCAGATCGGTTGCCACCAGACCTGGAGTGATTGACTGGAGGAAAGAGAAATTATTATTGAAATCTACTTTCTGGCGGCAGATATGAAGAATTATTTTCAGTAACTGAAAAGGAATTATTGTCGATATAATCTCAGAAATTATTAATAAAATTGGCATCACAAAATATACAGTAGAATTTCTGAGTCATTGAATAATGATAAAAGATTATTTCATTTTTTTGATTAAAAAATTTTTGATTAAAAAACCGGAATGAGAGGATATCCACAATGATCCCTTAAATCACTTCCCTCAGCTCTTATATCTGTCATTGAATAATTAGTAATAATTGATCGTTACTGTGACACGAATCTTCGACCCGACGAGTTCATGTCGTAGAGATTGCGCCAGTGCAGTGAGTGCTCGCTTTGAAGCTGGATAAACACTGAATCCAGGAACAGCAGGTATTCTCTCACCAGCGAGACTGTTGACATGAACAATGAGACCCTCGTCCCCAGTTTCCCTCATGATTTTCAACCCCTCCCGAGTGGCCAGACAAAGCCCCAGCACATTCACATCGAACACTGCTTTCCAGTCCTCTAAACGACCTTCTGGAATAATTAATTGGTCATTAGTGCACAATCATTCAATCAGGATTGTTTGACTCATTGACCCTTCACTTAAGGAAGGTAAATATTAATTGAGGTAACGACATTCTGATGACTTGAGTGTTGTAAAAATATGAGATACCACAAATAGTGTTACGAGAAAGTTACGGTGGGATTGACATAAAAAAATATAACGTTTCTGCATTTTGTCATTATTTAATGACATTTTTTTTTTAATTTTCAGAAAGAATCACACAACTGTAGGAAAAATTCATGAAAATTATCACATCAGCCCGAAACTTCATGAGTCATCGAATAACAATAAAAGAAAAAACGTTACATTTTTTGGTGAAAAATAAAAAAACGTGAATTTTAAGTAAAAGGGTGTCGAATATTTTTGATTGTAAGATTGGCTGACTGTTCCTGCGACAAGAAAATGAGAGAAAGTCTTTCTATGTCATATATTCCCATATATATTTCTAGGATTTACCACTAAGAGTAGTTTCTATCGTGATCCCGGCATTATTGACAAGCACATCGATTCTTCCCAAGTTCTCCTTCACCCAGCCAAATGCCGAGATGACACTCTCTTCCTGAGAAACATCGCACTCGACTGCATGTAATTTTCCTGATTGATCTTCCAGAGTCGACGCCAACTCTTCAATTTTTTCTGGTCTTCTTGCCAGGCCGGCGACAATTAATCCTATTTTAACAAAATCCTGGAGTCATTCCGAAAAGAACAGACGATTTTGGGAACTGGTATTGAATTTAAAATTTCCTTCGTCAAGTTTTTCAGAAATATTTCACAATCTCATGGAGATAATGAAATTTTCCTCAAGATTTCATTAGAAGAGAGAAATCAGAATTATAAAAAAGGTACATAAAAGACTCGTCATGTTTCTTACATTTAGAGAAATTTTACAAAAATTTGCCCGTTTGGTAAATCGATATTTTTATTGAACTGCAAATAAACTAAATGTGTTCATTAAATGTCGGTTTAGTTAAAGAACTATCGATTAAAATTAATAAATAAATAGATTGATGGCAGAACTAAAATTCAACGCATCTGAATTTACTGTTTTGCTCGTTATTTGATAACAAAATATTATAATTTCCGGAGGAACTAGTAGAAACAAAAAGTAGAACATGATCAGTTTTATTCCAAGTGATTTTCAATGGATAAGAGAAAATAGTTCGAAAAATTGGGGACCATACCATTGCGGACGAGTTCGCGAGCAATAGCTGCGCCAATTCCACCGCTCGCACCAGTGACAACCGCGACTTTACCCGACCAACGATTCATTTTACACTGCAAGTACTCTCATCAGACAATAATTGTGTGGACCGAGGAGTAGAACGCAACGTAACTGGATAGTAACACTTATAAGTATTGAAATCGATATTCCAGTAAACATGGAAATTTTGAAAAATTATGAGTAACCGGATAAGTCGGATTAGATCATTACCTTGGTGACCTCAATCCTCATCCAAGATATCATATCGTATCCCCAATACGCAGTTATCTTATCCTTGCAAGGAAGAAATCAGGTAGATTCAATCCCATTTTCTAAAAATTAATTTCCATTTTTAACATTCAACATTATCTCATTTTTTCGATGAAAATTCACTGATTTCTCTAAAAAAAAATGTCAATCTTTGAAATCCTCAATATTTTTTGATAACTGAGTTACGTATTTTTTTTTTTAATTGTCCACACAATAACTATCCACCAATTTGAATTGAAAATCTAGGGAATTTTGGCCGGAGCTTTTTCCCTGCCTAGTGATCAGCTGATTTCCGTCAAAACAGAATGACAAGGACTTGCGATTTATCGCTGGCAACAAGCAAAGTAAACACAGAAAATCTCCACGATAAATTCGAAAAAAAATTCATAGTGTTTATTATTGGAAATAAAATGAGCCTCGGGCTCAGTGGGTGATGTCTTCAACAATACTGGTGTCACTCTGCGTCATTCGTGTTGAGATTGTAGATCCAGAGGCAGAAGAGACAGCAAGTACGTTCCAACAATGTCAATAAATCCTGAATCACAGCTCGCGAATTAATTTTCCAACCACACGATTTTCTTATCGATTTATGGAGTTGGATTTACCACAGGCACAATGGCAGCGAGGAAAACGAGAGGACGACGAGAGCCCCGTGATATTACGGTGGAGAGTTATGCAAGTGTCACCGAGGGTCCGGTTCCACTGCTGTCATCACAGGGTTCCAGCAAACCCCACTCCAGACCTACCTCCGAGGAATCCTCTTCATCATCGAATCAAGTCTCCACAGCAACTGTCGAGGGATCCCCACCCAACGCATCATCACCAACAGATCAAATTAATTTTATCTCTGGAAATCCGTTTGTGGAAGTCACTAAAGGAATCTTACATCTTTATAAAGAGGAGTAAGTTCTCATTTTTGTCTCCATTCAATTGATGGAATGGAGTACAAGATCTTGATAAGCACGTCCTTGAGGCATTTTGCTTGTGAATGACAGATTTGGATGCTTTCCCATTTAATTTCTAGTGTAGATAGTTAAGATAATATTTAATATACTCTCAAAAAAATGTAAAAATTTTGAAAAATCTTTTCTAATCCTTTTTTATGCACATAATTGTCATAAAAAATTAAAAAATTACTAAATTGAACGAAGAGATTCATAAACAATCATTATTAATCTACTAAAGAAGTGATTAGGATTTCAATCTCGTACTAATGTTTCACAGTGAATTGACAGAGAAACATTCAGCAGCCGATCGCAGTCACACGATTTGCATTCTCTCAGTTCCAGCAACGATGACTTGTCATGATTTAATGACCTTTACTGCTGCTTGTCATCAAGACATCCAACACTTTCGGATACTCCGGGATAACAGTCCCAATCAGTATATGGCGCTCATCACAATGCGTTCATCTGTACGAAACTTTTTTCATTTGAAACCATTCCTCCCTGTAATTAGAGTAATTTGATTAATTTGCTGATGTATTCGGGTGTAGGCAGCGGCGAATGAGTTCTACGAGACGTTCAATGGAGCTCCTTACAACTCATTAGAGCCAGATGTGGTTTGTCACATGGTATTCGTCTCGAGGGTTGAGGTAGCTGATAATGGGATGGCACTGGCTGGTCACACAGAGTTGCCTTCATGCCCAGTTTGCTTGGAGAGAATGGACGAAAGTGTCGATGGAATACTCACGATATTATGCAATCACACGTTTCACTCGAGCTGCTTGGTCAAGTGGGGTGATATTTCGTGCCCAGTCTGTCGATATGCACAAACTCCTGAGCCTGTGGCTGATAGCCATTGCATGGAGTGTGGTAAGACTGTCATATGATTATGTGGTAAGACTGTCATATGATTTTGATTGTCATTATTAATTCTAATTATTTTTATTATCATAAAATAATAATAGAATTATATCTCTAACTATTACTTTTTTATTCAACGGAATGATTGAGAATAATGTCCAGTTGCAGACACAAGTAATGATGCACTTTGGATCTGTTTGATCTGCGGTCACATCGGCTGCTCTCGTTACCACGAAGGACATGCATTTGAACACTATCGTGACACTCACCACTGCTACGCCATGCAGCTGGGAAATAATCGAGTCTGGGACTACGTGGGTGACAACTTTGTGCATCGTCTGCTTCAGGATAAGGATGGAAAAATGGTGGAAGGGGGCCAGGAGCCCACTAAGGGTGAGGGAGCGGCTGTGGACGAGAAGGTGGATGCTGTGCAGCTAGAATTTACGTACTTACTCACTTCACAGTTGGAGACCCAGAGACAGTACTTCGAAGATAGATTGAATCGAATTGAGCAGAGATCCTCATCTGAAATCGGGGAATTGAGGGAAAAGTTGAATCAAATATCCGATGAAAATTCACATATCAAGGTAATGCACGTAATTTCAACTCCAAATTATTCTAATTCCAATTCTGGTATTCTGGAATAAAATATTAAATCGCCAGAACGAGTGATTAATTAATTAAATTATTTCCTTTGTATTTTTCAATTAATAATCAGTGTATTATTAATTTATTTTATTTTGATTATCCAGGCAAAAATAATAGCTCTCACAAAAGAGAAACTAGCCCTTGAAAAACGCTTGCAGACGTCAATAATAAAATTAAATCAAGCTCAATCTGAATTATCTGAGGAGAAGGAGTTGAGAGAAGCCCTTCAATTGAACCAGACCTCTTGGCAAACGAAGCACAAACAGTTGCAGGATGAGCTGAAGGAGTGCAAAAGTACAAAAGAGAGTGAGATCCAAGACCTAAAGGAACAAATACGAGACTTAATGTTCTTCCTAGAAGCGCAAAAGCAAATTGAAAACTCGACAGACAAAGACGACATAGCCGGAGGTACGATAATCGTCCCCGAGACCTCCACAACTCCCAAATCACGCTCACGACGACATCGAAAGCACTGAGTAATCCCAGCATCATTGAGACAATTTTTTTTGTCGAGAATTCATTTATTTGAGATGCGTATATGATTCTTCCAGAAAGTATTTGGTCACCTGAATTATTTGTGGGTAATTCTAATTACGTTGCAATTAATAAACAATTAATGAAGGTTTGATTTTCTTTTTCCATCCCAGAATTTTTTATAAATACATACTTCCCTCAATCTGATGAATTCTTACGAAAAAAACGTCTCATGGGGCTTTTATCTAAACGCGAGAAAAAAAAAACAACTTTACCTCAAACAATAAATACCGTAATTTTTATTTAAACTCGATCAAATGTTTTATTTATTCACCGATTCAACGAAATTAAATAATCTTTCATTCAGTATCATTACATAATATAATAATAAGCATCCTCTGTTATTCTTTAAAAATACGACTGGTTATGGAGACACCTAAGTTTGTACATAAATACTAATATTAACTGAGGAATTCAAAAATTAATAACAATTTACTCATTTATCTCAGTTATGAATATTATGAATAGTAATTGCAGATTTCTTACGTAGAGGAAAATATAGTAATTGTGCATCGGTTTATTCTTTCGATGGGGGGATTCATGTTTTTTCAGGTAGAAAATACAATGGCTGATTATCCATGGGAATGTGCGCAGATACTTCGAATATTCGATTTGATTATTATGTTTGTCTGTCTTTAATCGTCTAACTACCCTTAGAAAATGTATGATTACTTCTCTCTTGTTTAATTGAGGATATTAATTGTGAGAAAGGCACACCTGTTGACTGAGGATTAGGATATTGATTTTAATTATTTTTTTTTTGTGATTTTTGCGGCTTTTATTGGCCAGTTCATCGAGAAATTCAGTCGAGCCCATTGGCAGTGGCATGAGAAGCGTCATCCTTCATTTTACTCCTCTTTCTTATCTGTCTCTGGTGCTCGTACTCGAAGTCCTCTTCGCTCAAGTTCAGTCTCATGATCTGGAGAGAAATTGACAATTATAATTGCGAATACATTAATTCTGGAAGAATTTTCGGTGGAATTTGATTGGAATTCTGACCTGACTAACGAGTGTTTCTTCTTCCATTATCTCTGGTGGAGGATTTCTTAATACTTGGAGGGTTTCGTACATAGTGGGACACTGCTTGGTGAGAGACGAGCGCCCGAGTGATCCTTTGAGTAGCACCAGACCGACCTTGAAGATTATCTTCACTCCTTCACACAGGAACATGTCCCAGATCCTCAGGATACTCTCCCAAGGGAGAGTTCTCGTGTAAACACAGAGAAACCATTCTGTCATGTACAAAATCGGTTCCATCTTCTGTTTTTTCTAGAATTTCAATCATCACCATTAAGTTCCAAGAATTTTTATTACCTGTTCAATCATTGGACTCAAATAACCCTGAACTATAAATAAAAAAATGACTATATAAATTCAAACGATTCCATTGGAAAGTAAAAAAATTAACTCACCAGATGTTTATAAGCAACTGGTGACACTCGTTTTAACAAAGCAAAAAGTATATCCCCATCCCGCTGAAGTGTCTCCATCCCCTGACTGTAGTACCCAACGAGATATTTGTCACAGACAGCCACTAGACACCAGAAAGCCTGGACTGCCGGCATGTGCATCAACAAAAAGGCAGCAATAGGCGCCTGTGCCTGACAGTACCCAACTTTACTGTTGAGTATGGAATACGCTTTGAGCACTTGAAACAATTCCTGCTGGCCAGGTGCATTCTCCACGAACATTTCATGATGTGGAAATTGCCGGTGAAGATCCTTCTTGATGTCCTCGATGTATTTCGGATCCCCAGGACGCTTTATCAATTCCTCGTACAGATTGGGGTTCTCTGTCATCAACAGCTGACCTCCGCAGAGGTTCAGCCAGGCGCGAAGTCTCACTGACGGGGGAATCCCTTTTCTACACCTCTCTCGTACTTTACGGTAATTATTCGTCATAAATGAACTCCAATTGTTCAGCATACGGATCCATTTTCTCTCTCGTCTCAAAATCACCTCTGGAGGTACTGCTTGTTTCCTGAGACAAACAATTAATTGACTCCCGATTTTTCATTGAATTTACGATGAAAGGGTTTTTTGATACTTCCTCCTGAATTGAATAGTTTTTTATCGATCGATAAAATTGTATTGAATACAAAATGTATATATTATAACGCAGTATTTCTGAAGTTTTTCTTCTCGTTCTTATGAGAATTTCACTCCGTAGTGGTTTCACGGATGAATCACTGACCACTAGAAAAACTAGTTTTTGATAAACACTTCTGAACCGAAGAGATAGTGAAATGCTTAAAAATACATTTTACGATTTCCCTTCACAAAAATTTCGTAATGTTTCCAATTCAACCAAAACCATAATCTTCTCTAATGGATTTTTACTACAGTATTAAATTTACCAGCGATTATTTATTAACGATTATTTATTAAAATAGGATGAGTTGAGTTTGGCAGTTTTGCAAAATTTTGATTAATTAAAAAAACTATTGATTTCAGAAGAAAATAAAAAGAAAAGAAAGCCACGGGAAAGTCCTATAATGTTTTCCCTTTGAGTTCCAGGGTTTCAAAATAAATCAATAATTGGGAACAGCCTGACTCTCAAAAGAAGTTATTGTCAGTGTCTTCTAATTTTTCATGTATTTTTTACAAATCTCCAACAAACAGTTGATAAAATTGATGTGAAAAAATATAGGGTTTTTTTATTTGATTATTATTAAGTGTGTCACAGAGTATTCGCACGGTGAAAAAATCTGGAAAAATAGACGCACGACTGAAAATTTGTGAGTCATTGAAAAACGATAAAACCAAAGAACGATATATTTTCTAACGCCAACAGATTTACAGTCTCCCAGAAATTGTAAAAAGAAAAATGAAATATGAAAAATGAGATCTCGGCAAGAACTCTATAAGGAACATAAACCTCTGAATACGAAATCCACAGACATATTCTCCTCTCACCTCTCAGGACTGTACTGTGCACCTCCCAAAAATCCATGCCTATCAGGTACTGTTGATATGACGGATCCACACTGATAAATACTGCTACCCTCCGACTCAGACTCCCCATTCAAATCCTCCTCGTTATTGCGTGACTCCGAGGCGGCCATAGCATCTTCCTACACCTGAAATCCCCAACAATAAATTCCCAGAATAACCCACAAACCTTTCACTTATGCAATAAACCATTGTAGGATAATCCCACTAATGCTAAAACCCACAATTTCCCTTTCAGCTTTTCATGATTCCCAATGCGAAGCGAATGGGAGAATTGACGATGAGGTCACTGGGAACATCCAGACCAACTCAATTGGGTTAAATTGCTCTCGATTTTTTTACTTCCAGCCACAGTATATTTTTTCTCTCATGTCATCGATGAAATAAATATCGGTAGGCGTGCAAGTCCCAGTCCTCCGATAATTTCCCTCCACCCCAGGACGACGATAAATCCATTAATCACTCAAATGGTCATGGAAATGACGTGCGCCTCCCAGAAAAACAGCTATCACTCATGCCCAATAGTAAACAACACAGCCCCATCCCCATTTGCACAAAAAAAAAATATCACGTGTAATGGAGTTACCTCTGGGGCACGTGTGAAATGTCAATGAGTACAACTAACAGCATAACGCTCAACAATAATTTACCGTTCTTTGGCATCGAATCCTTCGCAGTTCTACCGTCCACCAAAATCACCTTTTGCTGAGCACTCGTAATGCGACACTGGATTGCAGTACCGCCTCCTAGTCTTGACAGACGTGTACATACACATATCCCGGAACAGGCTGTTTATTCATTAACCAATCCAGGAGTTTTAATTTTTCACCCACGATTTATGCACGTGGCAGAGAGCAACGATGGACGATTGCACAATGTCTGATTTATTTCCGATATTCTTTTCGGGAGAATTATTATTAGAATTGACATTTACCACTCCATCAACAAATACTTTTGGTGGAGGAGGGGTTACCCCTTAACATCCCAGGAACGTACTTCTCAACTGATAAAGGAGAAACAATCAGTCGGTAAAACGGTGCACCACTGCCTCCAACTGAGTCATGCAATTTATGTGGAGAAATAACGAGAGGTATAGTTGTGAGAAATAAATAGGAAAAAAAATATTGCATTAGTTTCCTCGTCGCGGAGGTAATCAGTCTATTGTTCGAGGTGATTTCCTTGGAGACATTTGATAAAATCGTCTTGGAGGATCTGGTGGATTGAAGGTTCACAGCAGCGCAGGTCTTGGAGAATTGACACTGGATTTCGTGGGATTTAGTCGGCCATCGGTGTTGCAACCCACCCGGCTGTCAAAGTACTCCTTGAAAAGAGGATAATCGAATTGCTCACAGGAAAGAACGGTGTAATTCACGGTGTTTGAGTACCAGTGAAAGTGTGAAGAACGTGTCCAGGGTGGGGCATCATCGGTTTGACAAGTTGGATCGATTTTGGTTGAGAATGTATTGATTTAGGGGGCTGTCGTTGGTTCGAGAATACAAGCAGATTGCGAGGATTGAGGTATTTTGGGGATTTGTTGGTGGCCGGAGTGACTTGGGATCGACATGGAGGACGATCTTCCCACTGAATATGATGTCGTCGTCGTGGGAACAGGTATTGATTTGTTGAATTTTTTTGGGGGGTAGTTTTTTGGGTTTGGGGTTTCTTTGTTGGAATTGGTGTAACCGTTTTTGGAAAATTTTTGCAGGGATGACGGAGTCCATCGTGGCTGCTGCTGCCAGCAGAATCGGCAAGAAAGTACTCCATCTGGATAGGTACGTCCTTTTGATATTTTTATTATGTCAATGTTGCTACTGCGGGATTTAGGGGGCTAAAGGGTGGCACAGGTCAATTTGGTAGTTTAGAGGTGAAGGTTGCAAGGAGTTTTAATGCATTGGTAAGTTTTTGGTCGATATCTAAGGGACATAATGAAATGTTCGTGGAAGCCTTCTCATGGCTCCTATTGCACTGTACAAAAACGGTCTTGAGGAAAATCTCACTATTTCTCTCGGATTCAGAGATATTCGAACATTCCACAAGGAAATAAATTGAGTGTTCAAATAATTTAAATAATCGACTCTTGTCATTTTCAGTAACGAGTATTACGGGGGCTTGTGGGCGACCTTCAACTTTGACGGTTTCGAGAAGTGGATTGAGGACCTGAACGCATCGGAAGCTGGAGGGGATGCTAATGTGGAGGTAGAGACTGGCGAAAAATTCTTAAAGGCCAGTAATCAATATTCAACGGTTGAGAATATCGATGAAACGTGGTTCATACCGAAGTAAGTGATGCCGGTGTAATCCAATATTCCTTTTAATTGTCTATCGACCGGATAAACACGAGACTTTTATCCCTTGAAAAATATTTCGAGACTATTTTATGCATGGAAAACGAAGACTCTCAACATATTCTCTACAGATGATTCCTCTTCACGAAAATACTTTGTTAACGCACTATTTAATTATCAGAGTAGTTTCGATTCTAAAAATAATATTTTATTCAATCCGAAAACACCCTTACGGTCTTATACTTTTATTCTACACTTTTAGGTGATGATTTCACCCTACGACTGACTAAAAACTTTTTTTATAATTCCTCAAATATCGCAAATAATTCCTGATTTCCCCAGTGATGCGGAGCTACCAGACCTCTCAACGAAGGAGAGTCAAACCGAAAGTGAAACCGAGGAGAAAGAGAAAACCGACGTGGGGAAAACCGAGCACAAATACGCTACGAAACACTGGACGATCGAGCGAATTGTAAAGGAACACCGAAGATTCAATATTGATCTAGCCCCAAAACTGCTCTTCGCAAGAGGAGATCTGGTGGAATTACTGATATCAAGCAACATAGCACGTTACGCAGAATTCCGTGCTGTCTCGAGAGTAGCAACATTCATGGATGGAAAACTCACACAAGTACCTTGTTCCCGAGCTGACGTGTTTGCCAACAAAACGGTGAGCGTAGTTGAGAAGAGAATGCTGATGCAGCTGCTGATGTCGTGCATGGAGCAGGGAGCTGAGAGCCCAGAGTTCGATGGCTACCGTGACAAAACCTTCCTGGAGTATTTAAACACGAAGAATCTGACGCCAATGGTGAAGCACTACGTGATGCAGGCGATAGCAATGGCCACAGAGAAAACTTCATGCCGTGACGGAGTAATTCGTACGAAGCATTTCCTCAATAGCTTGGGAAGATACGGAAACACTCCATTCCTGTGGCCCATGTACGGTAGTGGAGAGTTGCCCCAGTGTTTCTGTCGACTTTGCGCCGTTTTTGGTGGTGTTTATTGCCTGAAACGCCAGCTGGATGGAATAGTTGTGAATGAGGACAAGTGCAAGGCCATTATCAGTGGAAAACAACGACTCGCCCTGGAGCACTTGGTGGTAGGGCAGGGCCATCTACCACCTGAGATCGTCGAGTCACCTGGGGAGCACAAAATTTCACGTGGAATATTCATCACTGACAGATCTATTATGCAGGGGGAGAAGGAAAATCTCACTCTTCTTTATTATCCACCTGAGGAGCCTGGCCAGGAACCCGTCACTCTCATTGAGCTGGGACCATCCACCAATGCCTGTCCTCAGGGCCTCTTCATGGTCCACATGACATGCAAGAGAACAGCAACTGCTAAGGATGATTTGGCGTATGTCGTGAAGAAATTCCTCGCCGCCAATGCTCTCGAGCCCAACGTTGTTCCATATCCCACTGACGTTCACACCCAGACTGTTCCTGAGAAGAGCCATCTCCAGGAGGCCGATGAGGCTAAGGACAAACAGCTTGATCATCTCAAGCCCCATGTTCTCTGGTCAATGTATCTGAATTTACCAGCTAGTGACATCAGGTTGAGTGATTCTGCACCCAAGAATGTTCACCTCTGCTCTGGACCTGATCTTGATCTTGACTTTGATTTCGCTGTTAATCAGGTGAGATTTTTCAGAGATTAATCATTTTAATTCATTTATAATTAATTAATAGTCATTAATTTTGGAGAGAAGTTCTTTAAAAATTAACATATGTGGTTTCCTTGGGGAATTTATCTAGGCGAAGGAGATCTTCAAGACTATGTACCCTGACGAGGATTTTCTCCCCCGTGCTCCTGATCCCGAGGAAATCGTCCTCGAGGGTGATGAAACCCCTGGGCCAAAGTTCGAGGATGTACCCGAGGCTGAGGACGTCAGCAAGGAGGAATAAATTATGTCTTTTTGGTGAGGAGAGATGGAGCGAGAAGCAGGATGCTTTTTGCAATTCCCAATTTGCTACACCAAACCAACAGGAAATGTGGATGAGGAATGGCCTGCATTCTTAATGTCTTTACCGTTATCATCATTTCACCTCTTGCATTTTTTATGTGAAGATCCCAAGGTTTTGATTTTTCTGGCGTTGGGAGTTTTTACAGATGGAATATCATTTCAGTATGAAAGTGGTCAAATAAGATGAGTAAAATATTTTTGTTAATTGTCCATTTTGAGAATTATTGAGCTAATGCTGAAACATCAAATTATTTTTTTATAGCTTATAAAATTGCCGATGAAAAATTAATTCTGGTATTTCCTTGTGAAATCAATCATTTTCGAGATGGGTAATCGATAAAAATGCTGAATTTCACTCATCTCACTTTACCCCTTGACGATTGTTTTATTTATGGGTCCTATTGGTTCGTGGAGCTTGCACAAATAGCCCTTTAGCATTTCAAGAGTGGAGGTGGTTTTTTAGCGGATATTGTCCTGATGTTTTTAAAGGGGAGAAGTAATACACAATTTTTTACTCGGTTTGTTCTTCGGAGTCATGAAACACAGCAGAATGAATGAATTTCTCCAGGCTTCGTTGAACGTAATTATTTTAACAACGAAAGAATATTTATTTTGATTTAGATTCAGCGAAAAAATATCGATTCTCTTCTGCAGAAAATTCAATTTTCGATTCAGAGTCGTTTCATCACTCAATTTCTGAATCAGTGATGGAAAAAATTGAAACCCGGTGAGAAGAACTGGCTAATTGTTACATTCGCATTATTCATTCCTCTGAATGATCGGTAATTGTTCAGACCCAATCATTCCAATTTTTTAAAAATTGAGGAAGAATTTTGTACGAAAATTTAATTTTTTCTCCTCAATCCTCCGAGTGGGACATCGATGGAAGAATAATCGAAATTCCCCAGCAATTACTGATCAATCGAATGATATTCAATTGAAATCGATACACCGTACTATCTTGTAAAGAACTCTCGATTGTAACAGAAGGCATAAGGATACAATTATCATTATGGATTATCACTAAAATAGAAGAGCTTCTGTGTTGTATCATGCATAGAACACTTATTGGACAATATACAATGACCTGCATACACAAATTTCTTTATTTCAGTTTGAAAAGAAAACATACTGCCGAATTATCGATCTATTTCGTTAACTGAAGAGAAGGGAGACGCTTTGTTTATGTTCTGTGCTTCAATAAAATAAAGAAACTTGTCTCTATCCACCAGAAATATACGAAATTTCGTATGACTCAGGATAAATCCAAAAGACAATTCGAATCTCCTTATCACTGTACGATTTTTGTTATCCCTCACCAACAAGATAACTTATCATTTACATCAAATATTTGGTCAACGTTCTACGATCGATGGTATAAATTTTCTGCATCAGACTTTCTATTTTACACCGCAAGCAAAAAAAAAGTTCTGAAATTCTGATTATAAAAATGTATTTACACTTCATCAAATTACAAGAATACAATTATCCCTTCTTCCTTTCCTCAATCATCAAACATTTTCAAGCCTTTTTTTTATTATCCATCTCCCTGTTTCACTCTGCTTTCATCTCTAACTTTACTTTACAAATATTAATTTCGATTCGTGCCAGGCTTTGGAGAATCTATTTAAAAATCTATTGGCTTACAAGATATCCTACTGTCAGAAAATTTCCTACAATTTCATGTGTAAATCCTGAGATTTTGAGATTTCATGTGGGGGAAAGTGAAGTAAATAGCCATTAGCCATTTTTTACATTCTCATAACTTTTTTTTAATGTTTCAATCTGGATTCATAAAAGATCTGATTTGGGGAGAATTATAATACTATTCCATCAACAATTGAACGAGTATTGACAATTGGAAAAAAAATCTAGTCAAAAATTGGTGAATTTCTTAAATTTCAACAATCAATACCGATATAATAAAAAATTGCTGATAACATGATTGAAATATTTTATTCAGTGCTCCCAAGGAATTACCAAATTCATCGAATCATTAGAATATTAAAACCCCTGTCGCCTAAAATTTTCAAGCGCGACGGACGTCCCCCTAAAAATCCTTGACAAATCCCTCAAATTTAAGAGTCTTGAACCCAGTTGAAAGTTGCAGTCATTCTCAAAAAAAATCACCGAAATAGTTCAATAAAAATATATTTACACTCCTCAGATTACAAAGACAGCCCACAGCCAGCCTAAGTCCTCCCCTGGTCACAGTACTTGATCTCAGCCCTGGAAATAACCTTGCAGATCTCCAACTTGATTTTAGCCTGGACTTGAGGTGGCAGATGGAGAACAGTCTGTGCCATGCTCTGAAAGAACAGATCAAGACTATCCCCCTCGCAAGTTCTTCCCACATCCTCACCCTTGGAGGTGCCAAGACTAGCATCACTGGTGGTCCTCTTCCTCTTGTTGACGAGATGCCTGTCGTTTCTGCCCTGCTTAATGTCTCCATTGGCCTTCACCAGCTTAACCTGCCCCTTGACATCGTAATCCTCCTCTCGACCCTCGTCCTGTGAGTCCTCAGCATTCGAGAAGTACTCAGCAGCATCTGAGACTGCCTCCACCACCTCCATACCAAGCTCCAGGTACTGGACATCAGCTCCTGTCTCGTCTTCAGGGTTTAGTCTTGCGTATGAGCTCGCGTCAACAACATCAACAATCTCATAAGTAACTCCCTCCATCACGTGTTGCTCCATCACCTTCAGAATCAAAATAAACTTCCAAAAAAACACAACAATTCCTACAATTCTCCTCAGTTGTTTACAGTCACATGTGTTCACCCGGCCATTTTTATTCCTCTTTCCTGTTTATTCACACTGAGTTATTATTATTGTTACTCTCTTGGCTATCCAATCCCTCTGTAGGTGAAGAAAAGTACCAGTTCAATTTCTTTACCCCATAAGAGGGGAATACTATTTACTTCCGGTGTCACACTTGGGTTTGAATATACTGTCAATCCGAAATTGTTTTTTCTTTTCGGTGTTTGTATAAATGTTTTTTTTCTGCTTTAATAATGCATATAGTATTATAGTTTTTATAGTAATCCTTGAAAGAAAATCCCGTGAATTAAATTCAATTTTATACTGCACCCAATTTTTTGGCTAAAACCTATTCACAAGTTTCATCATCATTGAATGGCTCTTCGAAATTTGCTTTTAGGACTTTTCGAAATTCACGCTTCAAAACTTTTTAACATCCACCAAAAATCCACGACTCACATAAGAAAAATCGGAGGAGTATATAATAATATACGAGATGACCTATATTTTTATAATCGAATTTCTGGAAACGAATCACTTAGTAATTAATAAAAATTATAATTTGCTTTAATAAACTTCGTCTGAATATTTAAACGAAATCCGTGATCCAAAATAGAAAACATCCACATCAAAACGAATTGATTTGCTCTCGACCCCACATTAATAATCGACAGTCCACTCAATCTATCAATCCAAAACCACAAACTCCTCCAAAAAATCTCCGGTCCCCGAAAAAAGTGCAATCGATCCCTAAAAAAGTCCTGGCCAACGCATAAAATAAAGCTTATCCATAGCTTCTCCAAAAGTTCATTCAAATCTACGAAATCGCATCACCATAACATGGCACAACGCCAGGAACTTGAACATCAATCCAACTGATTTTTGGTCCTAAAAAAACAAAAAATTCACCTGGTAGTGGAAAATTCACAAATTAAAAAAATTTTCGCTGAAACCCAATGTACGAATGTTGATGTAAAAAAAATAAAGTGTTGATATATACGATAGAACCGGGGATTGGTCTGGATGGGACGTGGCAACATCGCACCTCAGGTCTCGTTGAGCCCATGTGACAGAGAAGGAAAACACGACAAAAGGTGGTACGAAGAGGGTGACGCCGCGGCGTTCGGGATCACTCGAATGAGTATTTGCCCGGGCGAGCCGGGTGTCGGTGGCTTCTCTCCAGTTAATCCCACCAATAATTTCACCGTGTCTCACCGAAAAATTGATGACCAAGTCATCGCGCCAATCGCGCCAATCGCGCCAATCGCGCCAATCGCGCCCTTTGAGCAATTGAAGGGCGCATTAAAAATTTCCTCGTTGGAAATTAGCGTCTGACGCAATTAGCTGGAGCGTTCGAGCCTGGAGGTGAAAAAAAATTCAATAAAATATCACCGCGAAATTAAATTGGCGACAGCTGAGTACACATAGTGTTAAAAAAAGAAAGACAGTGAAATAATAGTGAGATAATTGTGAAAGAACTGGTGGAAATGGTTTTTGATGTGAGCGAGTGAGCGGGTGTTTGAGGAGACACTTATTTTTCTCAACACGCCCAGGGACCGCTTACTGCTGCGTCACATGGGCAACGTTCATTGGTCGATAGAGCGATGTGACGTCATTTGGGTGAAGACCATTGGCTAACAGAACGGGTCCCGGACACGTGAATCGTGGCCAAGCAAGCATGGCTGTTGATGCGCAGTGGTTAACACTTGTAAAATGTTTCTGCCACGCGCCAGATCGATCAGGTTATAAAGAGTAAAGACTATTTAGCATTCATCACCCAAAAATTATTTGATAACACCATCTGGATGGATCCGTTGTGACCCATCAGTCTCACGTGTATAAATCATTGAAGTTAGCATCGCGTTGAACACTGCTGGTAAACGAAAAAAAAAAAAAAAGTTAAAAGAGTGACGAGAAGAGAAGGAAGAGGAAAAAAAAACGAAAAAAACAGAAGATTGCAGTTCTTGTGTGTGCAAACTCGGAGTGTATGTACAATTGACGCGTGTACTAGTGCATCTCGTGACACCGAGAGAGACAGAATTGAATCTGAAAGACAAGGAGAGGGGGGAGACGTCTCTCTGTGTTGAGTTTTTAAAAGTTAAAAAGCCGAGAGTTTGTCTCCCTCCCGTTGGGCAAATTTCGTGATAGAGAGTTTGCAGCGTGAAAATTCCCTTTGCCGGCCCACCAGGGGGAGATTGATTTCTCTACGAAACCCCCGTGAAAGTGGCAAACGCGCGTGTTTCCATTGTGACTCGGGCTGCGCACTACCATCCGTGAGTACAATATTCCATCTATTATTATTTATCCCCCCATTAATATTCACACACCCAAAAATCACTGGACATTGAATCCCGAGTTTTTTAGATGACTTATATTACCCCAATCCCTTTGTTTTCATTCATCTGATCAACCACGCCCGTATTACGGAGCCGAGGCTGTGCCCTCGGATCTCTGTCAAAAACTCGTTCTCGTTCACCGTTTGCTATCTGAGCATTACACTTATATACAATAGTTTATTTGTCTCCTGCCCACTGCACCTATCTCTCTCGACACTTTTTTTCTTCTCGTCTATTTAATTAACATGTGTATAGGTGGTTGCGTGGCGTGTTTTATGTGCCATAATAGAATCATCCAATCCCGTCTTATTTCACAGTGTGACGTCACGGAATCGGAGGTTTGCCATTGGTTAATGGAGGGAAAATGTGAGGATCTGCCGCTGTGTGAGGCACCTCTACCCAAAGCGTGCAGTTCCTCTCTATCCCCACTTGTTCGTCATTTTGTCGTGTAAAGGGAGGGGGGCAATTGTCAGTTGAGATGGTTTTGTCCTTGTTACTCGACTCTTTTTACCCTATCCTACGTTCCCCTGGCCACGCTACTTGACTTTTGCATATGGTAGCGGGGGGATGCCTTCGGTTGGACTTCACGGCGCCTTTTTAGAACGGCTTTACCTATTTTCGCACGCACCTCTCTACTCCACCTGCCTTTTACAAATTAAACCATCTCCCACTACATTTGTCACGCTATCCAACGAGTTTCCATTCGGGCTTTTCTTCTTTTCCGTTTTCCTTTTTTTTCTTTTCTTTTTATTACGTCCGAGGTGGGGACATTCACCCACTGAAGATGCGTTTTGGCGATCTCAGGTTTAGTGATAGGGGGAGACGCATATTTTTGCAGGAAACAATTCTGTAGGATAAGGTGAGAGTTGGAGAAAATCTGGGGATATTCGGAAGGATCTGCAACGGGTCGTCATCTTCTGGTGATTTTCAAGGAGTTATTCCTGTTTTTTTGCATTAATTGTAATTCAATAATTATTCCAGCATTTTCTCAGAAATTACAAAAATCGCATCAAATTCATTAAATCGTCTAATTTGTTGGAAGATTTCGATGGTTTTTTCGTTCTGTTTATTTTAATTGAAGATTATTTTGTAGATTTCGAAGTGACGTCAAATTTATAAAAATCAGACGATTTTATCGGTGCAGGGATTTAAGAGGTTCGATCGAAAAACACTTCTCTTGGTTTTTATTTATCATTTAATTGCTGACGCAAGCAATTATTCCATTCATTCCATCAATTTCATTAAATTATGAAAAATCTCTTTCTCTGAATCTTGCGATTTTTTGCGAGATTATGAAATGAGACCGAATCCATAAAAATCTGCCAATTCGATTATCAAATATCGGCTTTGCCGTGCTCAAACGGACTCAATAGCGAAAATGATTTTCGTCAGGCTTAATCCGCACTTTAATTACCGACTGGAACAATTCTTTTGTAATGATGTTTACCTTGTGAAGACGATAAAGATATTCGAGTTTTGAAAGTTCCTATTGTGTACATGAGAAAGCGAGATTCTTTTCCGTTCTCCCACTTGAATTGCCCAGTACTCCCTCCGCCTCGTCCTCTCGTATCTTTTTTATTTCATTTTTTTTTGCTGCAATGTGTTGGTACTCCAAGAATCACATCAGTTTGACCGTTACCAAGTGTGAAGAGAGCCAGTTACTCAGCCAAGAGGGGGGCAAATAGGAGTGGGAGGTCATACTGTGGTAACGAGTGACAATTTTTCAAACAAATCCCCCTTATTCCTCCATTCACTATTTACCTGAGGTCATTAAATTCACCCTATACCTGTGATTCATCATTTTTACGTCTTCTCAGTTCAAAGTTGGTGATTTTTTTTTTTCTTCAACTCGGGATAGTGCGAGCACGTGCTCGGTAACACGTGTCCACGTCTTGGAGTTCTTCGACTGTTCACACCGATCTTGGGGGATAAATGATTTTGATGAGGGGCTTCATTCACTCGTTTGTTCATTAATGGAGCCCCCAGGGAGGGATTATTTATATAAAATTGTGATGTAGTCTGGTGGGTATGGGTGACACAGGCGAGTGAAAAGAGCGTATCTTTGCGCCTGCGCAGGTGTTACTTTACAACGGCGTACACAAAACGCATGAAAAATAAGATTCATGTGAAAAGTAATACTGTGAAGACACAGTGTTGAGGAATTGTCTTTGTAAATTTCGAGGAAACTTAGACGTCGAAAAATATGTCAATTTTTTGTCTTATCATTATTCAATGAGTCATACATTATCAGAGAAAATTCCGTTGAAAAAACATTAAAAAATGGAAATAATTCCAAAATTATCTAAAAGAAACTTCAAATCAAGTATCAATTCCTATAAAAATCTATTGATTTCCTAGATTGCATACAGATTAAATCAATACATCTTTCACTAACAAATGAATTGTGTAGTAAATCTGCACTGAGAAGTATCCGACAATTTAAAAAAAGCAATCTTCAGGTCAGACCGGATTTATTAATAATAAATCACGTGATTTTCATTACTTCCAGAATTTATAGTTATTGTACCTGTGGGAGTGAGACGAGGGATTTTATGCCTTCATAAAAAATTCGTGGCTTTTCTCGTTATCTATTGATTGGAGCAAGTTGTTAAAATTGGAAGAAAAATTTTGCGATAAGCTTCAATATAAAGTCAAGTGATGGTCAGGGAAAAATTCTGGGGCTAGAATCCCTGACGATAATTCACGCGAATGTGGAAAAATTCACGTGTAAGTACTGGAATTTTTCTGGAAATTTTTTTTCCGTGTGGCTGATTAAAAGAAGTTTCACGCGTTTATCAAACCAGAGGTTATCTCGTTGCTTCGCCAGAAAGACTCGTTTTGCGGTTGTCTGAAAAAAAAATTACAGGGAAGAAGAATTTGAAGTAATTCAACAGCTATAGCTGAAGTCGTTGAATGCATGGAACTATTTATAAAAATAGTTATCGTTATTCGTTAATTATTAATATTTATGGGAAGCAAACGGGTCGAGAGTAACGAGTCAACCAGTCTTCCGCATTGGAATGTTTAAGGAATATCTTACAATCCCAGAGAGATGGCGATATTTCCGTGAAAATCTTTTTTGTAGCTCTGATTGTGGTTCACAAAAAAGCCTTAACAAAAATTTCGCTATTCCTCTTTCATTTTGAGATATTCCTCGGGAATGGGGGAATTGTGTAACGAGAGTTTTGTTAACTCTAATAAAATGAGGAATGGCTCTTGCCAAGAATGGAGTTCTCTGCACCATCTCAAGATGAACGAGATACCTCAGATCTCATAGATTTAATTTCTGTACTTTAAAAAAAGTCTCTCTTGGGAAATTCCCCGAAATCTCCAAGTTGATTCCACCAATCTCCACCGTCTTGCTATCACTCCTCTCATTTGCCTCCGCAATCTGCACTATTTTTATTATTTATCCTCTTCCATGCCTCTCAAAAGCATTGCATCATCTCGAAATTTTTTTTTGTTTATTTGAAGAGCCAGTAATGAATTTGTGGTGGTTCTGCCCGGTTTTAGCCAATATTACCGGTTATTTTCGTTTTCTGAGACACCAATGATGGGATTGACGCGAAAAAATATACCGTTTTTGCATTTTATCATCATTTCCTGACCCACGACGTTTCATGCGCGTGCAATAATTTTACTGTGTTTTTTCCTGAAGTTTTATGAATTTTTATGATTATAGAACTTTGGGATTCATTAAATAATGATAAAATGCGAAAACGGTATATTTTTTCGCGTCAATCTCATTAACACTTTCTCAGAAAACTCAAAAACCGGTAATTTTAACTAAAAGGAGGCAGAATATCCTTGAAAAAATTAAAAATGAATCGCAGATTACTGAAGTGATATTCACCTTATATTCACGCTCGATTTTGTCAAAAAAATCTATAAAATAATTAAAATAATTAAAACTAATTGAAGAATAATGTGAAGAATATTCTGAAATTATTCCACAAATAGCTAGACAATAAAATCCCTAGCCGCGAATTTCACCAATTCAACAACAAATATGAAAATTTTCAAAACTATAAAAATAATTCCTCAACAAAAATAATTTTAAAAATATAAAAAAAAATGAATAAATAAAAAATTGAATGAATTATTATCAAATGAATTCGAAAATTTGTCTTTAATTCGCCATTTTTTGAGATATTCGATAAACGATTCCTGTGATAAAACTCAGCTACTGCTTTCCAAAATTCTCAGTACCTGAAAAATGTGTGAATTGATTGCAGACTGGCACCCGGGTCAGTGTACCCCCTCATATCACCGGTGATCCTCGCACCATCGAGTGAAAAACATCAGCATGAGCCTGGAGACACTGCTGGAAGCTGCCCGATATGTCGAGCAGCAAGAGAAGAAACGAGAGAGGGTCGCCAGCACTTCCTCATCCTCGGACCACTCATTCGCCGTTGCCCCACACTCAAATCATCACAATTCAAACGAGCCACGTGGTAAGTTTCATCTCCCCCCTCAATTCTCTTAACTCCCCCTTACCCCTCACCCCTCACCCGGGTACCACCCAATTGTTAAAGCGGGATCAATGCTCCGGACGAAAAACGAAAGGCCCAAATCGCCTGCACGAACCGCAAGTGCCAAATTGCGAGACCACTGCGCTCGTCCTTGGATCATTTCCTCCCCCTTCCACCCACCCCCTTTTTGGCACAATTTAACTTTCCAGGGAGTAACCACAATCCGTAAACAATGCGCCCCAATTTTTTAATGATTTTCTCCGGTACTTCGTCGCCCACGTTTTCGCCAAAGGTCATGGATCTTGCGGTTGAGGGGAAAAAAGAAAGGAAAATAGTGATGGTTACGGGGGGGTGGGGGGGAGGCTAGGGGAAAAAATAAAGGAGAGAACCGGCTATCGACCGTTCGACCACGTGATCTAGGGTAACATTGAACGATGGTTGAGAACCACTGCCCATAAAAAACCATATGAATCGCACGCGTTGACCCACGCGCTCTCTTCGTCTCCAAATTAGGTATGATTTCCCTGTCACCAGGGGTTCTCAGTTATTTTGCCACTGAAATCATTAGCCATTGCAATTCCCTCATTTTTCCACAGTAGCTTTTCCAACGGGGTCACTGAACTCTGGGTACAGTAGCACGTGGCATCGAAATAAATGATGCGAGATGTTTTTCTTGGTGATACCGAGAGATCGTGGTGAGGGATCAAATTCTGGTCTTTTTGCATATCGCGTAATTTATCATAGTTACTGTTTATGATGTTAATGCATATTTTACAATATTTATATTAATTAAAAAAGAGTGTATACAAAAATTTCAGGGGGGGAAATTTTTTGAGGGCTAGACTGAACTCGCGGTTAGTGATTATCGGTGGTTTTTTATATTTCGGGAACAATTTATTTTTATATGTGATTATGTCTATACTTAGAGGCATTTAAAAATCGTTTCATTCATTCGGCACTTGGAGAAAAATTGAAATGAGTTTATAATGTAATTCTGGTGCGAAAAAAAAGATCGCTCACGGGATAAAATTCTGTTGGTCGTTTTAACGCGGAAACTGGGGGAAATGACTTGATACTTTTTTGCAGATCATTACATTTTTTATGGGAAAGAAATCTTGATCTTTTTTGTTGAACGTGTTATTGCGGATTTCTTTTTATTTTCTATCTTTTTTTTTTACAAATTTCTGAGAGACGGCTGGTGAAATTGGCGTGAAAAAATCTACGGTATATTTTTTTAGGTTTTATCATTTTCAATGCCCCATGAAGCTTCATCGCCGTGGAAAAATTTTCTTACGTTCTTAAAATTCATAAGAATGTACCGAAAATTCAGAAAAATGGACGCACGACTCTGAAAATTTGTGAGTTATTATATTGCATAAGGGAAAAACAAAAATAGTATATTTTATCATGTAAATCTCAACCAGGGTCTTCCAGAAATTTACAAAATAATACACGAAAAATTAGAAGATTTCGGCAATAACTCTTTAATCAGTATTTTATTAGTGGTTAAAGTACATTGGTAGTGAGGTAGTGAAGAACTGAGAGGACAAAGCAAATTTAAAATTATTGCTTATTACCGGCTTATCTCATAAAATGTTGTGCTTTTTTTTAAAATTGAAACCGTTTCCGGCATGAATCGACAATTGAGAAAAACGATAAATTCGATTATGCAAAATGGTAGTCATGGTAATGGTCAACGAATAGACTTTATCTGTCTATCTATTTAATTCGAGTTATCTCACTTTGCCACTTCGTTATTGCAATAATGTGAGCTGTTTTTCTTGGGGATGCGTGGTGCGAACACTTGCTGATAACAGCCCAGTGACAAAGTGCGATAAGTCGAATAAAAAAAAATATTAATCATTGACATATCTGGAAAACTCTCCCTTCAAAATGAAAAAAAAAACACTTGAATCATTCGTTGTCGACAAAAATCAGGAATTAAAAAAAAAATGAAATTCCGCGTTAATTAAAATTTCACCACTTGTCTACTGAATTGATCGTTTGGCATTGATTGAGGGAAAAATGTGGGGAATACTCTTGGGGGAAAATGAAAGGGTGACGGAAGTTGGACTCGTGAAGAAGTCGATCGGGCCTGTGGGCCCCGGAGTGGGGACCGACGGCCGGTTTTAATACACCGAGAGAAGGAAAAAAGCGAACGGTGAAAATAAAAAAAAGATTGAGTAAAAAAACGTGGGTGAAGGGAGAGAGCTGAGGCACGACGAGAAGAGGCCGGTCACGTCGTGCATTTCGGCGTGTTGGTGAGGCAAACAAGCGGGGGAGGAGTACTGTAAATCGTCGGTCAGTGACTCCGAACTCTCGGTATTTTTTTCGGAAAATTTCATGACGATGCACTGATCATTTAGATGTACTCAGATAAGCCCGGGGTAACCTGATTACCTGATAACTTCAAATATCGGTGGACTAAAGCAAACACCCGAAAACTAAAAAAAAAATCACTTTGTTACCCAAATTTTCTCAGCTGTTTCAAGACAAAATGAACACCTGATGAGTCAGTAGATGAGTTGGATCAAAAAATGATTATTCGGAAAATCTTAGGAACAAAGTATTTTCGTTTTCGAAATTAAATTTATTAAAAATAGTATTCTCAAGGCAAAGGAACAGCTGACAAATGTCATACCCTGTGTCCACTGAAAATGGTACCAAAAAGATTTCGGGAAAGAAATATTAATAATTAAAAAAAAAGGCTATAAATTTTCCCCTTTTTTCTTGCTAATCCTAAAACCGTTGAGCCACTGTCTGATGTCAACGTTACGGTAGTATTAACATCCACAATGAAATAGTGACAACATCGATATCCAATGGCATTATTATTTACAGTTGGTGTCCATGTTCCCCAGTCCTTTCTATTGGTTTTTATTTTCAAGCTGTGGAGAAATTTGGGAATATGAAAATGTCAAATGGTATTGTCGGGTAGTTCGAGGTAAACAATGGAAGTTGGTTGCCGGCCGGGGTAGAGCCTAGAGGTGTAATGGAATAACAGGCAGCTCTAGCTGTTTGAACGTGGGGCTAGGGGCGGGCGGAAGAGCACGCGGCCAGAGGTTTTACCTCTACTGCGCATGTACCCTGTCCCCGGCAATTTTTGCCCCACCACGAGTTAACCCGGCCGCGTGGCGTTCTGATCAATTCCACAGGGTTGCCAGATCTTCCTCCACATAATACCCACATACTACTCCAGCGAATATTTTTTTTTGCAATTTTTACTCCCCTTCGTTTTTTTCTTAAAAATCTTTTGATTTTCATTGACATCAAATTTTACACCCACATAGATAAAAAAAAGTTTTTTTGTTTTGCAGTTTAGGGGAAAATTTAAAGTTGAATAAATTTGAATTAATTAATTACTGTTTTTAATTAATTGGATAAATTTTGATTTTTGTGATGATTTATGGATGGATAGTCTACTCGGGTAAATGCCAGGGTCGGGAGCCTCATCACCCGGTGGATATCCCCGGCTGCCTCCAGCCATCACCACTTCCACTTACTCCTCTTTCGAATTGTCATTTCCCTCTGCTTCCCGCCGCCACGTGCTTCGTTCAACATCCTAGACAATATGGAACTCATTCCCAAAAGCGGTCAATTAATATCCTCACCCCACACTGAGATTTCTTAAAATTCCACAAACCCATCAGCATGTTCAATTACATGAGTTTGAATATAAATCTGATAAAATTTGGCGTTTCATGTTTGCTGGTAACCCCCAAGGAATTGCACGCAGTCCACGAATTCCATTCTGCCCCACCCCATCACGATCACCAGATAGGCAATTCCCTTGAAATCCAGTTTTAAAATCAAGTTCGGTAATCCGACTAGAATAATTCCGCCCGCAAAACCCACTCGCGAGTGAAATAAGAAAAAAAAAAAACTCATGGCAAACATTTTGTTAAAATCCATGACCTCAATGAATGATCACGTAAAACGTCATCACTCCGGTCACCTTGGGACACGTACAATTGCAATCCCCGGAGTTGCCGCGAGATGGAAGCGCCAACGTCGAGGATAAACGGTACCACGAAGGTCGTCATTTAAAGCCCCCCTCCCGCCCCTTCCCCTTAAAGCAACCCCCTTTGCCCCCAATCATCAAACCGAAATTAACTGTTGAATTGAATTTTCTCCCAAAACAGGTGCAAAGATGAAAAGAGAGCGGAGCGAACCAGATGACCTGTTCTGCGAGGAAAAAATGCTGATAATCGATGGTGAGTCAACCCCACGAAAATAATCTCTCCCTCTCGTTCCCCTCGTCCACCCCCACACAATATGTACTTGAAATCATATCTTTATCGGTGAGAATTACCAAGTGCTCGTGATCAACTCCACGTGGACGACCTGTCAATATCACTGCAAGAGCACTTGCCTGTTTGAGCATCGGGTGAAGCGAGGGAAGGGAGCGGATGGGGTGGGTGGGCTATGGGTGGTAGGGGGAGAAAAAAAAGGGGGGGGGGGATGGTGGGGAGAAAGGGGGAGGCCGTTATTGGGCATTCAGGGTGTTAGATATCTGTTAGGGGGTCTTGCGTGTGAAGGGGTGGGGAAGTCCGGGGTACGACGAGCGGTCGTCGACGCTCCTTCATCATCCTCAGGTTGGTGCTAACCGCACCAGTTCGGTCACAACTCGAGCTTAGATCTCAGTCGGCATTTGCGACTCACACGTCACATATCTACTGATTTTTCGCGCTCGGTTTTCAGTTATCGACTATTTGATTTTTCAGTGGTTTACGGGAATTTTATTTGGGTTAAAATTTTGGATTATTTATTAGGATATTTTGGGTTGATTTTGGATCTTATTACGATTGATTAAGGATTGATTAATGATTGATTAACGATTGATTGACGATTGATTAACGATTGATTAACGTTTGACTTGGAGAATTCCAAGTGCGAGGGGTGTTATTATCTGGGTGATAATCGCGTTGGTGATAACGTAAGAATTTGACGAGTTGATGGATTGATAAGACTGCAGGTACTTCTATTTGATGAGGGGGTCTCAGGGGGAAGTGATCCCGAAAATTTTGCAACTTTCACTCGGGTGATGAGGTAGAGACATTTTTCTCATTTGTAGTCGCGTTAAAATCATGTGATAAGGACAATGGGCGTTTTGCTGATGGGTGACAGTGCATTAGTAGATGAGCACATGAGTGTTGTTGTTGGAAAGACAGTGGATTTATTGGTGAAAGGTGTTAATGGTAGTGACGTGAAGGGAATTAACGAGACGAAAGGGCTTCCGATGGTCGGGATCATTGACGTCGTCGATGACGACGCACGGTGGGTTACACCTCCACCAAAGAAGAAGTGGATACGTCACTATTTTCTCGGTAAGAATTGCATAACAATGGGTTTGAGAATTTATGATAGGTCCGGATAAAGAAGTTATAATCGTACAAAATTTTCCCAAGCTCTTATGATTTGAAAGTTTCAGTTTCAATATAGATATTCTCCCAGGGCTTTTCGCATCTGTCCAGGGGTTCTGTCGCCTCTCTATTTTCCCATGTGATTTTCAATAAATATTTCATCGACCATAAATTTCCATGCACCTTTATCAATCACATGATCTATCAATTCCTGATGATAGTACAATCATTTTCATACTTTTTTTCTACAGTATACCAATTATATTTTTTCTTAAAACTAAAAAAAAAAATTCAAAAACGTTATATGCATGTATTTTTATATGTATTCCCTCGGCTATTTACATTTTCTCACCGTCCCTGCCCGATGATAGCAAAACAAACAAAATAATACAACACAAATCAAATATCTCATTTATCATTCCAACTTTATCCACGCCATATGGGCTACATTATTCGTGTTCAGGTTTAATCCATAATATATAATATGTAACGTACACTCTATAATACTATACATTCCTTGATGCGAAGTAAACATTTCTATAATATCTGAAACGTTATATTATATTTAAAAAAAGCAAGTGAACAAAAAATTAAAAAAAAGTGAATTTTGGCGGAAATATGGAGGTATATAGTATATACCCTTAAACCGGTTTATTTCATTAGTTCAATAATCATGAGGAATGGTTGACGTATGATTTGAGTTTGCCCTTCGTCTTTATTGATTGATTCATTTATTCATTCATTTATTTATTTATTTATTTTTTATTCTGTGTTCTTGTGGCCTAGTGGTATTGTCGGATGATGGGGGTGATTTTTTTGAGAATATTGTTTGTTTTCGGGTGGTAATAGGAAAGGAATTAGCTTGTCTCGGATTTCCCCGAGACAGACGGACTTCCAGACGCGCGCACCAGTATGACCGAGGAGTCACGTGTCCGTCTGCGTGGTAATCCCCACTCTCGGTGAATTTGTTTCACCGAGATATCCCCTGACCCGCACTCTACCCGTCTACCTCGACCACGTGTTATCCCCCACTAGGTTGTCTCACTTCCTCCCAACAACTCCCACCTCAATATTCCTGTTACCTCGCCAATACTGCACGCACTCTCATGTTTCCTTGGTACTTTTTGCAAAAATTCACTCGTACCGATTATTCTCTTGCAAATCTATCGCTTTGTTTGTTTTTATTCCCCCAGCTTTTTCCCTCTCTTTTCTCGGGGACAAATTGTTGCTAGCCTATCATTACAGCTGAGACACTTTAATTATTATTTTAATTATAACGGTAATTGTGGGTTATTATTAACGGATTTAGCGGGATTTTTTGTAATGCGATTAATTTCAGTTTTCAGAGGGTTTATGGTATTGCGGTTTATTAATGCGGGGTGGGCACTTGTCATCGGTTTATTATTTTTTAATGCAATTCAAGTCAACTTGGTTTGGCAATTTCAGTTAACATTTACAGGGGTTATAGTTTCGATTATCTCTTAAGAAATTATTACCGATATCTTCTAATTTTTTAAGTTTTTTTAAAATAATTTTTGAGAAACGGTTGGTAAAATTGAAATTAAAAAATACACCATTCCTCAATTTTATTGTTATTTTTAATTTAAGTTAATTTTCCTACGTTTTCAGGAAACTTGCACTAATACCCAACACTTGACAGAAAAATTACAAAAATAAACGCATGACTATAATAATTTGTGAGTCATTTAATAATGATAAAAGGTAAAATAGAAAATTTATTTAAAAAATGAAAAATGAGAAGATATTGGTGATGATTCATTAAGATATTTAGTCTTTGGTAATATAATATTCTGTTACACTCTAAATTTTATTTTTCGATAATTTTGAATAGTTTAAATCTCTCTTTATCGGTTTATTATAGTATTGTTATTTTAGTTTTCCGTCACATGTTCACATTTTAACGATTGACGAGTCCTGTTGTGGATTTCGTAATCGAATACCCGTTCTCGAAGATTCGTGTTGCCGACAGGTGAAAATCATGTTTCGGTGTGGTTTTGCGGATGTACGAGAAAATCTGTGGATATTTGAAAAAATATTGTAGGAACTTTTTTGAAGATCTGTGTGCAATCTTGAGAAAAGTTTCTTACAACATTTTGATAGCTCTCTCAAGTTTTGTGGCATTGGTTAAAAACTGGTGGAGCGTTTTATTTTTCTTTCAAATGGAAGAAGCGAGTGGACACAGCGTTTCATTCGTCGATAAGTCGGCATCGGTAGAGTGGAATTGAAAGTTTTTTTTTAAGTTCTAAAGGTATTTTTCCACGCTTTAAAATGAGACCGGACTAGCTCAAATCGCACCGTTTGGCCTGGAGATATTGGGGATTTATTTCGGTTTCGGTTCATGGCTCTGGACTCTCTGGAGTCTTCTATTTTTATAATGTTTTTTAGACAGTTCTCTCCACTTTTTTATATGAGACACCAGATAAACCAGTTTGCACAGTGGGAGAATGGAACTGATAAAAAAAAAAATCAAATTGATGTTTTACCTGGAAAGTTCCTGGGCGGTTAATAATATTTCTTCACCTTTTATCAGAGGTCTACTAGAAGGATGCGGTTAAAATAGATTTAGGAAGCTGCAAAGCAATGCAATACGAATGCCAAGAGAGACGAGAAGAGATCAACATGAATGAGCCTACCAGTGTTAATTTATAGCACTGAGAAAGAATAATAAAAAAATGTAAATAAACGAAGCATTCATGCCGGAGTGTTTCAGCTGTTGCACTGGGGTTGAAATTAGGCATTCGATGTGCCTAGTCTCCCTAGTCATTCTAAAGTTAATCCAGACGCCAAGTCATTCAGCTTTTGCTCTATTGTTCTTTTGGTTCAACGAGTTTCTAGTTTTTCCACTGCTATCTATAATTCTTCAAATATTCTGCTCTTAGCGCACTTTCCCCTTCGATAAACCCACGAAATACTAAAACACTGCTCCATGCTCCACTCTTTAATTCATTTTTTTATTTCGGGAAATGATTCAACTTCGGAAGATTATTTTGAAGATTATTTTCTTAATTATCGTATTTCATCATTATTTAATGACTCAAAATGTCATGATCATGCAATGATAATAATAAATATAAAAGCGATATTTTTCAAAAATCCAATTCACAATTTGTCAGAAAATTTAAGAAACCGGTAATTTTTGGGAAAAGTTGGCAGAAAATTCTGAAATATTCCATCCATATATATATATATATATACATATTACAGTGAATCATCAGTTGTTTGAAAACTAATTTTATGTACTTAAAAATTAATAATTATAACGTTTTTTCCTTAATGAACATAATAGAGAGCAATGCGCATTGAGCATTGTCAGCTGACGCAGTGACGATTTTTTAAACAAAGATTATAGTACCTCTGTTATTGCAGTACGTTTTTTTTGTTTTTCATTTTTAAGATAAGATTGGGAGACCGTGCAATAAAAAAAACTGGAAAAACCGCAAGCGTTCCATTTTTATGGGTTTCATGAGAAAATGCATTATAAATTCATAGACTTCTTGGTTCATTAATGCATGATTGAGAATTGACGTAAGCAATTGTTTAGGAGTGTTGATAAGGTGAGATAAATCGAATCCTCCGGTTTTGTCGCAATCGAATTATTTCGCAAATTTGATTTCAGGAGAAATTATCGAATTTCCATTTGCAATCGAATTTTTTTCCATTCTTTGCGATATAGGAGCCTGGGGTGGAATGAGCACCCAAAAAAATTGGAAAATTATTTCGTAACGCAAATTTTCTCAAACTGTTTCAGAACCAAATGATAAATCAGTGGGTGAATCGAGCAAAAAATATAATCACTCGAAAAATATTAGGGACAAATGAATTTTTCTTCCGAAATTCAAATGATTAAAAACTGAGTTTGTAAATGGGTAAAAAAAAAAAATAACTGAATGCAAATTTCTGCGATAAAAAAAACAAGTCGTCCATTTTACCCCACTTTCTTCTAAGTCAATTAGAATAAATGTTAATGTCAATTAGAATGGACTTATCCCGTGTTATCATGGCCGCTGAATTTATCCGAGATAATGAGACAGATTGCGAGGATGTTACGGCTGTTTTTCGTTGTTTAATTATGTATAACTATTTGGTTTGCAGAGGAAGATCCGCTGGACATTAGCAGAACGAATGGCAACCACTCGACAACCCTCCGGGGCAGTCCTATTATCTCACGTGGAGCACTTTCAAATCCAAATACCACTCAGACAAGCATTCATCACGTTACAACTCATCATCAAGTTCATCACCAGAATAATCACAACAGTACATCGCACAATCATTATGTCGATAATCATAGTACAAATCATAATCAGAGTACTGCGGCGTCGATCGTCGTCGACATGGATTCATCGCATGACAATAAAAAACATCGGAATGGGTAATTAATATTTACATTAATTTTTTTGGGGAACCTAGAAATTAGGGGGAACCAATTGTAAACAATGAGAATCAATCCCGAAAAAATTTACATCCTAATAATCATTTTATTATTAATTATTTGTGAAGTATACATTTTTCAAGAACAAGAGGTATTTTTTTTTCTATGAATTCACAAAATTTGGATTGGCTATTAAATTATTTAGAGTTGAAACGCCCTAGGCGTTTGAAAACGTTGAAAAATAATCAACAAAGTTCTAAAAAAGTGCGGAAGCGGTAAAAAATTCATTTTTAAATAGTATCCTACAAGATTTAGTATCGAGGAAGTGCTATAGATGTCTAGAGACACGTGAAACCTTCCAAGTTTTTGTCATACATTACTGATATAATATTTATTTTCTAAATATTATTATTTCCAAATTATTCTTTGATTTATTCCCGCGAAGAATGTGCCTTGAAACCCGGAGTACAAAATAGAAAAAAGTAGGTCAAAATAATTCAAGTAAAATTCTCCAGAGGCTCAAAGAGTTTTTATTTTTTCTCAACATTTCCTAAGACTAATATCCAAAAATTCTTCAAACGAAATAGAAATATTGATATTATCTCCTGAAAACTGAGAGATTCCACTGTTCGCGCATGCATTGCAATTGCAATTACAATAGCAAATAAAAAAATGAATATAGTTTCCCAGATATATTATTTCCGAGATACTAAAATGATTGAAAGTCGAGCCCCTTGTAAATAAGGAGAAGGCATAAAGGAAGTTATTAAAAATTGCGCTGAATTGATAAAATGAATTTTCAGACCATGTGTCATAAGATCTGGCACTCGGGAAGTTCACAACAAGCTCGAGAAAAATCGTCGGGCCCACCTGAAGGAGTGCTTTGAGCTGCTGAAGAAGCAACTCCCAGCCCAGGACGAGAAAAAATCATCAAACCTGTCAATCCTTCATGCAGCAATAAGGCATATTCAGGTGGGTGGCCTCCTCTTTCCAATCGAACCAAAAAATAAAACATATTCAAAATGAATAAAACGTGGCAACACGCACAGTCCATTGGAATGTACCACGCGGTGAGAATTACAATTTGAAATAAGCCAAATGCGATTGAAAAAATTCCACCGCCATTCCTTATTTCACCCGACGATTCATTACAATAATGTGCCATTCCGTTACATGGTCAACTTACTCGGTAAACGTTGGTGCAAAAATGGGAAAATATTCGATATTTTGAACTACCCCGAGTTATCGCAGCCCACGAGTATTAAATGTCAGTTTAGACTCGTTCAATATGTGCATTCGTATTTAATTTCTATCTGATGAATAAAGTATCATTATTTGGATTGAAAATAAAAACTCGGCGATGGAATCAGTTGGAAGAAGCAAAGAGTAATAACGCTTCTGGAAATAAAAAACCAATGATATTGCAAGAGAGTAATTCTCTATGCGATTTAAGAAGAGAAAAATCATTTAGTAATGACGTCAGTAATTATTTTGCGGTATTCTAACGTTTTCATCAGCACAAACACGATTTTTTTGAGAAAAAAAATCCTGGTAAATACTCAAATTTCTCTGTTCTATCGAATTATTGGGAATGATAAAACTGATATTTACAGCTGTCATTGATTTTCCCATTATAGGAATTTTTTAGAAATTTTTTTTACAAAAATTCCTTGACATTTCAGGGGAATTCGAATATGAAATATTTGATACAAATTTTCACCAGTCGATAATATCTCAGGATTCAAGAGAAATCGCGAAAATTTCCTCAGAATCTTTTTTGTGGAGTAAAATGAGAGCTTTAAGAAATACTTCTATGAAAATTTTCCTATCTCGCTTAGATTCAAAAATATCCCCCGAAAACTGGCTTATTAAATAAATCGACGTTTTACCCCTTCACTGCTTAAATAAAGACAGAACAGACAGATGTTCTTCTGACTTCGCCAGCATTGTTGACCCACTTAAAGTTAATACTAAGTTGATCTTTCGGGTTTGGTCAATGTATTTTTATGTCTAGTGTGTTGGCTTGTCCAAGAAAAGTCCCACCGATCTCAACATATAGGATTCAACGTTCGTTTTAAAAATATAATTCGCAGCGTTCAACCATCCTGTTTATTTGTCTACTCTACATTGAAAGAGAAATCTGCCTTTGGTCTCCTGACCAAAGGAACACGAACCCGATACCCAGTTGAATATTTTCTCATTAATAAATTAAAAAAAATCGTGTAATCTCCAGATTAATAATCTTTTAATCTGAAAATCACTTAAACATTCCTCGCAGTCAAGAAAATCTCATTTCACTCAAACACAATTTATCTTCTATTGTGAAAACAAGACTAATCAGAAGATTTTACGATTTTAAAACTGACACGAGAATACTTGTTTAAGATCATGCACAACTTTCCTCAAAAGCCATATTTTTCCATGAGTCGTATCCCGAGGCATAAAAATTAACAGCCAAATAGCCGATCCGTGTTATCCTTGAAAATTCGCATCCAACAATTTGAGACATTGAACCTGCCAATAAAGAAAAACATGCAGTGTGATAAGCCCGACGATAATGACGACTTGTTGTTTCGAGGTAAATAAGTTTATGTGCCTGACCTTCCCCAACAGGAGGGAACGACCACGTAACCACGTCATCACGTGATTATCTCATGTTTATCATTCAGCACTAATTTATTTCTCGGTTATTGAAATTGAAAAATAATATTAGATGACCAATTATCAAGTTGTGATAAGAGAGACGAAGGAGACGAAGGTTGTGACTACAAGTGCTGAAAAAAAAAATCGGAGATTTATATTGATTACTCAAGTTCACGGTCAATTAAGATGACGAATAATCATTTCCTTGCAGCCTGTATTCCTCGAGAGTTTATCTCGTTGTTTTTTTATTGTCACGTGATGAACAGCCATTGCTACGATACTTCATGGCACGTACATTTGTTGCAAGGAATGCAGAGACCACATATTTATTTAATTCTTTACGAGCCTGTGATTTATCCTCGTCTTTATATGTATTGTATTGAGCCACTTGGGAAAAATCCAATGGTTGAATTCTACTCGAGTATTTGAATACCCGGAAAATTCTTGGATTTTGTCAGGATGATGTACCCAAGACGTTGACGATCGTTGCCATCCAGCACGTGTTTGTCAGTGGAGCGCGTGCGCCATGACCTTTAGTGCCTCAACATCTCCACGTGTACATCAAAATCACTACACGTTCATAATGTGTTGCTAACGTAGCTCAGGCTCACGTGTACCAAGTTTTAAATGGAGGATAAACAACTGATGCTTTTGGCTGAGGGCCAGAAGGCGTTTTTGCTGGTTCAACTCGGTTTTCAGAATCTGAGGGAGTTTTCCAAGGGATCGGCTATTTCTATTGCTGATTGCGTTGATTGTATTTTTTTTCTTCGATTGTCGAGCAACGTCTTCCCTCGAATTTAACAAATCATGGATCATGGATCAAGCATGGGCGCGTGAATTTTTTTCTAAAAAATTGAGATCAAAACTTTTTCCCAAAATCAAATGTTTTCATCAGATTAAATTAAAAAAAATCTAAACGTACTAAGAGCGGACACCAGCTCTTTATTAATCCAATACGTAATAATGAAAAATACTTTGTACAAATCATTGTTTAATGTATTAGTCTTCTTATGATGATGATAATGATTGCAGACGTTGAGGAGAAAGGAGAGGGACTCCGAGCACGAGATGGAGAGACTGGCGAGAGAGAAAATTGCTGCTCAACAGAGGATAGTTGCACTGAAGAAGGAACTTTCCACCACGTGGGATCACATTGATTTCAGTACCTTGTTGCAGGAGCCGAGTTCAGTGATCGATCCATTATTATGCAAAAATGGTACATATTTTTATCTTCAATGATTATTTTATTAATAATTAGTGGACATGCATCAGCTCCAAGCTCAATTCGTTCCCTTTCGATTTGATAATTAACTGATGCCAGAGTAAATTAAATGCTTGCAGAGCTGTTTGGGGATTGGAACCTCAAATCGCTTTGAAAGTATTTGACAAAATCATATTTAATAGAATATTTATTGATGAAATAATATTCTTACTTTCTAATGGAATCTTTACTTTAAAGGGAGAATATTAAAATAATTATCAAAACAAACGAGATTCCATTAGGAAGGAAATGACTAATTTATCAGCAACGAGAAGTATATCAATTATTAAAAATGTAATTATGATTCTGTTTGAATAGTTTCGGAAAGTATGGACGTCGATGTGTCAGGTCTGGCCCGAGGTGGTACACGATACAGTAGCACCAGTAGTTTAAGTTCAGCAGCAACAGCGAGTTCACCCCAGAATCATCAAACAAGTACAACATCATCGATTCACAATCAAGTAGCAACAGCAGCTGTTGTATGCCAGACCCAGGGGTTGAATCTCGCCCAAAATTCACGGGAGAGTCCACCAGCGAGCTCTAGCCCAGGTGCATCAACCCCGAGTATTCCAACTCCAGCTCAAGAAAAAGTCACTTCACCCCCAGTGGTCCAGCAGTCTCATCAGCTGCATCTGCCAATAAGTGCCCAAATGCTGAATACAACCCAGGGTTTGGCAACAATTGTGCCAACACTTCAGCATCTGGGCTCTGGCCTTCGTGTGATACCTGGTGACACGAGGCAATTGCTCGTTACCCACACAACTGGTAGCAGTGAGCCACGACCACTAACTCTGGCTGTCCAAAATCCTGGTGATCAGACACGACCACTCATTGCTGTACAATCGAATGCTGGAAGTGAGCCAAGACCAGTTGCACTTGTTGTGCATTCATCAGCAGCTAATGACAACCGTGTGACGTTTGTACATTCAAATTTGTCGAACCAGGAGAGACCACTTGCACTTGCTGTACAATCGTCAGCTAGTGATGTACGACCTGTTACTTTTGTACATTCGGGGAATGATGCGAGGCCACTCGTACTTGCTACACATCCACCTCCACTCAATGTCACTAGTAAGTTCATTGTACCAGATATTTTTATTTAACAATAAATAACTGTCTCAGTACGTGGAGATTTTTTTTTTATTTCGATTCAATATTTTCCTAAAAATTATTTTCCCTGTGGCCCGCATGGACTATCTATCGAGGCTAATCTGGTGTTTGAATTTTATCTTGCTGGTGTAAAATATTTCTATATTTGGGATTCAAATTGTGCTACGGTAACTACTTCACTGATTATAAAAAAATAATTATGAAAAACAGCAATTACAACAATTTATTTACAATAGCTAAATATTGAAACAAAATAAAAAATGTTGAAATATTGAAGGTTCCGAAAATAGTCAAACAACTGAGGGAGTCTATAAATTTTGATAATCAAACATTTTGGAATTTCAAAAGTTGGCATAAAAATTCCAGAAAAAATTTGGAGTGGCTTTCTAGTAACTTTCGATGAATTACTCTTCAACTATTCAATTATTCCCCAACAGCACAAGCAAGAATAAGGCCAGGGGACTCGCAAACAACCCACAAAATGGTCGGTGGAGTGACGTTAGTGGGGGGCAATGGATCGGAATTGACGAGACTTCCCGGTGGAGCTGAGTTGAATATTCTACCTGCCAATGGTGTGTTCCGATCAGTCAAGACACAGCCATTAGCTGTCCAAGGAGGTGACTAATAAAAATGACCACTAAACCAAATAAATCAGCACCAGCTCCAAGTTCAAATCGTTCATTCACCTCAATTTGAAAATTAACTGGTGCAAGATCAATTAGAATGCTTGCAGAGCTGATTGAAGATGAACTATTCAAAAAGCTTTGAAAGTATTCGACAAAAAAAAATACAGAGAACTTCAATCATTGAATTTAGACAATATTGTGGAATAACTGTGGTTTTTCAATTTATCTATCAGGACTGACGTTGAGTCACGCTGGTGTCTCTCTCCAGACGTCAACGGGGAAGCCAATGATGCAGAGTTCACCGTCCACAGAGAGTATAGCTCACATTGTTGGCCAACACACAACCCTCTCAGGTCTGACACCCATCGTAACTCCAATGACAGTTGTCTCCCAGGGAAATCAAGTGACCGCTCACATCCTGGCACCCTCTAATCTCGCTGGAAAGATGATAACAACACCGATACTGAAATCAGTGGGTCAGGTACCACTCGTTAATGCCCAGTATCTGAATACAACGACTCTGGTGAAGCCCGTGGTCGTTGTCAGTTCACCATCAAACTCAACACCATCCACCATAGCTTCCAGTACACAGCCTTCCGTCACTTCGCATTCCAACGTCTGACAAATTCGCAGGAGAACAAAGTTTGTTTGAGATTGGCTTTGGGCATTTTTTTCGTTTTATTTCAATGTTTGTGATACATCGAGAGGGTCTTGATGGTTTTAAGAGTTTAACGTGACATTATCGAGGCTCAGGAGAACTAACACCAATGATGATATTTTTTCAAAAACTGCATGGTTTATCATTTTGCCAGATTTTACTTTCAAGTATGAATTAAGAGATTAATTAATTTATTTATTAAGAATTAAGTTGGATTTCATTGAGAAGTGGTAAATTGAGATGAGTCGAATTTGAGAGTTTTATTCGGTAGTGATTTTGGGAGAATATTCGTTCCAGTTTAGTTTGAGGAAATATCAAAAGACTTTTTGTTGAAAAAGTCCTTTAATGTTTTCCACTTAAATCTTTGGTTTACGAGCGTAATCGATAATCATGAAAAATCTTTGATGCGATTTATCTTTTTTTACCGCTTTGGTACCGACTTAACAAGTTATTGAAACAAGTTGAATTACTTGATATAACAAAAAGTTTATGAGGAATCTAACAGTCGTTATAAATAATTCATGCAATTTTAGATTGATGTCGTCATTTGCGAGGAAATTTCTTGACTGGGATGAATGAAGCATAATTATTTTGGAGGAAGTAAAAAAATAACAAGAACTGATTTTATTCAATAATGGATTTTGAGGAGATCCGGTAGAAAGGCAATGCCGTCTCTGGAAGAACATTTAATCTTTCATTTTCTGTGTAAATTTATTATTTAAAAAAGTGTGGCATTGATAATCTAATTTATGAAATATTCGGAGGACTGTAAATTATTCGAGACCAAAGGGAGGAAAATTTGAAGATAAAATTCTGATCTCTCCCGAAAGATTATTACTCAAATCAGGCTGTCCCAACTTCAAGGCATGTGAAGGCATTTCTCGATGAGAAATCCCAAATGTTCGATATTCATCTCCACTATAAGCTATCTTTATTCTCATCGTGTGGAATCGAGGGAGACATATCTGAAGATAAAGTTGATTAACTTTTAACGGATGGAACATGATAAGATTGATAAATTATTTCTTTTCATCCCAAACTCGCCAAAATTATGAAATTAGGTTTTTCTCGTATTATTTTAAAAAATGTCCACATGAGACTGAAAAATTATCTGGATTTGGGTAAGGGGATTGGGGACACTGAGACTGTGATTTGGACGTTTTTTGGATAATTGTCGTGTGCCCTTAATATTTAAATGGAATTTTTTTGATTTTTGGCTTTTGACGCATTCGAACAAATGCTTCTACAACAATTCGGCAGCTTGAATTCGAGTGTGAATGAAAAATCCAGTGATATTTGTCACGCTCAAGGGTGTGAGTCCTCGACCGTTGACGGCCTCGAGTTAATTTCCTCAGAAAAATTAAAAAAAATAACAACACTTTGTAAGATAGTATTAATATTTACATCCTATAATTTTTTTAATGTAAATTATTTAATCAGTGGGACGAATGCTGGGTTGAATGAAAGCTGAGTGAGAAAATTCATTGATGAAGTCATGAAGTGAGATGAGTCGAATTTTACCGATTTAGTAGGAAATACCAAAGGACCTTTTTGCTCTGAAATTTAATCAGCTTCAAGCAAGTCCTCTGATATTTCCACGTCAAATCAAGTTTTATAGATAAATCCATATACAGTAGACGTCCGTTATAGTCACGTGCATGGGGCTGTAGGTGAGACGAAATAGGAGGATTCGACTACATGTAATACACCCGCTACGCACTCGCTGGGACCGTAAACCGAATTTTTAGCAGGAATGTAGGAAAAGCAGGTCTTTGTTTTAAAAACTCAAAATCTTATTGTCGATATCTTCTAATTTTGCAAGTTTTTTTTTTTACAAATTCCTGAGAAAAACGTTGAATCCGGCTAATCTCGCATTATTACTTCATTAATAAATTGATTAATTGATTAATTGAGCTCGGAGTGGGCTTGATAAAGAAATGAGCAGGAGAAAAATAATTAGCGATGAAAAATTCTCGAGTCTTTTTCAGTTTCCCCTGTGTCACTTTGCCACTTGGCAACCGAATTGAATGGAATAATCTTTCCCATTTCTTTATTTGTCTCGGTAGTCGAACGTTTGGGTGATTGATCGTCACGTCTGCAGTATAGACTAAATTTTTAACATGTCTTTTATAAAAAAAAAAACAATTGGGTAGAGCAGAATCAATGTCGCTTTCTAAGGATAATCTATCGTTTATCACAATAAACCTCCCCTGATGAATCAATGTTAATCGAACGACTGTTCGTTCGTGTAGTGAATAGCTGAAGGAACAAATATATGTCACATAATAATACAATGAGGAGAAAAATGGCAGAGGTGTCAAAACTGTTATAAAGCGATAAGTGAGAGCGTATTGCATGGGATATCTGTCGTATTACAAGAAACTTAAATAAAATTGGAAGTACATTTAAAATCGTAGCTCCGTGGGATTCATGTGCGAGAGAGGAAGAAAAAAGTATCGTTAATGCGTACGCGAAAAATGTGATAAAAAAAAGAAATAATTAATGAAATTAATTAACATTTTTAGAGTAAGAACCTCAAGAAACAGTGGTTTAATAAAATAAATGTTGATGAAACTGGCTGGGCTGATTCTGAAATTAGGGAATTTACAGCTGATTGTTCTATTAATATCTTGAATTAACGAATTACCTAATTGTACATAATGTGAAGAGATTGGAATACCGAGGGTACGGTGTAACGAATGATTCTGTGAAATGCTCAATTAACTGGAACATTTGGTTTATAAGTTTCTTCGGTGTGACTGACATTCGGTTTGAGTATTGCAGTCGAGATTGGAGGGATTGGTTGAGTGTACAGAATTCTGTCGGTTGAAATAGCTGTCAAGAGTTCTCTCTAATCCAATTGAGTTGTCAAACTTTTTGATTTTTTTTTGTCGAGCGCTTAATCAAACTGAATTGGCACACTCCAACATGCATTCAATAGTGTCTGAAAAATAGATCTAATGAATGCTACATGTCCTGTGAATATCTTGCGTGAGGAATTAGTTGCCAGTGGGAAGAATTCGAGGCCCGCGTGATTGATAAGTTCAGCGTCGAAGGGATCAAGAGTGACAAGTCAATTTTCCAAATCTATGAATTTCTGAATTTAAAAGCGATGACGGAATTGTAATGATTCCCTTTAGCTCCTCCTTGACCCTGGAAAAAACATCTTGATATTGTGACAATGGAGGTATTAAATGTCGATTGATCTCGAAAAATATCGATTTGCGAGAAAATCAGGAAAATTTTCGTTGGGAATGTAATGAGTTACAAAAAATCTTTGAAGATTTAAAATATAAATCGATAGTTTCTGATAAAAATCGATAGTAAAGGAAAAAGTTGAATGAGATTTATCTCGCTTTACCCCTTCCTCCCTGAAATGACACGAGTTCAATACGAACGAACTGATTTTTTTCCGAAGAATGCAAGAATTTTCAAGACGAGAATGATATTGGATTGATGAACTGGATCAAATCGTGTGAAAAGTGAAAATCTAGATTGCAAATGTTGAGATAATGGATTTAATGTTAATGGACTTTAACTGTACATTAACTTTGTATATTTCTTGTAAATAGATAATTTAATGGTATCGAATTAATTTACTATATGTCTATGTATTAATTTTATTGATTACAGTGAGTGGATTTACGTTTCCTTGTAAATAATACGTTGAAACGAGTCGCCTTGCTGTAATAAAAAAATCATTACAAAAATTGGAGCGTCGATTTATTGCAGCCAATACTAATCCCAAAACACGTAAAGCAGTTTTGTTACGCACGATGGACTGGGAAATGATTAATGCGGGTAATTATTAGTTGATGTTCCATTTATTAAAAATATGCACTAATTCACATTGTCCTATTTCATTACTTTCAGATAGAGTTAAAGTATGCGCACAATAGTAGAATTGTTCTCTATCTACAATCATCGAAACGTTATTTTTTGTTATTTACTTTTCAACTAGCACACGACTCCCAAAATATATTATTTCACGTTTGCCATTTATAAAAGTCTAGACAATTCTAGCGCTTGGGCCAATCTCATATTTTCTCACGTTATCACCTACGGGGACAGGTTCGAAGCATTTTCTAATTATTTTTTTCTTTGGTCGAGTTTCAAGTGTAAAGACTCTATTTTCTGTACTTATTCCATCGCGAGTTGGCTAAAATTTTGAATAATAGGAGAAAATTTGCCGTTAGCATTTTTGATAGCCGGGAAGAGTTCGTCAGTTTGGTTTTTTAATGGAATCTTCAATGAAATCTTCGATGAGTCACTTAAAATTAACATACGGAACACCAGTTGCATATTAATGAATTTTATATTAACGATCAACTGATAAAACGAGTGCGTATTGTACGAAAGTGCAAAATTCTCACCTAAAATCATAGTCACGACTGTTACACGTATAGAAAACACTGTAATAGGGAACATGAAGTTTTAACAGAATGAAAAATCTAGGAAATCACAATGATTGTACGGTAAATATGGCAATGATCAAGTAAGATTGAATCGTCATGTATCGCTAACTATACATCATTACACTAAACAATAGTTTCTATGATAAACTTGTAATGAAAGTAATTGGACTAAATAGAAATTGTTAAAATACTGAAAATGAAATGGCACAATGAACATGAAACGTCAACTCCGGATGAAAAATTGAATTCGCAATAATTCACATATACCGGTACAATTGGCCCTGTCAGCATTAAAGTAAAGATGTTGAATCTTTATTTATATTCTCGTCAAACATAATTTGTACTCGTAAGTAATACAATTCTCTTTCTTCCCTACCATACAATTTTTTTTTTCAAAAACATCCTCGAGTGATTTTCATTTTTTCTGGGGTTCCAAGAGCAACTTAACTATAATATTAAATAATTTTATAAATCTCATTCATCGAAGCATTAAAAAAGAGTTGTAACTTTTTTTTTGCACACGTGCTCCACTCAAAACTTAAATTTATCCGTTAATTAATTCGAATAGGCTTTAGTATTTGTTTTTGGTAGACAATAGAAAATATTGACAAGTAGTTATTTTGCACAAACACACATAATTTGCTAAAAGCTTTCGAAAGAGTGAAATTCGAACACATTTTTTTACTACCAAAATTATTACTCGTAAATATCCTTCTTGATTTTTCTGAATCAAGGGGTAACTATTTCCTGGATTACAACTTAGTTAATTATAATTGCAATCATGTCGCGAGAGTAAACGATCACCTGACGAGTAATTCCCATGATGGTTTCCATTCTTTCTCCATTACATATTCATTTAGTCAAGATAAAATCAGTAACGAAACGGTAAAATCGTTGTTTACGATTTCGTTGCTGAAATTTAGAGGGGAATTTCGGTGATTTGGGTTTTTAGTATACGATTAAAGTCGACTTTTGTTCCAGTGGCATGAGATCTCAAGAGGAAGACGATGGATAGCTTCGAATTAATTTCAGATTAAAAATTATTAATAAATTGAATTAGTCAACGATTATCTTTGTACTCAGATGCGTCGTTTTGTAATTCTTATTCATACATTTTTCTTCAGATTTTTTTCTCTACACCAAAAATATATCCGACGCACTGGTGCTACAGTGGAGTGTTGAGAGAAATGCGGTATCAATTTACGATTGAAGTTACAGGGTCATCTAAGTGTATGTACATTTTGACTCCAGCTATTTATGTACATGCTGTATCTTCTCAGCTGTTTTTTTTCTCATTTCTTTGTCAACCAGATGATCGTGCTGGAGAATCGCGTTATTTTTATCGTTAAGATTACCTACACATGTTGAACACAATGGTCGAAAAGACATACTGGATCACAATTGATTTTTTTCTCTTTTCATTTTCATTTTTGATGTAACTCTGATTTTTTTTTTTATTCTATGATTGTGGTTTTGGGAGAGAAAATAATTGAGTTATTGCGCGTTTTCATTTCATGGAGTTAATAAAATGGAAATGGATTTTCATTCAGTTGTGAACTGACGAGAGGATAGAAATAATTTTTTAGTGGATTCTCCTGATAAATAAAAGAAATAATCGTCGTCGGAGAAAAAATTGATTACTTCATCAATTTGTTAAATGAGATTGATATTGATTAAATCAGGAATTTCCCAGGAAAGAACTCGTAATATTTTCCACCGAAATAATAAAAAAGTGTAAAAATAATTTTTTCGTTGATAAATTCGCACCTGGACTGGCCATACATTAATTTTTGATTGTGCTAACGAACGGAATGTCAAGTGTCCTTGAGACTGGACCATCGTGGTGAATATGTGCACGGTCCCTTCCAGATAATTATCTCGCCCGATGGAATTAAACTCGATGCAAGTAATTGTTCAGATTTAAAGCTCGCCTTTCCAAAGTATTTACCAGGAATATTGAGGTAGAAAAATTCGAGAGAGAGAGGAAAGAGTGGAATATTCCATTTTTGTTTACGTGGAATCAGAGTTGCGAGAATAATCGGTGGCAGTAATAATCAAACATATCCTCTCTTCACAGCTGCAGTGCGCACTCTGGGGATACGTGGGGTAGAATTCATTGGATGGATCGTTAACGCTCGTTGATGAATCATATTACGAATTACTTGGCTCCAGGTATTTTAGCTAAAACCTGAGAAGAGAAAATAAAAAATTATAGCATTATTCGAGTACCTTATGAATTCATTGAAATGAAAAATTACTGCAATAAATTATGATCTAATTTACCAAACGGACTTCAATTTCTTTTGATTCTATTATGAGATTTCAATGATTTTCTTTCATATTTTATTCAAAACGTTATGCATTAACTGCTGAAGAAATTGATATTGTGGGATGCGCCCCAATTTTTCTATCATTTTTTTTCGTGTTTTGCATAAAATTTAATAAAACGGAATTTACTTTGGAAAGATCAACACCAGTGAGTGCTTGAACGGCAGGTGGAACCTGTCCAACGAGGCGTGTCAGTTCACCACTGGTTCCATCGTTACCACCGAGGAGAACAATCTCATCTGTCCTGGCAAGTGGTGCAGCAACTTCGGCAGCGATCTGTTGAAGGAAAACGAAATTAGTTGACGGTTCACTAAACACTAATGAAGTGATCCCAGAGACAATTAGGTACCTTCGGCATCGCGTTGAGAACAATATTAAGTATTGCAGCATCATTATATTTTTTGTAAACTCCGGCTTTGAGGCGCATTCTCTCGGCCTCCGCCACTCCAACAACTTCAAGACTCTGGGCCTCAGCCTCACCTAGTAATCGAATTTTCTCGGCTTCTGCTTTGGCATTCTCTACAGTTTGCGTTCTGCAATAATTATTATTCAAATGTTTAATGAAATATTATTGGTAAACATTTTTTACTCGGATTTGTCCCATATCGAGAGAAGTATTTTAGATATTATTTATTAATTATTTTCCACGGTTTATCCAATAGATAATGAGACAATAAACCATTGAGGACTTATAAAATAGAATATAGAGTAATAATTGGGAAAGAATTACCTCTTTCCCTCCGCAATTCTCCCCATTTTGTAGTACTCAGCCTCAGCAGGTAAACGCACAGTACTCCTCAACTCGTGCTCCTTTCTACGTACTTCCTGCTCTTCAACTTCAATCTGCTTGCGCCTCTCTACAACCTGGATCTGAATCTCCTCATTCCTTATTTTCTGTTTGATCTTGGCGGCCTGAAGTTCATAAGCCAATTGGGCCTCAGCTTTCTACACATTGTAAATGAAAAAAAAAAACCCATAGAAATAAATTCTCCACGTCTAACGCATGAATACGAGTCAATACAAAATACCATCGACTTTCACTCGCTCCAAATTCAACTTCAATTTCAAAAGACAATTGCGCAAAATAACGTGAACATTAATTCTTACGAGAGCGACTACGTGTTGAGGACATAATTCTGTCATAATTATGAATGGAATTCTATTCGCATCGATCAATTGTGTGGGGATTAACTCGAGTGTGTCATAACTCGAGGTGCTATAGAAAACTTGTGTCTATGTTTGAATTGCAACGTGTTTATCGACGTCATTGGTAATTTGCTCATTTACTTGAGGAAATACTTACGGCGGTGTTGACTTCTTGATCGAAATTAGCTTTTTGCAGCTGATACAGGCGCGCGTTATCCTCGATTTTTGTATCCGTGTTGTATTTAATGTCCATCGCTGATTTTTCACACTCGGCTTCCTGGAATTATACGCCCAATGGTGAGAAAATTATTCGCATCATTGGGAATCAATTTCAATGAAGTACATAGAAGATCTTTTTCCAGCGTTCAGCCAGATCGTAATATCAAATAAAAACTAAATAACTGGTGAATTGCGCATGTTCAAGGAGAAATAGCGCTTTACCGCTGAAAATGGAAGGTTTTTCTTCGGGAGAAGGGGATGGTCTACCTCTGGTGAGATTATTATACTAGATGAATCATTCTAATTTTTAATAAAACCGCAGAATACTCACCCTAATCCCGGCATCACGATTGGCTTCAGCTACTCCCACGTCGGCGTCTCTCTTGACAGCTGCCGTCTGAGCCTTTCCTAAGGACGCAAGGTACTGGACATTGTCATAGACATCTTTGATGGTGAACGAGAGGATTTCAATGCCCATTCTACCGACATCTGGAGCTGCTACTTCTCGGACGAGAGTCGCGAACTGGTCGCGATCTTTATAAACTTCCTCCACCGATAGTGTACCTGAAATTATTTTCAGGTAGTTTTACGTAATTAAAAATTTTTTTTTTTAATTAAAAGTCATTTCCTTAATTTTCTTCCGATAGGCTATCGCCCGGGGCCTTTCAATTTTTTATTTTGTGTAATGAGTCAGTTACTACACGCTGAAATGTAAATGTGAAGAAATATAGATATCTCACCAAGAATTGCACGAAGATGTCCCTCGAGGGTTGACAGAATAGTGGACTTAATTTCATGAACACTTTTGCCGAGGAATTGCTCGCTGGCGGTGTGCAGTAACTCATCGGCTTTCATTATTTTGCACTGGGCAACACCTGTAACAGTCAGGGGAACACCCTGAGCTGTTTCGACACTCTCGCAGACGGGGTTGAGGGTCATCACCTCGAGAGAGAGACGCTGGACATCTGTGACGAACCACCAGCAGAAGGCATATCCTCCCACTATCGTTCGTTTCCTCATAGAGCCACAGCATCCTCCTGCAATCACAGATATCCAACCAAATTAATAAATAATTACAATTTTTCAGACAAATTATTCACTTATCATAGCCATATGAATTATTATATGAATTTTCAATAGAAATTTTAAGTTTTCCTAAATTACAACTCTTCACTCATTTTATTTTATACTTCAAAATCGTGGGCGGAAGTAAATATTTTTTCTAGATTGTCTACCTTTTTCCAACGTGAATCCTAAATATAATAATTGCCCTAATAATAATAATAATAATAATATATTTCCGTTACTTTGATTATTATAATTGATATTAATTGGAAGTATAAATAATGAATAGATTGTAATTTGGTGAAAACTTTCCAATTGAATATCGTTGCAAAATATTTGATGTTTAGACACGTGTGAAAGACCCCCATCCCTTTCTTCTTCCTTTTCGAATTCTTCCGGATTATGAGACCTGTTTGAACCAGTGACCACGTGATGAGCATCACGTCATGAAGAAAAGAGTGAACGTGAGGTGCAACAGGTAGACACCTGTTGAAATCTCGGTCGTGCATTGAGAAAAGAAAACTGTTGTCGATCCTCAAGACCATAAAAGTTTGGCAATTTACATCGTTACTTCGTCTTCAGGAGAAGTAATTAATTAATTAATGGGAAATTAATTAAGCAAATGTGTAACCAGTTAATCGTCAAGTGGAGTTGAATTCTGATAGGGTATTCATAATTTTATGTCACTTGATTATACCTGATGATGGATGAAAAATAGTCACTTCTAAGAAAAAGTAGGTCAATAAACCATGGGGACACGTCATTTTGCCATAGACCACAGAATTCTTCTACATTTCTTCTTCGTGAAATCCTCATACATTTTTTCATTATCAATGAAAATGATTTCGGGCCGTACGTCATTCAAGAATTCAGTAATTATTATTGTTAAAACAGTGAAGGTCTAAATGACATACTTTCTAGAAAATATTGAAAAAGTTTTTATTCAGAATACAATTCATTGAAAAATTCCAGAACTTGATTTTTCAGAATTGACAGATTTCCATTGAATACATCAAGTTCATTCGCTCGGAAAATTCTTTTATTTAATATCTCTCAAAGTTTTCCCACTGTGCAAGAATTTCCCTACGCTCTCATTAAACATTGACAAGAATTCCCAAAACTTTCCGAGAAATGTCGAAAAATTGACGCACGGCTGTGAAATTATATTATTACTATTAAACAATTATGAAATCCAACAACAATATATTGGTTTACGTTAATCTGATCTAGGATGTCTCATAAATTTCTAAAAAACCCGGAAAACGAGAAGATATCAGCATAACTCCGTAGTCCAGGGAAATCCTCGACAGGGCCATTGATTTCCACGATAGAACGGTATGACGACGAGGGAAAAACGAAAAACCGGTTCAAGGGAAAGGATGTCCGAGGGGCGGTGGGATGCCGGTGACCCGTTATCCCACGTTGTGGAGAGCCTCACGCTATAAAGAGTTCATTCCGAATGATAGTACTGTTCCACCATCCACAAGGTCAGGGTCACACTCCTAAGAATATTCCATTTAATCCCACGTCAATGATCTATTAAGTGCAACTATAAAACAATTTTCCTGGAGCGCGTGTTGCGATTTTTCCTAGGATTTTCTTCAATAGTCTTCGAATAAAAAATTGATGAGTGTCGTTGATGTCTGAATAAGGTGAGTTAACTTGTTAATGGAGAGGAAAATACTTGATCGTTAGGATAATGACATACAATGGATAATAATCGGCGAAATTGTCTGGAACAAGTTATTCAGGCTGGGCTACATTTTACGGAGTTATCATATTGCTAAGACACTGCACTTCCTCAGGTGGAGAGTGTCGTGACGATAATTACCTCACCACAGAGTTTCACGGAATCAATTGTTATTCCCATGGCATCGTTTGGATTACGGTTAACCGAACCCCCACACGTTTATTCGATACAATGGAAATGAAAATTTGAGGATTCGTTGTGGGTATACCTATGGGGTCCGAGGATTTGTCACTTCAGTTCAATCGAGACTCTCTTACAAGACATTCATTATATCTTCGATCAGCTCGATTAGGACGGTATCCTCCACGGATTATTCGATTTTATCGAGCGATATAAACTTTGACGAATCATCATTTGAAAAAATGTAAGAGAATCGTCGGGAGTGTTGACGTTAATTAATTACTCTTGTATTTGAATTACCGAAAAATCGAGTTGTCTGGAAGATTTGTGATTAAATTAGAACTGATTTGATATTCTGCGATGGCAGTGGAATTTTTAATACCGGAATTTTTCATTCGAATTCCATTGAATTTTTATTTTTTTTCCCCAGTAAATATCATTAATTAATATTAAAATATATTATTAATATCATTAATATTCAATAGACGGAAATAGAAATACATTTATTTTTACGTAATTTGAAGAGATTTAATTTTTTGTTCTTAATTTTTTAAAGAATTTAGCGATTGGCGATCTTCAGTGAAGTTTTAAGAAAATAATCATTTTGTTTAGTTATTTTATTTAATATTACTTCTATTTTTATCGGGTTGTTGATAATTTGACAGTTGGTGATCTGTTGGTGATATTAAGAGAAATTTCATTGGATTAATTTAATTGAATTGTTATTGCAGATAGTGAAGATAGATCATGGGTGTCGAATCGACACTAGCTACTGCCTTGGGGTCGGTTTCTGGTGGTGTTGGATGGTTTTTCCCGGCTTTGGCAATGGCCCTTGCCTACTTCCAGTACGATATTATGGATAACGAGTCGCAACCTATCGACATGCCTACGGAATTGTTGCATCCTGCTTATGATTTTATAGTCGTGGGAGCCGGCTCTGCAGGTATTTTTGCAATAATTTACCACTGCAATGATTTAACGAGATTTTCAACGAGTACTTTTCACAGGGCTTTACTATACTCTAATTGTCATCATTAATTTTGCATTCATGGAATTTAGGGGCGGTGGTTGCGAGTCGTTTGTCAGAAATCGAAAAATGGAATGTTTTGTTGTTGGAGGCTGGTGGTGATGAAACGGAGATATCCGACGTGCCGCTGCTTGCTGGATATTTACAACTGACAAAACTCGATTGGAAATATAAAACTGAACCACAAGGAGACTCATGTCTAGGTAAATAAACATCAGGTGTTAATCTACTAAGTGCACGTGGAGTTGCGGAAGAGTTGAGTTAAACACTTGGAGAATATTCTCGACGTGTCATGTCACTCTCACAGATTTCGCTGTAGAAAGTTACTCTTTCACTTGTATTGATTCCAACGAAAAAACGATAAAACCGAAAACAAAGTACTGGAGGAAATGCACTTAATTCATTGTATGTACTGTAATGTAGATTAATGAACACTAGCGCGTAAAACGAAAAGCGAAGACTATCTGAATAAAAAATGAAATTTTGCGACCTTTCTACAGAGAGAAAATAAATTTTCGAACGCTTCTAGAATATTTTTCCTTAATTCAATAAATTTTTATCAAATTCATTCCAGATGTTTTCATTCTCCGAACGAAAAATCTTAATTCATGATTTCACCAATTCATTCATGAAAAATATTAATTCATGAATTTCCGAGAATTCGTTGAGAATTTTTAATAAAAAATTTGAACCCACAGCGAATGGTTCCCCGAAAAAATTCTCTGAATTCGTTTTAATTCCAGCAATGGAGGGAGGCAGATGTAATTGGCCTCGTGGCAAAGTCCTGGGTGGCAGTAGTGTCCTGAATTACATGCTGTACCTGCGTGGCAACCGAAAGGATTACGACCTTTGGGAGCAGCAGGGCAACCCAGGCTGGAGTTCAAAGCACGTGCTGCACTACTTCAAGAAATCCGAGGACAACCAAAATCCATATCTCGCTAAAACAATTTACCACTCGACAGGAGGCTACCTGACGATCCAAGAGGCACCCTGGAGAACACCCCTGGCAACAGCATTCGTAGAGGCAGGACAAGAAATGGGTTACCAGATCAGAGACATAAACGGTGCACACCAGAGTGGTTTCATGATTGCCCAGGGAACAATTAGAGGTGGTAGCAGGTGCTCGACATCGAAAGCATTTCTGCGGCCTGCACGACTTCGTCAGAACCTCCACGTGGCCTTGAACTCCCAAGTGACAAAAGTCCTGATCGATCCAGCAACGAAACGAGCCTACGGCGTAGAAATGGTGCGTGGAGGTCAGATGTACCGAATCCGAGCGAAAAAGGAAGTGATTCTCTCCGGTGGATCCGTCAATTCCCCCCAACTCCTGATGCTCTCAGGAATTGGACCCAAGGACCACCTGGAGCAGCACGGAATTCCAGTGATCCATGACTCAGCAGTTGGTGAAAATCTCCAGGATCACGTGGGTCTTGGAGGTCTCACCTTCATGGTGAACCAGGAGGTCTCAATGGTTGAGCACCGATTGCACAGTGTCTCTGCCGTAATGAGGTACGCCCTCTTCGGAGACGGCCCCCTCACTGTCCTCGGAGGTGTCGAAGGCCTTGGATTCGTCAACACAAAGTACGTCAACGCCTCCGACGATTTTCCAGACATCGAACTCCACTTCATATCTGGCTCCACGAATTCCGATGGTGGTAGACAGATCAGGAAGGTCCACGGTCTCACCCAGGGCTTCTACAACGCCGTCTTCGGGAATATAAATAATAAAGACGCGTGGAGTGTTATTCCCATGCTACTCAGGCCCAAGAGCCGAGGGTTGATCAGACTCCGGAGCAAGAACCCTTTCGATCATCCCCTGATCTTTCCAAATTACTTCAAGGAACGCGCCGACATGGACACCCTCATCGAGGGGGTCAAGATCGGTGTGGCTCTCAGTAGAACTGCTGCATTCCGAAAATATGGGAGTGAACTCAATCCCCAGCCATGGCCCGGATGCGAGAGAATTCCTTTGTACACTGATTTGTATTGGGAGTGCATGATCAGGCATTATTCAGCGACGATTTATCATCCTGTTGGAACTTGCAAAATGGGACCCTCTTGGGATCGCGATGCTGTTGTTGATCCACAGCTCAAGGTTTATGGTGTCACTGGACTTCGCGTTATCGATGCCTCAATCATGCCAACTCTCGTCAGTGGTAATACCAATGCACCTGCTATTATGATCGGGGAGAAGGGCTCGGACATGATCAAGGAGTTCTGGATGAACCGCAGGAGGAAGAATTTTGGGCTCAAGTAATTTTGCATCCTTGGGGTGTATTCAACGGCAAGACTGAACCGATTTATTTCTATCGGTGTTTTATGATGACGTTGATCATTGCGGTCTGATTGTATTTATGCTGTACATTTTTCATGAGTTTTGACATTTTAAAAAATAATTTTTATAACTTTTATTGCGAGTTTACACTGAGATAAAACTATACTTCTGCCAAGTAAATATATTGGAGAGGAGTAATTGCCGAGAGTCTCTCCATAAAATTCTCGTTTAATTTTCTTGTCTCAAGTTGATTTAGCAGTAGTAAAGGTAATTGGGGAAAGTAATGTTTTTCTCAGTGGATTACCGGGTGTATATATGGGGGAGATGTAATTAAGGAACGGATTTAATGAATATTGTGGAGGATTGTCGAGGGTGGATCGATAAAGGTGATAAGTTGATGTACAGAATTAGTGAAAGTTTATTTCGTTTCGTTATAATTTCCAGAGAGCGGAATTCGATTGAGAACGGAAAATCCAGGGAATCTAGAATTCCAGTGAATTCAGGGGACTCGGATTTTTTTGGATAATTAAACAAAACAAATTGTGAAATCCCCGACTACTGAATATTAACATGCTGCGTTAATTTTTATATAAAAAATTCCCAGAGAAAAATTTTAACAGAAAAATAAAAATCTAGAAAATTGATCCTGTAGAATTATATAATCGAATAATACGAGTCGATTCTACATATTTATGAATTAATGAAAAAAAAATATATCAACATGCAATTCCCAAATAACGAATACATAACAATTGCAAGGTTGAAAATAATGCTGACGATTCACATCGTCACATTCTGGTGCATCGTACTGGCGCAGAGATCAGTCTGAAATCGGAGTTCACGATGATTCCACGTTGAAATCCCGAGTAGAATAAATAAATCGAAAAATCGTGGGATGACCCTGATGTGCTTGTTTTCCTCGGTAAGAGTTGCATTGTTGTACCAGCAGGAACTATGTTTCATCCTCCTCCTCCGTTTCTTCATAATCCTCCTCAGAAGGGACATCGTCGATCGTGATAATCGAATTCGTGTTGTACGTGGTGATCACATCCAGAGTCGATACGATTTCGTGATAATCGGTGGGGGTTCTGCTGGTTGTGTCCTAGCTAATCGCCTGTCTGAGAATAATAATTGGACGGTACTCTTACTGGAAGCTGGGGGAGATGAGACTATTCTCTCTGATGTGCCATTTTTCTTTCCCACTTTTCAACATACTGCTCTTGATTGGCAATTCAAGACTGAGGCTTCGGATAATTACTGCAGGGGGATGAATCAGGGTCGGGGTAATTGGCCCAGGGGGAAGGTTCTTGGTGGTAGCAGTGTTCTCAATGCCATGCTCTATGTCAGGGGCAATCGGAGGGATTACGATCGGTGGAGGGATGCTGGAAATCCTGGGTGGGACTATGAGACTGTTCTTCCGTATTTCAAGAAATCAGAGGATATTCGTGTTGACGAACTCAAGGGCTCAGAGTATCATGGACACCATGGACCCCTTACCGTTGAGCACTTCAGGTAATTACGGAAATTTCAGGGTGAAAAATACTCGGGAAATTCATATCGATTTTTTATGTAGAAATTATTTATTGGAGAATGCTTTTTAATTTTTTTATTTTTTTTATGAGATTCTAGTAAATTCTTCGGAAGTTTTACGGGAATTTTTGTAATGCTAGAATTACACCGGATTATTGAGGAATTTTGCAAGTGAAAGTTAGAAATTTTGTGTATAAATCGGGGAAATGGAAATCGAATAGTAAACAATTCGGATTTGCAACCGAAAATTCGGATTTTTAATTATTTTTGTATCATCATTGAAAATAACTAATCAACTGGCCATGAAGATGTCAGTTATCCCCGGAATTTATTACCATGTTAGACTTTTAATGAAATTCCCAGGAATTTTGACATTGAAAACTGAATTTTTCATAACAAAGTTAATGACTAACTCGGTGATAAAGTTTACAGCATTCATTATGGCTTAATTATGAATTTCCAAGTCTAGTTCCGCATGACGTCAAATGAGAACGGGTTTTTCCGGGGAAAATGTATTTCTGATTTTATATTTCCGAAAAATTCCGATTGAAATTCGTATGACTCAGGAAATGCTCCAAAGAATTTTCCGCGTGAGAGAATTTGCACTAAATTCATCTTGTTTTTTTTATTCACGAATCCCAGAACAAAAATTCCTTTAAAATTCCTTTTAAAAAATGTTGGTATGATAAAAAAATAGACTAATACAATAAAAAATGCAGAAACCGATGAGCAAATAAACGTCAAGTGGAAATTTAACAATGAATTGTCTTGCATATGCATAAAAATTTGATTAGGTCTTCATTTCAGATATCACTCTCCAGTTTCTCAATATTTTCTCGAAGCAGGAGAAGAGATGGGTTACGAAAAACTGGACATAAATGGCCCTCGACAATCAGGATTCAGTCAGTCTTACGGAACCCTTCGAGAGGGTCTTCGCTGTAGTACAGCGAAGGCATTCCTCCGACCAGCTTCCCGGAGGAAAAACCTCCACATCCTGACCCACGCGATGGTCGAGGAGATTCTCATAGGTGAGACAACCAAGACTGCGTATGGCGTGAAATTCAGACGAGGAAGAGGACGAAGATACACGATTTACGCGAATCTAGAGGTGATTCTGTCCGCTGGCTCTATCCAGTCCCCCCAGCTCCTGATGGTATCAGGGGTTGGACCCAGGGACCACCTCGAGGAGGTTGGGATCCAGGTGATTCACGACTTGCCGGGCGTTGGGAGGAACTTGCAAGATCACATTGCCATCGGGGGCATGACTTTTCTCATTGATCCTCCCAGTCAGGATGGCAGTCCCTACGGATTCTCCTGTGTCCTCCCCAAACTTGTCACTCTGTATTCCTTCAAGGAATTCTTGGTCCAAAGGAGCGGACCTCTTCACATCGTTCCTGTGTGCGAGGTCATGGCCTTCGTTAACAGCAAGTGAGTTTTTTTTAAATTTCTTCAGAATACTTGAAGTAAAAATTCAGAGAGGATCTACAGGAAAGCGACGAATTCCACGTGAAGGATAAAGACTGGACCTTTTCTACAATTATTGAGAATTTATTCGTATATAATTTAATTAATTAATTGTAATTAATTAAATTAAATTAAGTCGTTGTTTCTAGTTCGTAAACTAGAATATATTAAAAACGTATCGAAGTCTCTATTTAAAATAATTTTTTCCAATTAACTGGGCCAATTAAAAATCGATTTACAAGTACATATTCTTGAAAATAAAAATTTCCCTCGTGGGATTCCCGCAGATACGCAAACGCCTCGGAAGACTACCCGGACATCCAGTTATTCCTGGCATCGGCAGCTGACAATACAGATGGTGGTGTATACGCAATGCGTGCCACCGGTCTCCAGTCAAAAATATATTCAGAAGTGTACGAGCCAATACTCTACAAAGAGGCGTACTCAGCCCTTCCCCTGCTGCTGAGACCTCGCAGCAGAGGCTACATCAAGCTGAAGACATCCAGCCCCTACGACAAGCCAACAATCGTGCCGAATTATCTGGACGACCCCCGAGACCTAGACGTGATCATCGAGGGGGCGAAATTCGTCCACTCGATGAGCCAGACTGAGGCCATGAAGCGGTTAAATGCCAGGATGAATCCCAATGTCATACCGGAGTGTTCAAAATTTGAATTCCTGTCTGATGACTTCTGGAGGTGTCAGGCGAGGTCTTACACGATGACGATTTATCATCCCGTTGGTACGTGCAAAATGGCACCTGCTGGTGATCCAATGGCTGTTGTTGATGCCAGGTTGAGGGTCCATGGTATCACTGGTCTCAGAGTCGTCGATGCCTCCATCATGCCGACTATCGTCAATGGAAATACCAATGCTCCGACCATTATGATCGCCGAGAGAGCCGCCGATATGATCAAAGAGGATTGGCAAGAGTTGAATTACTAATAGTCATCTCTTTGGAATAAAAATACCCGAGACTGGAAAATTGTTGATTCTAATGATCACGATGACCGCGGCAAGCCGGTTTAACTGTCCGTAATTGTTCAGTGGAATTTAATGGAATTAGTTGATTTTATGGGATTCTTCTTCCATTGAGGACAATTGTGGATTGAGTATTTATCTCTCGTTAAACAAGTTTGTTAATAGCACAGATAAATTTGTTGATGTTAGGATGAATTTCCCAAGATTTTTGAAAACTTATTTTTAGTAATTTATTGCTGATTGGAGGAATTTTTTCCTGGTATTATATATGTATATCTTATGGAAAGATTTTACATTCAAGAAATGGAGATTCAGGTCTCAAGAAAACGACTTTTTTTAATTTCATAAAATTAGAAATTTAGAATTCCAGGAAATTTTGTTTGATATTAAAAAAATATTTCAGAATTCACGAGTATGGAGATTCTAGATTTAAAAAACTGGTTTCCACATTTTCGAAAATTTATCCTTCAATAAGATTTACCTTTTCCTGAAGAATTAAACACTAGTTCTTCAATAAATTTTTTTCTAACATCAAGAAACTTTCTCTGCATCCCTCGAATCATTCTCACGACTTGTCCTTTTTTATTACTGTTTTGTGTACTTTTTTAAATAAAACAATAATATTTACTCGATCACTCTTTCCTTATCTGTTATCTCTGCCACCGACAAGTGTAAATACTCATATTTTTCGACAAAAACAAAATCAGCATGACTGATTGCTAATTGAATTCATATCCGTCGTTTACGTTTTCCTTCGGAGAACAAATTGTTGCCCCGGCATCACCGGAAACCACATTAGAATTATTATCTCATTCATTATTGCCCGATAGACCATCCACGAGTTTCCTCATCGAGACAGTATATAGGAGTGATGAGTGATCAGAGGAATTAGTACTGGAGGTGAGAACGCGTGGAAGTAATCAGTGAAAATCTAGGTAATTGGCATGAAAGTGGATTGTTTGGAATGGAGAGATTCGAACAACGTGAAATGTGTAAATGAAATTGAGTTAGAATTGAGTTGGAATTGAGTTGGAATTTGAGTTGATCACAAGTTTATCACAAGTCCTGATATCATTGGGTGGTGGGGAGTAAATGATGCGGATGCGAGATAAATTTTGAGTGGAAGATACGAGTGGTCGCAGCATCCGCTCGAGTCCGAGGCTTTTTTCAGTAACGAAAGAGCTCTGGGTACAACCCTCGAGCACACATACTGTCTCACTCATTATGTGGCGCAATTGAATGGGATTTCACTGGCCAGGAGGTGGCAATCGACATTCCATTGGTTCTTATATCTGGAATATTCTTGTCCGCAGGTATTAATTCAGCCAAAAGGATGGCACAGTGGATTACTCCGGTACTTCTGGTTTTCTCTGGGGCTATGGCACTTCCACCGCCTTGGGTAATAATTTCTCTTCTAGTTTTTTTTTTTTTCTTGATACGGTTTTAGGTGATGCATCTTAATGACGGGAGAACTGGAGTAGGTTTAGGGTTTTGAATAATGCGGGCGACTTATCATGTGTGCCAAGGGGAACTAATCTGCCAGGATAACAGGGTTTTCGATATTTAAAAGTTGTGGGTCACTATTTTGTCAACAGGTCGCCTTTGAATATCAATGGACATGCAATTACTCGGGTTTACTCAATATGTAATGCGAATAAGATTTTTTAGGATTGATAATAAGTTCTGGAGTTGTATTTAGGGTGTGCTGACACTTTCTAGACAAAATTATTGCGTCTTTGGGTTTTTTATCATTTTATCACTTTATCATTTTTTATTTTTTTAATTTTTCAATAATTCACGACGCGTCATTATTGGGCGATAGTTTTCCTGCGTTTTGTATCGACTTTTCAGGAATTCATAAAGTTTTGGAAAAAACTGGAAAATTATTGCACGCTCCTGGAACTTTTTGGGTTATTCAATGAAGAATTAAATTGAATACGAATTGTTTTCTTATGTTAAGAAATTTTTCTCTTCGTAGGGCGGGGATTTATTTTTAGTTTTTGGGTTACAGGTTCCTGAGATGAACAGTACTCATGCCTGCGACGAGTACTATAGCAAGGGAGAGTGTTCGTTTGAAGACACTCCATTTATGCACGAGTCATGCTCCAGTCTTTCAGGATTTATGATGTTGTTGCAAACTACTATGATGGCCAGGTGTGATGTCGCAGATCCCTGCAGGAGGTTTGAGACCGATGAAATCGAGGAATACGAGGCGTGAGTATAATTGATCAATTAAGTTAATGACTGGAATTTTTTAATTTCACGTTCTAAACACTGAAATTCCATTTATATTACTTCGTCACTTCGTAACAGAAGTCATTCACACTTCAATTCCTCGGATTGCACTACCAAAAAAATTTATGTAGAATTTATCTACATTTACTAATTGATAAATTAAGTAAACTCGGAAATTCTAATTTCAACGCAACAACAAAAATTATTGAAAATGGGAATTTCGGGGAATTTAATATTAAATTTCCCAAAAAGGGGAATCATATTAAATATTCAACATAAATTGGAACAAGCTATTTTTAAATCCTCATTCAAGAAAACCCCCCATCGCGAATTAATTTATTTATTTTTTATGTAATCATTAACTAACGACTTTCTAGTGATAAATATTTTTCTGTCGAATTCCTGATTCTGCGAGTTGATGATTTTTTTAAAATAACTGAAAAATGATGTTATCCTCAGTATGATTTCAAGTTCATCCTTGACCCTTTCAGTTTCGATTTCATAATCGTGGGTGCAGGAGTGGCAGGTCCAGTGATAGCCCGACGGCTAGCGGACCACGTACCCTTCTGGAAGGTTCTGCTGATAGAGGCAGGACCACCAGAGCCCTCGATGACAGCCTTCCCAGGTTTTGCATTCAACGCAGTCAACACTTCCCTCGACTGGAGTTACAAAACCGAGCCAACACGCCCCCACCCCACCGCCTGCTTGGAAACAGGTGGCGTCTGTACCTGGCCACGAGGTAAAATGGTATCTGGTTCAGGTGGAATGTACGGTATGATGTACGTGAGAGGACACCCTGAAGTCTTCAACAGGTGGGCCAGGGCGGGCAACAAAGGCTGGTCCTACGACGAAATCGAGCACTACTTCGAGCGGGCTGAGGATGTCGAGGTACCAGGAATGACATCTGGCTCAGAAAAACGGATAACAGGGGAAAATGGACCCCTGAAAATCAAGTATTACGATCACAGGCCTGAATTCACCGAGGAAGTCCTCAAGGCAGCTGCAGAGCTCGGGTACAAGACCTCTCGACTAGCTGGAGAAGACAGCACTGGTTTCATGATCGCTCCCATGATCATTGAGGATGGAATCCGTGGAACCACCTCTAGACTCTACCTCAGACCCATTGCCCATCGACCAAATTTGAAGATTCTCACTCATGCCCAGGTTATTTTTCATTAATTCCTTAATTAAACTCATAATTATTAACAGCATCTACTGCATTAATTACGTTAATTGTATTAGCCACAGGAATCGTAATGATTTTATCAATTCCTTAAAAGAATTCAAATCATTGATATTTCATATAATCTTTTTTCTCCATTTGAATTCAGTGTAATTTTCCGGAAAATTCAGCGAAACCAGCTAATTAATCTATCCCATTGTTGTTAAATTTTATGTATTGACGTAATTCTACGTTTTATGTAATTCACAGGTTACTAGAATCGTCAAGGAGAATTGGGATGGCGAGGCTCGAGGAGTCGAACTCATCGACAGAAAAGGTACCAGGAAGATAATTCGCGCTGATAAGGAGATAATCCTAACAGCTGGAGCTATTGGATCTCCCCAGATTCTTTTGAACTCTGGAATTGGTCCTAAGAAGGATCTCGAAGAGCTGGGAATTCCTGTATGGGAGGATCTGCCTGTGGGCCACAATCTTCACAATCACGTGTCCTATGGCATCAAAATGAGTATCAATGACACTTATTATGAGACAATAACTGTAGATGCTGTGGAGAAGTTCTTGCACAATCGGACAGGACCTCTCACCAGCACTGGACTTACACAGGTGACAGCTTTCCTCGAGAGCTCTTTCACAACGCCAGGGGTGCCTGATATTCAGGTATTCTTCGATGGATTCAGCTCCAAGTGCCCGATGTTGGGGGTGAAGGACGAGTGTCCTGGGGGAACTGTTGGCTCCTGCCCAGGGAGAAGAGAATTAGTCGCCAGACCCACAACTGCCATTGTTAAGACACGAGGTGTTCTCAAACTCAGGTCTAAGGATCCCCTCGATAGACCACTGCTCTATCCAAATTATTTTGAGGACGAGCAGGACCTCAAGGTCCTACTGGAGGGCATCAGGAAGGTCGAGGAAATGATTGATACCAAGACCATGAAAAAATGGGACTTGAGATTTGAGGAAACCAATTTCACTGCTTGTTCCAGGTATTTACAAAGTCTTCTTCAATATTTTGGTATGATTAGTCGTTGATAGAAGAATATTCTTCATTTGGCGAGCGTCAAAAAAATCTCGTCGATTTAATGTTGCCAATTCAACGGAATTCTATTCAATTTCAGGATTAATAATTCACAAATTAGTTAATAGTTAGAAGGACTTTCGGTTTAACTCATTCGTTTTCAGGTATCACTTTGGAACTGATGCCTATTGGGAATGCATGATTAGGACGCAAACAGGTCCAGAGAATCATCAAGCAGGAACTTGCAAGATGGGTCCCTCGAGGGATCCAACAGCTGTAGTGGATCCGGAACTCCGCGTCCATGGAATTCCAAATATCAGAGTAGCTGATGCCTCGATATACCCTGAGGTACCAAACGCGAATCCCACCGCTTCCATCGTCATGATCGCCGAAAAGGCAGCGGACATGATTGGGAACACGTGGATCGGCATGTAGAAAAATTTAGTGACACCCAAAAAAATTTCACTGCACTTGTAGGAATTTATTTAATTTTCACTGACGATTGCGACTGATTTCTCAATACTATAGGATTTAATTTAATTCAACATTACATTATTATCATTAATGAATATTGAATTCGCTTTCATTAGACTAGCTTGAAAATTCAGAGATTAAACATCTGATTTTTCAGTATAAAAAAACTAGAGAAAAAATATGATAAATAATCCAAGAAATCAGACTACTCTGCTTGAATCAAGTAGAAAAAATTTCTGAATGAGGATTTTTTTTTGAGTGTACCGTAGGAAATTAAAATGTGAATAAAGACTTGTTACATTTATCCCATTGTACTTCAGAGATATTTTTTGAGAATGTTAAAATACTCTCTGTCATGACTTACGTAAATAGCACTGCCGATATAAATAAATTTCATTGTCACGCAGAACGACCTATTACCCTTTTCCTGGAGTAGATATTCAGAGATGTAATCGGTAAAACTGAGACGTGGAAATTCATACGGGTGATCCGTGGCTGTCAGACGAGTAATGAAAAATGGATATCAAGGATATTAATTTTTCATAGCCACAGAATCCAAGAGGCTCCCACAAGGTCGTGGATTGTGACCCCTGGAGGAAATGAAGATATAACGAAAAATAAATGGAAGTGACACCAAGAGTTGGGGGTCTCACGTTATCTGATATATTTTTTGAGCGGAGGGAAGGGGGAGGCACACCTTGGGGAAAATTTCAACTCAATTCTGGAATCATAAGTGTTTCATCGATGGATCGTAGAGGCTGACAGTTTGTCCGCACTTAATTTTTCCTGGCGACTACTACACCTTGTCAGGTCAGTATTATCACTTGCTGATTACGACTCATGACACCGTTTTCAATATTAATTACGAACAATGCAGGAAAATGCATACAATGTAAACTAATTTTGTACTGCTTCCGAGATACGATAGAATAGTCGTGAATATTGGGCTTGCGGAATTATATTACAGTGGTAGAAAATTATTTTTGACATTTTAAGGAAAAGAATTTGAGGTAATGATTAATATTATCAATACTGTGGAATGATTGATCGTTTTGAAGGCACTCGGAATTTGTGACAGTGAGGGATTCGTATAAAACTCAACTGCAATGAATGCTCCCTGAAATTTTTATTTTATTAATCTTAATTAATTATATATTCCACTGTATTTGTGCATTGCAATTTATTCATTAGACGATTTAACGAATCATTGAAAATATTTTTCATTAGACAATCGAATTTCGGGTTTGAATGAATTTCCGCTTTGGACTCCGGCAAGTAAATGTTGCAGTTTAAGGGGAGAAATTCCGGAAATTCAACGAAGAATAAAAAATCCGGTGAAAAAGTTGACGAAATGACACGTGACGAAATTTCCTGAATTAAAAATAAAAATATATAAAAAAAATACAGAAAATAGAAAATCAGAAATAATTAAAAAAATAAAAATATAAAAAAAACGGGGATGACGTCAAATGTTCAATTTCGTCATGTGATTTTTACGGCATTTTTTTTTCGTCGGAATTTCTACTATACTGGCTATTGTCATGTGACAATGATCGGTCATCAATTTTTATGTTATGATTTTTATCATAATGTAATATTGACTGATGTTTTGGTATTGCATTATATATAATATTTGCATTATATATAATATTCGCATTATATATAATACTAATTGATAAAGATGTCACGATTTTCTGAGGAGAGAATGGCGTATTATATAATTGTCATGTGATTTTTCCGGATTCCAGTTTTTATCAATCCTGTCATAAATCGAAATTTTTTAGGTAAATGGAATCCTGTTTATCCCAGAGCTGCGGATCAGCAGTCCAAGGCTCTCCCCTGATTTTCCACCAATTAATCCAGACACTTTTGGTATCTCAATGCGCCCTGGGCAACCCGGAGGACTACCCGCGGTCGAGAGTCCCGGAAATCCTGGAGAATCCCGATTCCTTCGACTTTATAATCGTGGGAGGAGGAACAGCAGGCTGTGCACTTGCCAGTCGACTTTCGGAGAACGAAAATTGGCGAGTTCTCCTCATCGAGGCTGGGGACTACCCTTCAGCCCTGAGTGACGTGCCAGGACTCGTGCTGCTCCTCCAGGGAAGCCCAGAGGACTACTCCTACGATTTAGAGCACCAAGATGGCATCTGCCAAGGAGCCGCTTGCAAATGGGCCAAGGGAAAAGTCCTGGGTGGCAGTTCAGTGCTGAACGCGATGATTCACGTTCACGGCAACGACCGGGATTTCGACACTTGGGAAAAATTGGGAAACGACGGCTGGAGTTTCCAGGATGTTCTCCCGTACTTCAAGAAGTCCGAGAACTATCCTCCAGAGTTCATATCGAAATTCAGTGACAAATTCGTGGGAAGTAACGGTCAAATAAATATTCGCGACTACAACTACTCAACGTCGGATTTTCAAAACATAATCCTGGAAGCTGTTCGAGAGAAGGGAATTCCCATCCTGGATTACATCAACGGTGATGAATACATCGGGTTCGCAAGGGTCCAGGGGTCCATCGACAAAGGTCGACGAGTGAATGCTGCCAAGGCTTATCTGTCCCCAGTGAAAGATCGAAAAAATCTCTTCGTGGCGACATCCACTCGAGCGGATCGGATACTGATGGAGGGTAATAAAGCAGTCGGCATTCGAGCTACTTTTCCGGGTGATAAATCGGTAGATCTGAAGGCGTCTAAGGAAGTCATTATCTCTGCCGGGAGCGTAGCAACTCCGCAAGTGTTAATGCTCTCAGGAATTGGGCCCAAGGAACATCTGGAGGAGTTTGGAATTCCCTGCGTTGCTGATCTACCAGTGGGGAAGAATCTCCAGGACCATTTGATATGGATGGGGACACAGCTGGAGTTTAGCAATGAATCTTCTGTTATGAAAACCGCTCTGGACTTTATGGACTCGACTTATGAGTACCTGATGCATACTAAAGGGGAATTCACTCATACAGGGGGAACTGATCTTCTGGGATTTGTCAATCTGGAAGACCCGACGTCTCGTTATCCGAATATCCAATTCCATCATGCCCATTTGCCCAAGGGGGACACTTTGAAGATGCAAGTGGTGGCGCAGGCCATGGGGTTCGATCAGGATCTTCAGGTGGAGCTTGTGAGGCTGGCTGCAATCAGTGATACTGTCATGATGGCTCCCACTGTCCTGAATCCCAGGAGTCGTGGGGAAATTAAACTGCGGAGCACTTCTCCCAAGGATCCAGTTAGGATTTGGGCTAATTATTTGGAGAATGACGAGGACAGGGTCGAGCTGCTCAGGGCTGTTGGCTTTCTCAAGGGTTTGGAAGAGACTGAAGCTTTCAAAAAACTTGGGATCAAGTTGAGGCACCTGGAGATAAATGGGTGCAAGGGGATAGAGCCTCAGTCTATGGAGTACTGGGAGTGCAATATGAGGCACACCAGTGGGACTCTTTATCATCCTGTGGGCACTGCCAGGATGGGACCCCCAGGGGATCCTGCTGCTGTCGTCGATCCCAAACTCAAGGTTCAGGGCGTACTAGGTCTCAGGATTGTTGATGCCTCCGTTATGCCGAAGATTACCAGTGGCAATACTAATTCACCGACTCTGATGATTGCTGAGAAGGGCGCGGACTTGATTAAGAGGGAGTGGATCACCAGGAATGAGTTGTGAGGGCAAGTGTCAAAGGTTTCATTCGGTTTATCCGATTTTGTCGTTGGCTATATTGTTACGATTTACTGTTACGATTTTTTGAAATTGCGAATTTCGTCTTGAATTTCACAGTAATTCTCATGAGTGAAATTTATATATTCGATATTCAACAGCAAAAATTTCTAAATTGCCAGTAAAAGTTGAAGAGGATGAAAGTTTTAGCGATTCAGCACAGAAAATTAAGCCAGAAATTTTTGAAATTTTTGCAAGAAGTGAATGAATTACTGCGTGTCTTTTTAGATTGATGGGGTGAATTTAACTCTTAGAAGGATTTGTACAAAATTTATTTGAAGTATATTTATGTAGTGACAGGGAAAATTGAGAAAAAAGCGTATAAAAAATACCTCGAGTTTCATGTGCTGATCAATGTTTGAATTACCGTCGCAATTGCGCATATTTGTAACGTTATTATTGCTAAGATAATTGTAGGCTCGTGATGTAATAAAAGTTTATTATGTTTATTCGACAAAAAAATGGCGAATGCATTATTTTTGTCTACCTCTGCTCATTGTTAAAATTGTTTCTACGAATAATTGAATTGTTATCGCGGTTTATCTCGCGCGATTGTAATTGCTGATTTCAGGGTTTAAGAAGGAGGGACGATTGGTGCTAGTTAATTGCTGGAAGTCCGGGAAAAAGGCGGCACAAAAAAGGAGATCGTAAATCCACAAGTACACGAAAAATAAATAAACCGTGACCAACAGGCACTGAACTTCAGGACTCACGAGTCTGGGAAATAATATCACGAGTTCTCGTCGATGATAATTATTCTGGTTACAATTATTTCCTGAGAATGCCGGTTTCGATAATTGATGAATTTATCTACAAGATATATTTTTTGACAAAGAGAATTTAGTCGATACTCGAAAATATTATGTCTGTATTAAAAAATAGTAAAACCACTTAGTAAATAATTTTCTATTTTCTTGTATCCAATGAATTGTCCATGTAAAAAATAGTTTTTGCTTTCACGCTTTTAGTAACAAATATGCAATTATATCTGTTACCGAGAACAGAAAAATTCTTCCAGTATAATATTAAGCCAAATTCTTTCCAGAATAATATTAAGCCATAAAAAGGGTATATCCCTTTATATATTTCGTTCAGATTATTTTTATCAACTATTTCCCAGAAATTTGCGAAAAAATGGAAAAATGAGAAAATATCGGCGATAACTCCGTCAAGTTGAATATTCAAAAGACAGGAGAATTCCGCAACAATGTGATAAAACCCGAAACATTAATCGATAAGACAGGATTGATCTTATTGATCTGATCTTAAATGATTGGAGTTTGGCGGAGTCGATTATATTGATGTTAACGCGAATTGTCATCGGGAAATATGCGGAAGTATGAACTTAACATTAATTGAAAATTGGGAGATATAAAATAGAAGCCTTCCTTTCCATTGGCAGTGGGCAAAAGGTAGTGAATCAGATTTTCGAGACAGGACAAGCAGAGTAACAGGCGTTGTTATTTTCTTTGGAGGGAAGTGCGAAAAGGAGCAGTTGCGTTTGAGCACCGAATGTCGACGGACATCGGGGATTGAGTTGAGGCTCTCGTGATAATGCAATGCGAGTGTCACACATGAGATAAGATAAAACAATTGGTATTGATGACATGCTGATTGACAGTTCGAGCCCAAGAACGATTTTGCGAGTACTTTTGCTGATTTAACTCAACGCCTCACATAGTATGAAGAGTGAAACCAGTCGTAAAAGTTCATCACCATAAGTGATAGTTCGATCTACTCCTCCTGAATCCACCAAGTACGTAAATAATCATGGAATAATTAATATGTTCGTGCTCTCGTGAAATAAAAAAATCGCTGATGAAAGTGAATATCAATGAGGAAAGTATACAATTGTAGAAATTCACGTGTTGCTTGTAAGATATTCCTCTGATAATCAAAGCGGAAATATCAAGCGGGTGCTTTTTCTGTTACGCCTCAATAAACAATCGTGACAATTTTGCCCGCTAAACAACGGCATATACTGTTGGAAAAAATTTCAATTATATCTACAGTTGAGTAATATTATTCTGTCGAGTGCTACGTAATCCAATGGGGAGAAAAAAATAGAAAATTGCGTATCTCAGCGAAAATTTAAGGAAATCCCAAATTTTCCCCAAATATTCCCACCGGTAGATTTCCCGAATTTATCGTCATTTCCGAATCAAAGAGGGTAATTTAAAGATGGGATATTAATAATATAACGGAAGCCTGAAGTAAATGCCATAAAAGTTTGAATTCGTGAAAAATCGAAAACGCCGATTTTAGTTGAATTAATTCTTGATTATCATTATGGTTATTATGATTATTATTATTATTACGGATAATAATAATAACAATCGGCCAATATTCACTTGAATTTTGCAGATTCCTATCAATTTTTATGGAATAGTTAAAGAAAGTGGGGTTTTACCCGGGTTCATTGGCATTTTTTCTTAAAATCCATTTTTTTTTGTTTTTGTCAATTAATCGATATTTAATAAATTCTTCACCGAGGAGAAAATATATTTTTACTAGATATTCATTCATATGAGAGAAATATTTACGGTTCGAATTTCGTATTTCTCCAACAGAAGTATTTAGATGATCCTGATTAGGTTTTAATCATCATCATTATGCTTTCGGGGATGATTACGCTTTTGAGGATAATTATGCTGGATATGACCTTGGATGAATCCCTCCGATGATTATTAATATCGAATATTTGTATTTGAAATTCAAGATTTTTTGAATTTTACGGATTATGGAGGGAATTCATAATTAATAATCACTGTGACCGCGATAATTATTGGAATTGAAAGCTAATTGGCTTGACAGAAACTAGACTGGAGAAATACGGTAATAAATTATTAACGATGATTAAGTACGTCTCTCAAATAAACAGATAATTAGCAGTAATATATTTTTTCCCACAGCAATACGTTTAACTCCATTTATCATGGCTGTAAATGTTTCAACATTTCAATTGTTTAAATGATTAGCTTGTAGGTGAGAACAACAATTCTGTGAAGTCACAATTTTTTTATCCAGAAAATCGTGAAGATGTGGGTACCAGCGGACATCAGTGATCTGTGCGCAACACGTCCTACGATCACGACGTGTCAACCACCGGCGATGATGTTCCTGGCGCTGGTGGTGCATCTATTCGGGTACTCATCAGACAATCGTCCCGAAAAGTCCTCTTTATTCAATAGTCTTGAAGACATCGGAAGACCCTACGAAGCAGCTGAAGCTCTAGCCATCAGTTGGGAATCGAAAAAACTGACAACTCCGGAGCGCAATGATAATTCCATCGACGGAAATGCGTCTGATACGTTTTTTAATAATTTTTACGCGAATAATGTGACGGATTCTTCGTCATTCGTGGAGGAGTTCAACAGAATTGTTGACGATGATGTTGAGATCGTTAGGATTGAGGATGAACCTGAGGGTGATCACGTTCTAGAAGTTCCGGGTGAAGAATTCGGTCGGAGAATCATCGTAGATTCACCTGGAAATTCCGGTGCAAAAGCAACTTCCGTTAAGGTACCGGATACTGCGGAATTCCTGGATGATCATTACGATTTTATTGTGATCGGAGGTGGATCTGCTGGATGCGTTGTCGCAAATCGTCTGTCCGAGGTTCACCGGTGGAAAGTAAGGGATTTTCCAATTATAGAAAATTCTCTTGAGGTGAAGAACTGGTTGTCTTGTACGGAGAGAAATTTTTGATTAAATTTGCCCTGACGTTTTGTGATTGTAATTGGAGATGCAGGAAGTTTCACCGGAAATCCCCGCAATAATTATATGACGCTCGGCAATTTACCACGTAATTTTTACTCGGTGTTATATAATTGTTGTTCCAATTTCTAGTAAAAATCCTGAATTGTCGGTACGCTACACAATCGTTTGAGATAATAATTCACATTCCCCAAATCGTAATAAATCCTTTGGGAAAAACAAACAAATACTAACACTATAATTTGATAAATATTTGATTATCGAAGGCCGACGGTTAAAATCAGTGTACAACGATAGAAAAGTCTCTCTCTCTCTCTCGGTGAAATTGTCATGCGTTGCTGAAGGGTTTGCAAATGCGAGTGAACGGTTTATCCATAAAAACAGGCTCCATAAAGAATTTACGCCCTCGTTATAAAAACAATTTTATGGTTACGAATGGGGTTCCAATTTTTGTGGGACAGCGAAAGCAAATTTTACAGAATTTATCTAGGATATGGGAGTGATAATGTCTCCCCTTGGAGCAGAAAATATAAGAAATTCAAACAAAAATTCGTAAATGGTTCCCTAATAATAATAATAACAAATATTTGTTGTTATTACTATATTACTATATAATAATAACAACAACAAATATTTTTAGATGCCAATGCAAATTACGCCGCGTAAAAATTGCACTGAAACCTAAATTTTTATTAAAAAAATGTTTATGGTTTATGGTTTATGGAAATTGTTGAATCAAAGTAGTTTATTGTTTACAACAGCAACAATATTAGATTTTCTTTGTAATTCTTATTTCCTCTTTTTTATTGTGAGCATTATTATGGAATATTCAATTTTCTTATTATTTATTATCGATAACTCTTGATCAAGTCAATGGAACTGAAAAATTCAAGCGGCACTATAAAGAGTTTATTGAGACCTTCAAATAAAAAAAAGTTGAATGAATAGAATGAATTTGGTTTGAAGTTTAAAATGATGAGACGATTGTTGCAGAAGAATCAGGATAGACATAAATAATAATTAGGATTATTTTTTAGATACGAATGAAATTGGTAAAAATTTGTTGTTGGGAATGAACAGGTTCTATTGCTAGAAGCTGGAATAGAGGAACCAGAAGCGGCGGATGTGCCGTCATTTGCACCGATGATGCAGGGCAGCAACATTGATTGGGGATACCGAACTCAACCGGACAAGAAAGCTTGCCGATCCCGAAGAGAAGGTGGCTGTCGATGGGCCAGAGGCAAGGTAAACTACATTGTCGACAGTAAATAAATTAATGCCTGTCTATAAACCCCTGAGCTGTACAGTAAAATTAACAATTATATTCTCAAATTATCACAAACTATCCAAATATGACAATAACGATTGCCCCAACCAGCCCTAGGAATTTGAAATTTTTTTTTTCATTATTTTTTTCATTACTTCAATAAGTTCTAGTCATCCCAATTACTCACTGAGTTATAATTATATTAATTACGTATTAATTCTTTCAATTAAAATAAATAATAAATACTATATTTTAGGATATAATAATAAATATTTTCTCAAATCATAAGTTCTTTTCGCACTCTTCGATAATCAACGAAATTTTTTCAATGTTTTATAAAAGAACTATAACGATTGCTTTATCCGAAATTCCCAAAAATGGGCAGAAATATTAGCAATTAATTGCCCGAATCGCCTGTAATTTGTTCCAGGTGATGGGCGGTTCAAGTAGTATAAACTACATGATCTACATCCGAGGTAATCGAGATGATTACGACGAGTGGGCGAGACTGGGTAACAACGGTTGGGATTACGAGCAGGTGTTGCCGTACTTCATCAAATCGGAGAGGAACAAGGACGTAGAGGTAAACGATTATCCATTGATCTTAATCTGATTACTGACTGATGGCTGACAAATTACAGATAGTCAAGGATAATCCCCACTACCACGGTACAACAGGTTACCTGAACGTCGAACGTTTTGAATACAAAGATGAGAACGCAGAAATTGGGTTAGATGCATTTGAAGAATTGGGATACAAGCGAATTGACGTGAATGCAGCCCATCAACTCGGTACGATGGCAGTTCAAACTACAACACGCCACGGTGTCCGCCAAAGTACAAACGGGGCCTTCATCAGGCCCATAAGACACAAGCGTAAAAACCTTACAGTAATAACGCAGGCCCACGTTATCAGAATCATAATCGATCCGGAAACGAAACTAGCATTGGGGGTGGAGTACCTCAGTACGAGATCAGACGTTGTGAGAGTGGCGATAGCAAGAAAAGAAGTGATTCTTTCCGCAGGAGCTCTCAATTCCCCAAAAGTCCTGATGCTATCGGGAATTGGTCCCAAAGAGGATCTAGATCGTCTGGGGATTCCTCTGATTTACGATTCAGCCGTGGGGTACAATCTACAGGATCACACGACAATTGACGGGCTTGTCATTCAGCTCGACAACAAGACAAGCCATTCCGCGCAGTATCCTCAGATGATTCAGGATCTCTACGAATACAAGGACAGCCACAGGGGGCCTCTTTCAACAACTGGTCCCGTCGCCACTTCCATCTTCGTCCGGACTCCGTACGAAGAGTCCATTCAGCTACCGGATATCCAGTATATCTACGACGTGGTGAATGTTGAAGACTTCTACACGGATCCTGCATTTTATGCGGAAATGGCAATAGCACCGATTGCTTATTACGACGGCCTGATGCTCAGACCCATTCTCCTGAATCCTAACAGTCGTGGAGTGGTTAAGCTCAATGACACTGATCCCATCTTTGGAGATCCTTTGATCTACGCCAATACCTTTAGTGCGTATCCTGATCTGAACCGGATGATCGCTGCCATTCAGATGGCGATGGCTTTGTTCGATACAAAGGCCTTCATCGAGAATGGGTACAAGCTCAGGAAGGATCCACTCCCTGCATGTGCACATGTGTCTTTTGGCACTGCTACTTATTGGCAGTGTGTCGTCATGGAGTACACTTCGACGATTTTTCATCCCGTTGGCACCTGCAAGATGGGCCCTGCTCATGATCGATTTGCTGTTGTTGATCCTCAGCTTAGGGTTTATGGAGTTGCTGGGCTCAGAGTCGTTGACGCATCCATCATGCCGATTATTGTCCGTGGAAATACTAATGCACCGACAATCATGATTGCTGAGAAAGCTAGTGATATGATCAAGGAGTTCTGGTTGAAACGGTGAAGCTTGGGGTATGTTTTCTGTGCTAGTGGTGGTGTGCCTTGCTATGAGGATTTGGAAAATAGTAGAAAGTTATCGATCGTCGGTGGGTTTTTAAAGATTTTTTTGATTAGTTTGTTTTATTTTAATAATTTAATACTTCCCCTTGTAAATGAGTAAATTAAATTTGACTAATTAATCCGAATTTTACTGCAATTTCAAGAAATTACTGAGAATTGTTTATTGTCACGAAGTCCATGTCTAAAAAATCGTCAAAAAACTTGCAAAAAAATTCCAAAAAAGGACGTCAGATTTGCCCGTCAAAAATCTCTTGTAAAAAAATACCGGAAGCATTTCGAAAGAAAAAATGGCTATGATAACCGGTCATAGATGCTGTAGTCACAAGTACTTACGAGCTGCTGTCAAAATAAATGGGAAGTGTGGACTATTGAGTGGTTTATTTACCCGAGAGGAATCCCTGAAGAAATAGTTGGCAGGAAAAACAGACCATGCATAATTTTCAAATGGCCTGTTAAGTTTAGGGGCTTTTAACACTTTTTGGACGTGTCGGCTATTTTTTCTTGATATATTCTTTCTGCCTTTTCTGGACTTTAACAATATTTTTTAAGAATTTTTTCTAGAGGTATTTTCGTGCAGTTTTGTTAGCAGAGTTTTTTCATTAGTTTTTTTGTCATGCTCCCGTGTCATGAATGAAATTCCATAGAAAAACTGCGCATGTTTTTCATCTGAATTTAATAATTTTCCTGTAATTTCCTAGAATATTGAACTAAAATGTAAAGCTATCATTGATTTCCCATAAAATTCTGAAGTTTCGAAGAGAAAATCCGTTGGAATTTCGACAGGACTGTATATATTTGAAAATTGAAACAAAAAAAAAATGGAAAGTAGTGAAAAAAAAATAAAGGATTACTATTGAAATTTCGGAAATTGTATAATTGATTATTATTTTCAGTCACGTCAATTTGTGATGATGGCTTTTGCATTCATTTAACTTTTGATGATAGTAATTATCAAATTATCATGACTCGCAAGATTTTTATGCCCTACATAATAATATCGGAGAGATCTAGCGATATGATCAGCGGATTTTTATGAAAATAGGCTACTCGTCGATGCATTATGTAAATCATTGAACTATCGAGATTGAGAAACGAATGTCTCATAATTGGGATGTGAGGGATCGAATATTGCAGAACTGGGGGTCGTGCATCATTATCATCGCCACATTACAACGTGACACTGACACCATGATTACTCAAAACGACAGCAACATCTTGCGTGAATACTCAACCTTAAAAGCACTTCAAGTCGCTAATTGCAGTTGTCTAATTACGAACTTTAGTCCCATTATCACATCCCTCATTTCACTTTCTCAGGAATTTTGAGTGTAGATGGATTATTATGAAGTCGTAAATAAAATATACATGGATTTTTTAACGAGTTATTGCCGATATTTTATGATTTTTAATGTTTTTTTTCTAAATTTCTTGGGAAACCGTGGATCAGCTTGAAAAAATATACCGTTTTTACGTTTTGTTTTTCGTTTCGTTTTTCCTTAATTAATCGGTCACGTAATTTTGTGCTGGTGTAAAACATTTTCCCGCGTTTTTTCCACAATTCTTTGATTCTTCTCAAAAGTTCAGAAACAACCCAGAAAAATATGTGCACTATTTTGAAGCATCGCAAGTCATTAAATAGTACCAATATCTGAAAACCTATTTTTTATATAAAAAAATCGAAAAAACCGTAAATTTCGACGGAAAGTGTGTAGACCATCTTGAAATACATTCTGCCAAATTGGGGATCGCCTAGTGAATTCCGAATTGACGAAATCATCGACAACTTTCACCGATAGATTGCAGAGTCGAGCGAGAAAAAAAGACAATATTTTCAAGCAGGAAAAAAGATTTTCGATACGATTAAATATTGTCTGCCGATACAATCAGAAATGAGGAAATCGGGAATGATGGGTGGCCTGTTACATCAATGAGAGTCAAAAGGTGAGATAAAAAAAAAATTTGTAGAGGGACTGGTTGGAGGAACGTGAGCTCCTGCACTGTAGACTGTTGGCGCAACCCTTTCGAGTTTATCCCTGACTTGTTCATGTGGCACAGGTCCCCAGGTTCTTTTCAATTCGAATGTGGTAGGAGAGGAGCTGCATGTTAGTTTTATACGCTCAACGTAAATGCTCCAACTCCCAGTCTTTCGCTTTCTCTCTGGCATTCTCGTCGCTCCCTCAATTCACTGGGGAACGCTCCACGTGCTTCTACATCTCCGATTTTATGATATTTTAGTACCATGTAAGTCGCACTCATCCTTCACCGTATCCATTGATTCGTGTACCCATTGATAATTAATCAATCGATTGTGCTTTGCCCCCTTTTTTTACTTGTTAATCATTTTTTATTGGTTGGTATTGAATTCTATGAATTATTATTGACGAAGTTCTGAAGTGGGATAGTTACATTTCAGTGAATTGATTGATTTATCCATTGATTGATTATGGATTATAATTTTAACTGATTGGTATTGGATTCGGGCAATCGTCATTTGATAAATTGTGAAGTGACATTTATTGTAGTGAGATTTATTGTGGTGGATTAATTATGGATTTGGAATTCATTTTCTGGGTAGCTTTTAATAGAATTGGTATTGATTTTGGGTGTTGATATTTAATATTGTCGCGTGTTATTTCTAATGATTTGGTTGGCATTTATATCCGTGTATCTAAGATTGAATGTGTATTGCGCAATTATCCGCGTGACTTTAGATTCATTCAGAGAAACACCTGTCTAGTACGTCACGAACACAACACTCGTCAAGTCTCTGTACTTTAATAGAAGGAAATATTTTAATAGAAGTTTATTGCGAATAGATTCGGTTAAAGAGTGGGAATGACTACTGGAATATTCCTGTGATGTTTTCACTAGCATAAATAAATAATAAACGAGATCGAAAAATCCTGGGAGACGTTAGGGTCTTTCATATCCTATACGAGAATTCCGAAAAACGACGAATGAATCGGGCAAGTATATTTTATATAATCATTTCTTTCATAATAATGAAATTTCTCCATATTTCAGTCTATAATCTAGCATTCATGAGTGTGGAAAAACCAAGGATTTTCGACTGGCCGAAATCTGCTGTAATCGCTAGCTGGGAATTATAATTATAATCTAATTAATTATAAAGAAAATCAAAACGGAGAGTCGGACTAAATTCGAGCTGAAACCGAGAAAAAGTCTTTATGTTGTATCGCAGGAGAAAGAAAATATTGCGATCATGGATGTGGCGGCATGATTACTGAGAATTCTAACGACATGTGAAGAGAATTTAACACGCGAGTGCAACAGGAGAATCTAAATTACATCAGTTAAAAATTGATGAATGAAGTAGAAAATAAAAGGAATAATGGCGATAATCGTAGGAACAATAGCCGCTGCTGTCAAGGCAGGAGCTCTCCTGTTGGCAGGAAAATTGGCAGTTCTTCCCATTTTGATAGCAGCTATCGCCTATTACAATTATGACCTTATGGACCCGGAGAATCATCCCCATGTGACAAAAAATCTTCGGAGAGAGTATGACTTCGTTGTGATCGGTGCTGGCAGTGCAGGAAGTGTCATAGCTAATAGACTAACAGAGATACCAGAATGGAATGTTCTATTGCTCGAGGCTGGTGGACACGAGACTGAAATAACGGATGTCCCTATACTCTCACTGTATCTGCATAAAAGTAAAGTTGACTGGAAGTACCGCACGCAACCGCAAAAATCAGCTTGTCAAGCTATGATCGATCAGCGATGCTGTTGGACTCGTGGGAAGGTAAGACTGTCTATTCATTCATGAAATTCAATTTTCCATAAAAATAAGACTTCTGATTCACGATTTATCGCTAATATCTTCTCATTTTCCGAGTTTTTCCAAGTTTTTCACGAATTTCTGAGAAATGGTTGATAAGATTCACCAGCGAAGTGATAGACTGGAATAAGTGCACTTTTTTCGAGGCCAGTTTTTAGCCAATATCTCGGAATTTAAGGAGCTTAGCGAATTTTTTGGGTGAACATTTTTTCTAGAAAAAAATGAAAGCTAGAAAAAAGTTATCTGTGAAAATGTCATTATATTTCTTTACTTCCGGGAAATCGGTTGAAAAATGACCGCGAAAAAAATGCAGTCCTCATTAATATGAAAATTTGTGAGTCATTAAATAATTATCAAATGTAAAAATGGCGTATATCTTTCAACGTTAATTTAATCCAGAATGGCTTCCCAGAAATTCACCAAAATAAATTTTTTTCGCCTCGTGTAAACACGTTATTTCCGCTTTCGTAGGTACTGACAAAATTCTGCTATAGTGATAATATACGATAGAGAATGAAAGTTTCGGGGACAAGTGATTACCGGGAAAGCAAGAGACACTATTTAAAGGGAAAGGACTGATTTATCTGGTCTCATTGGAAATTCAAGAAAATCCAAATTTCCCATTAGTGTGCCAACGGGAATTTCACAACTTATACTTTCGTTGGAACACAATTGCATTAATTAGAAATATCAATTGACCAACCAATAGAAAAATCCTAATAATATAAACGTAAAATTCCCAGTGAACGAATTTTTTGTGATGTAATTCATAGAGATTTATGTAAATTCATGTAAACTCTGAATTTACGTTGAATAATTTAGTAGAAATGAGGGTTTTTCTGGATTGTCTTATAAAACTCTGGGTTTTAGATTAAATTCCCTGAGATTGTTATTATTAAAAATTTTCAAGTCATGGGACTCTTCAGTCAAAATTACTTGACAGACAAGGCATGAGAATTTTTCGAATTTCGTCAGAAAACGTAATAACGTAATTTCACGTAATGATTGCGGTCTAGATTACTCTGCGAGAAACAATCGTCATTGAATGATTGAGCACATTTCCCTTCAGTCCCTAACATCATGGCAATGGGTGTGGTAACACGCATCAGAGAAATTACGGGAGAAAGTTTATGATTTTGGCAGCCACCGAAAAATTCTCAGAGCTAGAATAAATCCTCAATCTTCAGGCCCATGAGATTTTTCTCATCATCAGATATCCATTCATAAAATGTCGCTTGGTTTTAGAAAAAAAATTTATGTGAATTTCAGATTTTATTGCATTGAGATCAAATTTTTAACGATGTAAATTATTTTCAATTGGTTAAATATCAAATGTTCGATTGCGATTGTCATTGTCATTAATTCATCGTGAATATATTATCATCGGAATATTGCAGCTGCATAACAAAAAAAAACGTGAGATTAATGAACACTTGACAATTGACGACACCTGCACTTATGCAATTCGACTGAAATAATTCGCGATAAAAACTTACTTGGGTGGAAAGCTATTTTAATGGCTTACTTGGGAATTAAGTAATTGGAAAAAAATTACTCGTTTCCAGGAAATAGGTTACAGATATTAATAATCACTCTCCTACATCCCGGCGAATTTCAGGAAATTTTTCTTTGAATTTCTTGTAAAATAATAAAGTAATTGTGAAATTTTTTGACATTTCATTGAAACTCATAAATTCTTCCGAAAAATCCTAGTGGTATTCCAGTTAAATTGATAAGAATTCACTGGGGAATTCCCGTAAAAAATTTTCCATTACAAAAGAAATTTCCAAAAGAATTCCAAAAAAAGTAAAAATGTTAATTTTTTATGAAAATTCCAAAAGAATGACTGGATTGTTACATAATCAGTGTGAATTTTCAAATAAATTATTCTATGTGCGATTAAGGGGAAAATGTGTGACAGGGCAAATGAGAATAGTCTCGCCAACATTAATAATAATTGGAGAATTACAATTGTCCTGGTCTGTGGCTCATTAAGGATGCGATTGGAGTAACTCACTCGAAAGTACACGAGTGCATGCACTGGAATAACAGGTTTGGCATCTGTAATAATCCGTACGCACATGACGAAATACTAGGTAATGAAAAAAAAAAAAACGCGATTTCAATACTAGCCAAATATCATTAAAATATTCACGAATTCCTCGTGAACTTTCCCAACGTTTGACATAACAACTCGGCCTCGATCAATGTCAACTTATCAAGTGTTGTGATAAATCTGTAGAGGAGTGTGTGGGAATTAATTGATGATTCTCTGTCTTCAGGTAATCGGTGGGTCGAGTGTTCTTAATACTATGCTGTATATCCGCGGCAATCGTCGTGATTTCGATCAGTGGGAGAGTTTTGGTAATCCCGGATGGGGATTCGATGACGTGCTTCCATACTTCAAGAAATCAGAGGACCAAAGGAATCCCTATCTTGCACGAGATAAACGTTATCACAGTACAGGTGAAGCTAAATGGAAGAGAAATCTCACGGAATTTCACTGGAAATTTTCCCTTCAATTTTTCCTTTTTCACCTACCCGAAGTGCAATTTTCCTCGTGAAATTTTTACTTCAAGTTTGTGGATTATAAGGATATTGTACATCCTTTCTCCCTATATTCACCTTTTTTAATTTAATTTTCCTTGCAAATTCGCGATGTGATTGATCTGATTAACGTGAAAAAATATACCGTTCTTGCGGTTTGTGATTATATCCAATGACTTAAGAAATTCAAAGGTAGTGCGAACCTTCTCCTCAGCTTTTTATAAACTTTTAAAAAGAATCAAAAAACAGTAGAAAAACGCATGAATTGATAATTCGATAATAGACTCAGCTTTTTTAATTAAAAAATGAATTTTCTCGCATGAAGAAGGAATTTCTCTTTGAGTATCGAGAGATTTTATTATCTATCCGAGATTACCTAGTGCAATGTCATCAAATTCAACTGGAAGTCTCCAATTTCGTATCCGGCTGGCGAAATTGATATTCAAGTAGTTGCGTGCCCCGAAACAATGCCCTGACAAGCGCAAACGTAATCCTATCATTATTATGAAACCTGCCCGAACTAGCATGTTCATTTAACTCTGTTATGTGTCCCAGAAACAATCTCAGAATATCTCTCTACAGATTCGAATTCCACAATCAAGATTTTAATTGGATTCGTGAACCGTGAAAATTCTTTTAAACCATTGAAAACCATTGAAAACACCATTAATAACTCAAATGGAGAATATGCGAGGAGAAAGTGACAGAATGAACCGCACGTTGTTATCAACATTTCCTAAAAAAGCTTTGGAAATAACCAATCAGTCGAAGAAATTCCAATTTGTCTTTTTTACCGAATAATTCAGTTACAATTTGCAAAATAAAAATCAGAGAAACAATTTTGAGATTGAATCCCGTAATTAATATTCCACATCCTGCCTATGAATGAATGAAGAAAAACATTCCCGTAAGCTGCAGAAAACAATTCTATAATTATCGGCATCTGTATATGAGCAAAAAAAATGAAAATTCCCTAAACATTTGCAGGTGGTTACCTAACGATTCAGGACGCACCATACAACACTCCACTTGGTGTAGCATTTTTGCAAGCAGGCGAGGAGATGGGTTATGATATCGTGGACGTAAATGGTGACCAACAAACAGGTTTTGCACCATGGCAATACACAATGCGCCGAGGAACACGATGTAGCACAGCAAAAGCCTTCATCCGTCCAATAAGACTGCGAAAAAATTTCCACCTCTCCCTGTGGTCGCATGTCACAAAACTCCTGATTGATCCCTCAACAAAAGTCGCATACGGGGTAGAGTTCATCAGAGATGGCCACCGAGAGATCGTCTACGCCAAGAAGGAAGTGATTCTTTCAGCAGGTGCCATCAACAGTCCCCAACTGATGATGCTCTCCGGTCTCGGTAATGCCAAACACCTGCAGCAGGTCAGCATCCCACCGATTGTCGACCTCCCAGGTGTCGGTGAGAATCTCCAGGATCACATAGCCGTTGGTGGAATAGCATTTCTCATTGATTATCCAATCAGCATAGTAATGAATCGACTGGTTAATCTCAACTCTGCATTGCGATACGCAATAACCGAGGATGGACCACTAACTTCTAGCGTTGGCCTTGAGGCAGTGGCATTTATCTCCACCAAATATGCTAATCAAACTGACGACTGGCCCGACATTGAGTTCATGTTGACCTCATCGTCGACGTGTTCCGATGGTGGAACTCAGGTAAAAAATGCCCACGGGCTGTCCGATGAGTTTTACAACGAGGTCTTCGGGGAGATTAACAATCGAGATGTCTTTGGAGTTTTTCCTATGATGCTGAGGCCTCAAGCCCGTGGCTTCATAAAATTACGGAGTAACAATCCCCTGGAGTATCCTCTGCTCTATCATAATTATCTCACCAATCAGGCAGATGTCGATGTTCTCAGGGAAGGGGTCAAAGCTGCTGTGGCTTTTGGCCAGACAGCGACGATGCGCCGATTTGGCGCTAGATTTCACAGCAAACCACCACCCAACTGCAAACACCTACAACTTTTTACTGACGAGTACTGGAATTGTTTCATCAGGCAGTACACCATGACGATTTACCACATGAGTGGCACAGCAAAAATGGGACCACCGTCCGATCCCATGGCCGTTGTTGACCCAGAATTGAGGGTTTATGGGGTCAGGGGACTCAGGGTCATTGACGCATCTATCATGCCCACTATTACTAATGGCAATATCAATGCTCCTGTTATCATGATTGCTGAGAAGGGCGCAGATCTCATCAAGGCGCAGTGGCTCAAAAGGTGGAAAAGGGATAATCGATCAGCTACTACTAGATGATCTTTGAATAGCTGAAGAGATAAGTCATCCTCTGGTCAACAGATCTTTAGCCTGCTTGAGGGTCTTTGGGATCTGGTGTTTTTTTAAATTAAATTTCAAAGGTATGAAGGACAAATTACGTCTTAAAACGTAATTATCAATTATTAGTATTTAATTATTTCAAAATTTTTAGGAAATGCTCGCGATAAATGATTCTTCAAATATTCTCCATTCATTTCTGTTATCACGTTTCACTTCTCATTTGGAATTTTTTAATTTACGAATGAATTCTAATTTTTTTTCCTTGTAATTTGAATTTAAATTAATTGTACATAAATTTTCATAGAAAATTATAATCAATACCAGGGAATTTCGCTAGAAGAAAATCTCGAAAGATCCTCCTATATAGGGAAATCTACTAGTATTTATTTTTTCTATTCAATTTTTGTGCCAATAGGACATGAGGCATTTATCACTCATAAAGTTCATTATTTCTGAATATTCCATTTCACAGAGAAGTAATTGAGTTCAATTGAAAGGTGATATTTATAAAGAAGAGGATAAAATAGTTCTAGTTGATTTCGTATCAATAAATCAGCCGAATCTCGATTTGTTAGATTGGTTATTTAATACTTGTGGAATGATATTGTTAATGTCTATAAAAGAAGTTAGTTAGGTTTTAAGGTAAATGATCGTTTCGATTTGTCGACAATGACGTGGTCAACAAAGCGGAGCGCAATTGCTCAATAAAACCAAGTGGGTAGGTAAGGAAATTATTTTTTCTATACATCTAGTGAAACTAATGCTCTCAGTGTGTTCACATACTACGATATTTCTCAATGAGTTGACGACATGGTTACATGTGAAAATAAATATCTAGCTGTGTGTGTGAGTGAAAATATTTTTTATCAGTAATTTGTTTGCCGTATGTGAGAGTTTGACGTTCCAATTGCGTAATTTGTCCGTTGTAAATAGGAGAAAAATTGTATGGAAATAAAGGTGGAAGATCAATAAGCATGTTTCATTTATTATTTCTCAAAGAAATCTTTCCATATGTAATTCATTTTCAGGGGCACGCGGATCGCACGTGTCAAGACGATTCATTCTTCATTCATTCTTCTAAGACCGCGGAATTACGTAAGCCATTGCGATAATTAAATTTTTATCCTTTTGACACCTCTGCGGTTATTTATTCATTACTTTTACGTTAGGTTTAATTATCTGGGGGAATTTGACAACGGGATTCTCTATTTTGAAGAGTTATCGGTATGTGTGAATTAGATTCGTTTATGGATTTTAGGGCATGGGAAAAAGTTGTTATTTTACTTGTTTTTTTTTGTAAAATATGGAAAAATGATTAACTATTCCTAAAGGCACAATATATTTGAGCGAGAACGGAGTGAATGAGGGAATGATTCCTGATGTAGAAAAGAAATTTGGAGAGAGAGAATTCTGAGAATTGTCTTCTGAAATCGAAAATAATTTTCTAAAATAAAGAAAACGTTTAATTCTCCGGAAAATTCAAGTTGATTTTTGTTTTTTCGATTTTGCGATTTGTATTATTGTTATGTAAATACTTGTTGCGTTGAATATTCAGAAATCTGACTTCATTGCAGTCGGTAAAATTTGCACCCGCGGAAATAATCCTTTTCCTTTCTCTCCGCGGGTTCTGGCGAAAGGAAATGAACTGGTCTAACCCGCGGATTAATCCTCGATCGATAAAATGAATACCACATTCACAATTCAAATACTAATAAATGAAATTAATTATAAAAAATACCGCAGAGTGTTTCCATTTCTATTTAAAGAGATCTTTCCTAATTCAATTTTCAAGTTCAACTTTGAATTTATTACCGGGAATATTTGATTTCCCAATTCAAACAATTTCAAAAGACCACAAACAAGTCACACTGAAATTTCAGAAACCAAGAAATTCTGGAAACCAAACAGTCAATAAAACATCCATTTATTTATGTTAATCATTAAACTTTCTACGAGCGTACGTGAGTGTGCATCACGTGTTGTTTCACTCGTCATTGACTTTTACATTCCGAACTTTGATTTTAACATTTCCATAATTTCGCAACCCGAGCACGACCTAATTATCACACCATAATTACTGACAAATCAAAGTTCCTCCCTCCAGAGTTTTATGAAATATCGAGAGCACGATTGAAGTAACTGCAAGTTCAGAGAACAAGTTTGATATAGAGCACACGTCAAGGTCTGCATTGCAACTTCAATCATTACCTGCAAGTAGTTGAATCTAGACAGGTGAATGTTTAAAGCAACTCGTTGACTAGCACGTAGGCCACAAAATAGAGAAAGTGAGGGGCTTAAGTCAACTGCTCCGACCATGAAAGTTCAGAGAAACGACATAATATGAATTTTATTAATTTTATCGAGTTAATTCCCCGCAATTAAGACATCTGGGACAATAGGAGGTTCCGACTTCTGACAAAAGAATCGAATTCTCTTTCCAGAGACAATTCGTTGAAAAAAAAGGGGAAAAATACTCTTGAAATAAAAAGAGCTCCTTCTCTATTCAGGAAAATTTATAGAGAATATAGTGAAATCCAGAAAGATTAATGTGAAAACGTCATATCAATTGGATGTCAAAAATACAAGAAAGATTTATGCACCTTTAACAAGGCGCGTTAAATACTAATAAACAGTAGATTCAGATATTATCAGATAAATCTTCTTTATTAGTTAATGGATGGTTCACTGGTCAGGTGAAAGTGAGTGTCAATCAGAGCTCCTCGAATATCATTAACAATGATTAAACGTTTGGGGGGACCAAATTGACACCAGTCTCCACCCAAATCCATTTGTCACCGATAACTAATTATTTTCGTCAGGGCCCATAGCAGGATGAATAAAAAAAGAGAACGAAGTGATCTGGCAATGAAATTTCATTGAACTTCCGGACGTAAACTGATAATCACATCAAATTAGTGAAGTCGATAGCAAATCTATTAAGTCAATCGATTTTGATTCGGAGATTGTATTCGAAGGACAGGAATTGCACCCCCTGAGGGCATCCCAGCGAAAATTTGCCTTGACCCAATTTTGGTTGACGGGGTAATTTTTTTTTCGGTGGTTTTTTTTTGAAAGATTAATGAAGAGATAAGGACGAATCTACAGTGATGTTTCATTTCTTGGTGTTGGCAATGAAAGGAGATGTCGGCGTGGGGACTGACTGGTTTCACTCCAGGCATTCACTAATGCGCCTCCAGAGTCCACACATCCAACTCACCACGAATTACTCCAATTTCTTGATATCCGATTGACTAAACAGTGATTATCGAATGGTTAAGGATAACCACGGTATTGTTTCCGGTTGTCAGTACCGGTGTGTCAAGACTTGTCACTCAAGAGGGCCGAGGAAAACAATTGTGAGTTAAACGACAAGATATTATCCGGTTATTTTTCAAACGTTGAAAATGACTTAACAGTGACATAGATTTCTTGAATGCAATCAGTGACTGATTCGTTATCTCACGGTTTTTTTAAGAAGTGATGGATTTCTTTGAGGAATGAAAAGATGTCTTTGGATACATTGGAGACGGCCTACTTTCTCTGGACATCTCTGATGGAGCCATTGTCGTTTTTTTGAATTTTACTTGAAGTTAACAAATTTTTCGTGTTATTTATGGGTTTCAGATTAGGAGGCATTGGACAGGTTTTTCAATGAATCATCCTGCGAAGATTGGAAAGGAGGCCAAATGGAATTGATAAGCTTGGCAGGCACAAGTTCCTTCTTTGGATGGGGCATCCTTCCATTGCTAGCTGTTGGCTTGACTTATTATCAGTATCATAATGCAGACCCTGAATCACATCCCCGGAATGCGCAAGAGGTAGAGAACTTATTGGTTCATCTATTCTATTTACGCGGAGAAAAAGCGCTTGGAATAACTTGAAAAGGCATTGCCATAAGTTAAATATCAATATTTTCATTAGTCTATCAGTAAGTCATCTGATTCTATCGATTTTTGCAAATGAGAAATCCGTTTCATTGAATATCTATTCATCTCCCTAAAAATTCTACTTCTGGATAATTAACGATAATTTTTTCGAGATTTTAGTGATTATTCAAATGAACCGAACGAATTACCAATTTTTGAAAACCGATTGCAAAAATTGACGCAAAAAAATCAGTTTTTCTATTCTCTATTATTAATTAATGTGCCACGTTTTTTTATTTAGTTTTATCACGGTGGAAGAATTTTCCCGCGTTTTCAGTAAACTTTTACAAAAATTGTAAAGATTTGTCAAAGATTTAAAAAAATAGATGGATGACTATAAATTTGCGAATTATTTAATAATGATAAAACGTAAAAACGTGAGATTTTTTCACGTGAAATTAAAAAAGCAGAAGACAAATTATGAATTAGGGAATTTTTAAAGGGTCTTTCTCTCCGCGTAATTAATTATTCAAGAGTGTGTATCTCATGTTGGAATAATTCGATTCAGCTTCTGCGAATGTACGACTTCATCGTTGTAGGCGGTGGGAGTGCAGGAGCTGTGGTAGCATCGCGATTATCAGAGATATCAAACTGGACAGTTTTGCTGCTGGAGGCCGGAGGCGACGAGAATGAAATATCAGACGTGCCCGCTTTAGCCGGATATACTCAATTGTCCGATATCGATTGGAAATACCAAACTGCACCGCCCAGTGCTTCTGCTTACTGTTTAGCCATGATTGGGGACAGGTGCAATTGGCCGAGGGGAAAGGTCCTCGGTGGTAGCAGTGTTCTAAATGCTATGATCTATGTTCGAGGAAATAGGTAAGCCACATTGGGGCCTTAAAAAGTACGAATGCAATTTCATTAAATGAAGAAGACATTGTTCGACAATTTTCCCATTCCCAAGAGTAACTTGTGAATTTTAGAAAGTCTTGACTATACTTTTAGTATAAAAAAAATTTTCCCCGGTGAATTATTAATTATTTTTCAATTTTTAATAAAAAATTTTTCTTTTTTTTAAGTAGTCTCGAGGTATGGAATCATTTTATTTTGACTGAGAAATAAAATTCACCTGTTCAATGTCAGGTAGACTTAGTAGTCAAGTATTTTATTTTCTTCAGGTTCTATAGAACGATAAAATGATAATCCATAAAACGATCATAAAGTTTGTTTTAAAAAATCGCAAGTCCTTGAGAAAAAATTGGAGTTTATGAGGAAACTTCGATTAATTCCATAATGAATCTGCCAAAAATGATATTGAAACAGTAAAAAGGAACTAATGAAAGATAAACCATCAGGCACGACTTTGATCTGTGGGAGAGTCTGGGGAATCCCGGCTGGAGTTACAGAGACGTTCTCCCGTATTTTATAAAATCAGAAGACAACCGAAACCCGTACCTAGCGCGAAGTCCATACCACGGTACCGGAGGTTTGCTAACGGTGCAAGAGGCGACCTGGAGAACACCCTTGTCCCTGGCGTTCATCCAGGCAGGTAACGAGCTGGGCTACCCAAATCGAGACATAAACGGTGTAAACCAGACGGGTTTCATGCTGTCGCAATTGACAGTGAGACGAGGCAGCCGTTGTTCCACAGCAAAAGCCTTCCTCCGTCCTGTTCGAAACCGTAAGAACCTGCACATCGCTATGTTCGCTCAAGCAACGAAAATCCTATTCAACGACGACAAGCGAGCAATTGGTGTTGAATTCATGAGGAACGGAAGAAAACAAGTGGCCCACGTCCGACGAGAAGTGGTCCTATCATCAGGCTCCATTGGATCCCCTCAGTTGTTGATGCTCTCAGGTGTCGGTCCCAAAGAGCATCTGCAGGAATTCGACATTCCAGTTCTATCAGACCTACGAGTCGGCGACAATCTGCAGGACCACGTCGGCCTGGGAGGCCTCACATTCCTCATCGACGAGCCCGTCACCTTCAAAAAATCCAGATTCCAGACATTCCCCGTCGCCATGGAGTACATAATCAATGAGAGAGGACCCATGACGACTTCGGGAGTCGAGGGATTGGCATTCGTCAACTCAAAATACGCCAACACCAATATCGACTGGCCAGACGTGCAGTTTCACTTCTCACCGAGTTCCATAAGCTCCGACGATGGTGACATCATCAGACGAATCACTGGCCTGCGGGACAGTGTCTACAACACGATGTACAAGCCCCTCATTAAGTCTGAGGCTTGGTCGATACTTCCACTGCTGCTCAGGCCAAAGAGCTCTGGCTGGATCAGGCTAAAAAGCAAAGATCCATTCGTCTATCCTGATATCAATCCCAACTACTTTACTCATAAGGAGGATATGGACGTTCTCGTGGATGCCATCAGGATCGCTATGGAAGTGTCCAATACTACTGCCTTTCAGAGATTTGGATCTCGACCTCTAACCATTCCTATGCCTGGTTGTCACAAGTTTCAGTTTGATACATACGATTACTGGGAATGCGCCATACGACATTTTACATTCACCATTTATCATCCCACTGGGACCTGCAAGATGGGTCCAGAGAGGGATCCAACTGCTGTAGTGGACACTCGACTCAGGGTCCATGGGATTAAAGGACTCAGGGTCGCCGACGCATCTATCATGCCAACAATCGTTAATGGCAATCCTAATGCCGCTGTTATCATGATCGGAGAGAAGGCCAGTGATATGATCAAGGAGGACTGGCTTCGAAGAAGACGTCAGCCGGGGAGATGACTGTAGTTGAGGTGTTGATAGTAGGTACTAGATTGGTTTTCTCAGGGTGAATCGGTGGAGAGTGGGGTTTTGTATTTTTGGTGGAGAGTGGAAAGTCTTCGTTTTGTATTTTTTAATTTTTTTTACTATGTGTTTTTAATGGTTACGCGAATTGTTGAATGTTTATAATAAATGTTATTTATTTAAAGAAGCTCGAAGAGTCGTTTAAGAGAATTATTATTTGATAGCAGTCTTTTGAGTATTAATTCATTTATTTGTTTCATTTATTTTTAAAGTCGGTGGCGCCTTTTAGAAAGAGTAAAAAAAGTGTAATAATTAATGATTCATGAATTTTAAATCGTAAGGTCGAAATAACAAAGAATAGCAAAAAATCTGTGGAATATTGTCTATGATAATTGGAGAAATATTTATAAAAAATTTCATCCAACAATTTCAACCCTAATTTTCTATTTCATTTTCAATTTCACTCTGAAACCCCGAATTGCAAAAGTTTCCGAGGAAAGTGAAAAAAAATCCTCAAATCTGACGTTTTTCTCATAATTTAACCGAAAATTATAGTAAAAACTGATTATAGTTATCTCTTCTCACTTTCTGTTTCCGCGTTTCCTTCGGATTCCCGATTCCACTATCTCCGGGGTAGAAGACGGAGAGAATCTATTATTTACAATTTTACCGGAAACGACCTAGTGACAAAATACACTAATTCTCTCGTACAGTAAAATCCCGTTATAGTCTCACTTTCCGGTTTTCTTATTCTACTCCCTTCCATACCATGTAAACAAACCATTGTTCCGTCCGATAAGCAATTGAATTTCTCTCGTATATCAAATTTGCTATGAAAAAGTTGAATTTGCGGTCGCAGTGAGCACGTGGTGGGGATAATTACATACAGCCGAATTCTCCGAATGAACTTCCCCTACAGCCCCCTGCACGCGACTATAAAGGGGGTCTACTGTACAAGATCTTCCAGTCAAATTTTCAAATGATGCAATAGAAAGTCCAACCCTAACCGAAAACGTCACAATTTTCTAATTGAAATTTCCAGAGCAATTATCTATCACTGAAATAATTACACTATTCAATTACGAAGAGGTCTCAATCAATGCCGTTATGTACCTGCCCCTCTTTCACTTAGTTCAGACAACTGGAATGACATTCTGCTGAAAAGAGCTGTAGAAAGCTAATGCATATGCCTAGCCACTTAATGAAACCCACTCCTCGTCTTGGTCCTCCATAAGAAATATTCACATGTGAATACATAACGCAGACATATATATTGCATTTATCTGACTTCCGTATTTCCGGTGTCATGAAGATGACAGATTCACGAGCTCATTTTTTTTCTCCGCTAATATAATCCATGGGAATTTACAGAGGGATCATTAGAGGAGTAGAAAGTTCATTAGACAATTAAACACAAATCCGTGTATTTGTGTTGTGAAATGTTGACAGCGTTAGTTTAATTTCGATAGAGTTTTTGTGTTTTGCATGTGTTCAACACACACAAACTCGAGATTCTCACCGGTCTCAAGACCTCTTTACGCTGTTTGTACTCGAACCGGTTGACATACAATATTACGTCTGGGAGAGTATGTCCCACCGGAAGATACATTTTCGAAATATCTTGACCCACATTACGGTTATTTTGTCACAAAAGAATTTAACATTGTTCTTCGAAGGACTACACCAGGAAGGCCTTGTCAACAAGGTCACCCGTTGGAATCATTCCACAGGGAATAACGAAAAAATTTCTATCCCATTACGAGATGAGTCTTATGCAACGAGGGAGATGATACAGGGATAATATTATACAGCGGAGAATCCACTTTTTATATCGTCAAATACTTTCTCTCATCTTGTGTAAAGGTTTTTAAAAAAGTGAGTGGAATTTTTAGTAATCTGTGAGTACGTGTGGATTTTATCCATCGCATTCTAGAGTAGTAGGTGTGTAATTTTTATAATTCAACAGTGAAAGTTTGTATGATTATCGTTCCACCCAGTGGCGATGAAGATCGTGTTCGAATTGGCCTTGCACTAGGAAGTAAAATCGTTCATATTGATATTGAAAGTGTTGAGGGAAGTTTCGAAGCGTGGGAACCATGAGGAATCGGTTACTGATGCTGTGGAAATAATTGCTGAGCGTTTGAATGCGCGATTTTAATTTTCTTCAGAGGCCGAGGCGATAAAGGAATTTCGGTCAATTTTCGAGGTTTCTAAGAAACATGGGGTAAGCAGAGAATAATTGTTCGTAATGAATCTCGTATGCGGGCGAAATTTCTCATTTCTCTCAACTTATTCCTCATCACGATCCCACAACCTCATGTGCTAATCCACCATTCAATGTTTATCCTCAAGTTTCGCAAAGTTACGGAGAGTCTAGATTATGCACTGATAGGATTATTCAGTCAATGTTAACAAGGTTTGTTAACTATTAATGAATGCTAGCTTTGAGTATCGTATTAATATTCTCTCGACTGTTGAAAATTTCTTAAAATTTCAGGGGCAAAGTCATTTGGATTTTCTAGTATATGAGTTTGAATTCTATTTCTAGTGAAAACGGTCACTAAATTTCTGATTTATCTTGAAAATCCAGGAATTGGGTTTTTATTGTTAAATGATCATTAATTTCACGGGGAATTCTCAGTGGATAAAAAATCCAGGGGATTGTTATTCAATTTCCTAGATCTACCAGATTGTTAAAAAAAAATTAACTGATTCGTCGAAAATTCTGTATAAAGTTAATGTTACTTTATCGTTGTTAAAATTTTTTTAATAACTTTCACTTGAAATTTCAAGTGTAATGTTCCAACAGTCTAATAATTAATGAATAGTTTACTAGGCAAATGAAAGCTGGGGGCAACTATTTAATTATTACCGAATGAAAACAGGGAAAGAAATGTTGATATTAGAAAAGCAATTTCTAGATTCAACACATATTATTCTTAATTTATTAAAAATCTTAATGGACAGCCTCAACAAACTCGGAATTAATTTCTTCTTTCTATAAACACAGGAAGCATTAACAAAGGAATCTTTCCTCGCATTTAGAATATTGCAATAACAGTCGAGTGAATTGAATAATTGCTACTAATGAATAGTGATTACTGCGGGGCATTTAATTTCTCTCGTTAACTAATTCTCTGAAAATTGCACTTGGAAATCTAGAATGCATTATTGATGATCGTCTCACGTTTTCTGGGGTTTTGAATACCGAAGAGCCCGTGTTGATATTGAAAATATAAAAATATAACTATACGGAGCGTGAGAATTTCAAGGTTTAACGATATGAAACTTGCAGAAAATTTCAGAATGAGAGCACCATAAAGTTCTCTCTGTATATATCCAGGAAACATAAAAACAAACTAATTTTCATCATATTTCAAATCCTAAAAAATAGTGGAATAAATGGCACACTTGTTACTGACGAATTACTCATGCGGGTAGAATTTTCTCTTTCGTCACCTACTTCTGTCACATTTTCACCTGTTAATGTATCCATTATTGATTATTCTTTCCAATTTCCCGGAAGTTCTGAGCAACCCTTATACCTCCGGGTAGATAAACCTTTATTCTTGTCATAGCCATAGGGGAGCCGTTGAATGCACACAAAAGGTGTACTGAGCAGATAAAAATAATCACCCCACCACTTCCGAGAAAACCAATGACCCCGGGTTACATAAAAAGAAATTACCCTTCGACCAATCCGCGAGAATTCAGAGTATTAAAAAAATGCTCCACATGGAGAAAGATTTACGTGAGAAAAACCAGTATACGTAAAAAATTCAAAAAACTTCAAAAAAATTACCAAATACCAGAATTCGTGTGTTCCAAATTTATAGTCGAAACATAATTATTTATTTTTACGCTCGACAAAGAATATTATTTCTCAATGATAATTGTTAAATCAGAATAAAATCCACAACGCGATAAAAACAACAACAAATACTAAAGGAGAAAAATCCTCTAAAATAATTTCGAACTCCAATATGAAAAGGAAAACGAAAATTTTCACTTATTTTTTTCAAAAAAATTATTTTTGCCAGATGAAAAAAATTTCGTAACAACAATAAAACATTATCGACTGATTTAAATATAGAAATCTTCCTATCTATTACATCCTACCCAATAAATTAGCTTGACAGAATGAAATGAATTTAGCGGAAGAATTTTTTTATGTTGATGGCAACGTTGGGGCTGATTGAAATAAGTCATCAAGTGGAGCTACCGCAGCTTTCAATCATTGCAATCAGCTTAATGAATCTAAATATTGAATTATGGTTAAGGCGCGGTGATTCCGTGGCTGTGAGCACGTACATATAAGATGGTTGATGGTAACGGGGTGTTACCACATCGTTTCGTCTACATGGGTGCTCCAGGATAGAAAGAGAGTGGAGTCCATGGACAGACCGGTGGGTTTGTACAGGAAGAGACCACTTTCACTACCAAGAGTCTTCGGGTGAGACGCTAAATTCAACAGTCTGTTTCGTGACTTTTTTTCGGGGGGTAGGAGACTATTATCGCGTGCACAAACTATTACCGTCACAGTCTTAGTCTTGACTTTGCCAGCTGTACGTACTCAAAGCAACTCGTACTACCACGTGACATGTAGGCCACGTGTTGTGAAATAGTGTCAGATTTGATGGATCGCCAATTAATTTCTTGGAGTGATTTTCAAGCTTTTCAATAAGTGACTATTAACTGTGGGAGCAATAACCATTAAAGTCTCGGCTATTGAAATCTTCAAGAGGCTTGAGGTAGGTCTCAACGTAATGGAACTCAGTCAAGTGATGAGTAAAATTTTCAATCTCCTCAGATTTTCGCTCAACTCAAAATCTGATGGTCTAACGAGAAAATAGCAAGAGCCCTTTTCTGCGGAGAATCTAATCAGCTACAAAAAGTATTCCGATGTTTCGACTGTGAATCGGTTATTTTCTATACAAATCGTTAACTACAAAAATAAGAAAGAAATTTCGGGGAGAATACGATAGTAATTGTTGTGACAGTGACATTGACTGTGAATTTACAATTTTTTGTAGAAATTTATCGGGTTTTCATCAGTTTCGTGAAATCATTGAATTGAAGAGTGAAGAACGTCATTGGTTTTCAGATTATTTTGAACAGAAAAATGAATATACAATTTTTCTTGAGCGCGATGAAAATTTCTGAGAATCAGAAAATAGTTAATGGGAAATTCTCACGAGAAAAATCCCGGAGATCATTCAATTTGCGGATCTTATATAACATGGAAAAAATCGCGATTCAGGTCATGTAAGAGTGTGCGAGTGACTCGATGAACTTTCAATTTTTTAAATCTCGATCACAAGGTCGTTGGAATCGATAATTACCGAGCGAATGGCCACCTCGTAACGCGAGTTTTTATTCAGTTATTATCCAATAATAATTTTTATTAATGGTGTAACGTCTTGACTTTCCAGCGGAGATTACCGGATGGAGATGACCGCTGTTGACTGAAGACTACGTGCAATTAGCAGGATTCCGAGAAAATAGATAAGAACAGTCACGGGAAAATATGACAGAGGTAATTAACGGAAAATAGTGGTGTTAAGGAGTAAATTATCTAATGGCAAGTGTGAAGGGATACGTCACGGTATTATTATGAAGGTATAACTGTTTTTAGAGAGTTGATCTAATGAGCCGACGTAGGAAATGGACAGGGATGACTTCCGCGTTTTATTTGTGCGTGCTGTACGGATTTGTGAATTTTTCATCTCTGTCCCACACTCTTTCTCTCGATGAAAAGCCGTCAGTGGGTTTATAGTATACTGGAGAGAAAAAAAATGAGGAACTAGTGTGTTCGTGTTACGATTTTGCTGTCTGCGGAAATAACTTTTCTTCACCAGACGATTCTTGTTTATTCACACATTTTTCTTTCTTTCGAAAGTTTTTTATACCCGTGATCATGCAAATTTCTAAATTGCAAATCGGAACCGGGTGATAGACGAGGAAGTGAATTAGAGTCTGTAACGGTGACGGGGAGTTGCTATTTTCTTTTGCCGTACGCCAACGAAATTTTGGATGAGCTTTCTGAAGAGACGTTTAATTTTAATATTTTCTTATGTATGAATATTCACTCCAGTATTTCCTTGAGTTTCATTATTGGAAAATCCCACGTGAAATTTCAGGGGAAAAAATGAGAGATTTTTAACCACAAAGTGACGATTCAGTTAATTTCCTGACTATTCTGGGAATTCAAGTTTTTATTGAAAAGTCAATCATGAAAACCCCAATTTTCTTTAATTGTCAAACTGAATGAAAAATCTAGTCGCCGTTTTTAATTGGAATTTACACTCGTATAATTAAAAATGCAGAGGACTGAATGACTAAAATTTCATCTCTATCAAATCCTCAAATTATTCAATAAATCATCTACTAAAACCGGAGAGAAAAGAAACCACGAGAAATTTCGTATTTACAAAGTTTGTCATGGCTCAATTAATCCGGCGTTGACCCGAATTCGGTTAATTTTTCCGCCCTAATTACACGACTGGAAAAAATAAATAAACACAAGAATACTTTTTCGGAAGTCCAGAACCCACAAGTCCCAACCGTATAAAATGCGCAGTAAAAATGATTCAATTATTAGAGAATATTAATTTCCGATAGGAGAATGTTCTCTTAAATCCACATTCTCTGGTAATTGTAATTTTTTCTACAATTTATTCTCATCATTCTCCGGCATCTAAAAAAAATATTAGAATTGTTTAATTTTTCTTCATGTAACCGACCTTGGGTGTCCATTGACCGATTAAATTCCGCGATCTAGAGATGGTAATTTACCGCGAGCGCCGATATTGTCCGCGTTATTAATAGAATAACCGCGATCGATTGAGAAATGGTAACGTAACCGTGACTTTCGGTGGCGAGAACTCGAGGTATAGCAGTTTGTCGGTGTTTTAGCTGAAATACTTTCACCTTTCCCCGTTATGAGATCACCCATCCGTTTTTATCCCATTTTTTAAGCCGCGATCTCGAGTACTTTGAAGCAGGGCTTATAAATTCACGAGTAATCACGTAAGAGTCATAAATAAAATTCCATAAAACACTAATTCCGTCTAAATTCCAGGTGAAATGCGGGGAAATGGATAATTTCTAGTTTCCGGCATACGATGAACGAACGAAACACAGAGGGGCGGGGACTCGAGAAAATCGAAACGAGACCGCCTGAGATGTCAATTAGAGTCAATCAAGTTCAAGGATAAAGCTTAAAAACGGAGAAAAAAAAAAGTCATTAAAACGCATTGACTGAAAAATGGTACTCAGTGCAGTTGTCGTGGCATCGGCATTGAAAGGTGCAATTGGTCTAGTTGGCACTGGTTTGTGGCTTGTTCCACTGCTAATCGCGGGTTTATCCTACTACCGTTACGATCAACTAGATCCAGAGAGCAGACCAATCGATCGTCGCCCACTTCATCCAGAGTACGATTTCATTGTCATCGGTGGTGGTTCAGCAGGTGCTGTTGTTGCAAGTCGTTTGTCAGAGATAAAGGAGTGGAAAGTACTACTGTTGGAGGCTGGACCAGATGAGAATGAGATAACAGACGTGCCGTCCTTGGCGGCTTATCTTCAGCTAACAAAACTCGATTGGAAATACAAAACCGAGCCAACAGGCAAGTCCTGTTTAGCGATGATCAACGGTAGATGCAACTGGCCGAGAGGTAAAGTCCTCGGTGGTTCAAGTACACTGAATTACATGCTCTATGTACGTGGGAATCGTCAGGATTACGACCACTGGGAGGCATTGGGTAATAACGGATGGGGCTACGATCAAGCCCTCTACTACTTCAAAAAATCCGAGGACAACAGAAATCCTTATCTGGGAAAGAGTCCTTATCATGCAACTGGTGGTTACTTGACTGTTCAGGAATCACCTTGGAGGACACCTCTAGTCGTGGCTTTTGTCCAAGCTGGTGTTGAATTGGGCTATGAGAATCGTGATATAAATGGAGAATACCAGACAGGTTTTATGATCGCTCAGGGAACAATTCGTCGTGGTGGCAGATGCTCAACAGCCAAAGCTTTTCTCCGGCCGGTCAGATTGCGTGATAATCTTCATACAGCTATGAATGCACATGTGACAAAAATTCTCATTGAACCAGTTAGCAGAAGGGCTGTGGGTGTGGAGTTCTATCGCGATGGTAGAAGGCAAATAGTGAGAGCACGCAAGGAGGTAATACTCTCGGCTGGTGCTATAAATAGTCCACAGTTGCTGATGCTGTCCGGCGTTGGTCCCAAGGATCACCTTCGTCATGTTGGTATACCAGTTCTCAAGGACGCACCGGTTGGTGATAATTTGCAAGATCACGTGGGCATGGCTGGACTGACGTTTTTGGTTGATAAGCCTGTTGCTATTGTTCAGGATCGGTTTCAAGCGGCTCCAGTCACTATGAATTATGTGGCGAATGGTAGGGGACCTATGACGACCCTTGGAGGAGTCGAGGGTTATGCTTTCATTAATACAAAGTATGCCAATGAGTCCGGGCTATATCCGGACATTCAGGTGCACATGGCACCGGCTTCGTTGAGCTCCGATGCTGGTGTTCAAGTTAGGAGGATACTTGGAATTACTGATGAGGTTTATGATGCTGTCTTCAGGCCCATCACCAATAGGGACGCCTGGACACTCATGCCACTGCTACTCAGGCCCAAATCTAGGGGAACTGTTAGACTCAGGAGTTCTAATCCTTTTCATGGACCAATTGTCGATGCTAATTACTTCGACGAGCCTGAGGATATCGCAAAACTCGTGGAGGGCACTAAGATTGCTGTGAGGATTAGTGAGGCGAAGGTCTTCAAACAGTTCGGCTCTAGGCTGCATCGCCTCAAGATTCCGGGGTGCAGGCATTTGAAATTCGCGTCTGATGCTTATTGGGAGTGTCATATACGGCACATTACTATGACTATTTATCATCCAGTTGGAACTGCTAAGATGGGACCACCTGATGATCCAGGGGCTGTAGTTGATGATAGGTTGAGGGTCTATGGGATTCATGGACTGCGAGTCATTGATGCATCGATAATGCCCACTATCTGCAGTGGTAACACCAATGCACCTGTTATCATGATCGGTGAAAAGGGGGCCGATCTTATTAAGGAAGACTGGCTTGAGCCTCCGCGAAGATAGCAGTTTTTATTGTGAACGAAACAAATGGACGATTTTAATGAAATGATCAGAGTGACTTGAGTGAGTCATTCGTGAAGAACTTTTTGGAAAACCAATTATGGAGAAATCTTAACATTCTCAAAGTCTTCGGGCATTAGTACTGAATAATTGAACTTAATGTTCCCGTGTCCAAGGAATTTGTTGATAACGATTGAAATTTTCACGTTATCAGGGAAGAATGTAGGGACAGTGGATTATGACGATTTTGAGAGTTAACGTGGATAAAAATAATAGTACTGTGTATAATGAAAAAATTAAGGATATTTTTGTGCCATTGAGATGAATACTGTTACTTTTCCACAATGAAATATTGCAAATAGAAGTTACCAGAATATGTTGATTGTACGATTTTGTTATTTGTGAAAGAGCGACTGATGGGTATCAGACATATTTGTATTTTTTTTGTATATATTAATAAAATCCTGTTACTGTTTTTACGTTTTTTAACCCTCAGCCTTCTTCATTATCAACCACTGTGAAAATTCCTCTCGCTCGGTGAAAGCCAGACAGCAGTTAAAACCTTTTTCCCTCGAGTAAACTCAACTGGGGGTTTATGCACATGCTCACTCAAATTTATCGCACGAGTACATCAGGGGAAAAAAGTACAGTGTCATAGCTGTCTGGCAAGTGTATTTCTATTATATAGTTTTCTAAAAATCGATAAACGGAGGAGTGGACGAGTAAAGCCTAGGCTTGCATGAGAAATTAAGAAGATTGCGTCCCTAATTACGAAAGCTGAACACTTTTCTAGGGGTTCTCGAGGGTCAATTCGATAAATTCCTTCTAACCCAAACTGGTCAAGGTTTCAAATACCTGGAAGGAAATTACTTTGACTGCTAATTAGTTATTGTTGTGCAAGAATTCGTGAAACAACACACGATGCGCTTGTATCGAGTTGATTGGGGTTCATTAGATGCAGATAATTCACCGAAGATCCGCGGGTTTTCCTCTGCCAATCGATTGAATAGAGTAATTAATGATATCTGTGGCTTGTATATTGTACCTCCACTAGTTACACGTACGTAAAAAAAAAACCCGCAATTCTAAGGTGAAGGTTAACGTCGTCATAGATTGGCCTTCTGACATTGAGATGAGGTTGGCCATTCTCCCTTCAATATTCTCAATCGATTTGATAATCAATTGAATCGAAGATCGTGGCAAGAATTATTCTTATCCTAAAAATTCATCTCTCCGATTTTTTACGCCCATTTTTTATTACTCTACTTTACTCTTAATTGTGCTAATGACTTTGCAAGAGTAATTAAAACCAGGGGAAACCGATCAGAACCTTCTAGTCTTAGAAATAATTAATGTTCCATGGACAGTTCAGTCCCATTACTCATTTTCAAGAGAGTAACATTGAAATAGATTTATACAAAAGAAAAGTGGGGAATTGTTCTTATATCGCAGATCGTATAGTTTTCTTTGCTAATAAATTAGCAAAATATTATTATGAAAAGCAAGGAAAATGGACGGATGAAATCAATTTTTGTCGACGGCGGGTGATAGGGCGTAATGAGACCTACATTTGAGAAAGAATGATTCAATTAGAGATGAGGGTCAATCAACGAATAACGAAAATGAACGGAAAAAAATACCACATACGCAAATACACCTATACATAAATTCGATGACGGTCTAAAAACTGCATTTTCGAACTCCTTGGATTATACTGAGTGGATATATGACGAAACAACTTAAATTTGCTCCATCATAAATCTTCCATTCGGAAGCAAAAAAGAAAAAAATCATAAAATTGTTAAATTCACTAACAATTGAGTGGAATGCTTAATTTTTGAGCAGTTGAAATAACTTTACTTGGAATTCTCTGACTTGAATAAATTTTTTTTGTTGAACTTGAAACTATAGTTCCCATTAGGTTTCCCCAATATTTTTTACAAATCTGATATATGGCAAATAAATCCCATTAGATCCTGAACATAATGAATCCGATGATAAGGCATTATGGCTGAAATTCCAGCTATTTCTCCTTTAAAAAAACACGACACGTCTCCTAATCCCCACTTTTTAAAAAATACCGTAATTCTTAGCACACCATGTGGCACCGATATATCCCTTGAAGTGAAAACATGAAGAGTTCAATTGAGATTCTGCCAACAATGTGTCCCAAATACATCAGTTATTCCAATCATGAACGAGTGACACCAGCGTAATTACGTAAATAGATGAAAGATGTAATGACTATCGTTTACACACGCGGACGGAACAAAAAAAAAATACAAAGGACAGAACAAGGAATTCTATCAGACACCTCCAGTACCCGAGCGATAAATTTTTCCCCCTTTTTCTGAACCTGTCATTCCGGGAGATGAAACTCTAATTGATGACCTCCGTATTCTTCAAGTTTTTTAATCTATCGAAGGTCACACAGTACTCTTTATATACTATACTGAGATATCGAGCTAGCCGGTAGTTTCCTCTAATACGCGCACACAAATTCATCAGCTCATCAATTTATACCGAATAGCCACGACAAATCGATAGGATTACGTGTGATTGGTTGAAAATCATGAGATATATAATAGATAGTCACCAATGCACGTGATTGCCATTGAGAAATGAGGTATAAATACAAGACGATGACCATTGTTGAAATTCTATCACTCGAGTACTTGCCATCGTGACATCACCATGAAGTGTTGGTTGATACTCATTACTGTCATCAGCACAGTCCAGGCAAAAATTCAATATAAAAATTTGTACGGACGTGAGCCATTCGGCAATAGTTTCGTCAACATGCTGAGTGCAGCACAGGGTGCAACATTGTTTGCACTGCAAGGTGAAGAGTTTATGCATGCAGAGCCGCCAGATACAACTCCAAACAACAGGGATCAATTCGATTTTATCGTTGTCGGTGCTGGAACAGCTGGTGCAACGATTGCATCAAGACTGAGTGAAATTCCTCAAGTGCGAGTGCTACTGATTGAAGCTGGACGCAGTGAGAATCTTGTCATGGACATTCCCATAATCGTCAATTTTCTCCAATTCAATAACGACATCAACTGGAAGTACCGAACAGAGCCGTCCAATGGCTACTGTACAGCAATGACTGATAAACGTTGCAACTGGCCGAGGGGTAGAGTGATGGGGGGTAGTAGTGTATTAAACTACATGATTGCAACGAGAGGACATCCAAAGGATTACGATCGGTGGGCCGAATTGGGGAATGAGGGCTGGTCCTGGAAGGATGTGTTACCGTATTTCAAGAAACTCGAGAGCTTCAACATTAATGATTACGTATCTAATCAGAGAGTTCACAATAAAAATGGACCAGTTTCAATCGAGTATCCGGCTTTTCACACCCCATTAGCCACGGCTTTTTTGAAAGCCGGTGAAGAGCTCGGTTATCCGATTATTGATTACAACAGTGGTAATGAGTCTGTTGGATTCTCCTATCTTCAAACAACGCTGAAGGATGGGATGAGAATGAGCAGCAGTGTTGCTTATTTGCATCCTGCAAGATTCAGGAAGAACTTGGTTGTCACGAAGAATTCGTTGGTTAGAAAAGTGTTGATTGATCGGGATACTAAACGAGCAATTGGCGTGGAGTTTGTGAAGAGGGGCAGGATATTTCAAGTTTATGCATCGAAGGAAGTGATACTGAGTGCTGGAGCCATTGGAAGTCCTCAGATACTGATGCTGTCGGGAATCGGACCAACTGGACATCTCCAGGAGATGGGAGTCAAACCGATTGTTGATCTTCCCGTCGGTGATAACTTGATGGATCATATTGGTTGTGGTGCACTTATGTTTCAAGTTGATCAGCCGGTGGGGATGAGGTTCGAGGATCTAGCCAATCCGATGAATCCGTACATAAAGGATTTTTTCTTCGAACGAAAAGGACCGCTCACCATTCCCGGTGGATGCGAGGCTCTCGCTTTCCTCGATGTTGACAGACCAGGCGATCGTGATGCTTATCCAAATATTGAACTGCTGTTTGTTAGCACTTCCTGGGCAAGTATCAGCGTTGGACGATTTGATTTAGGAATTAATGACACCGTGTGGCAGGAAACGTATTCCAAACTTGAAAATACTTTTACATGGACAGTATTTCCCCTATTGCTTCGACCGAAGAGTCGAGGAAAAATTCGTCTGCGAAACGCGGATATCAATAGTCATCCCGTAATTACAGCGAATTATATGGACGATAAGGAAGATGTGAGGATTTTGGTTGAAGGGGTCAGAACAGCTGTGAACGTCAGTCGGACGAATGCTATGAAGAGATTTGGGTCGAAGGTCTTTCTTGCTGAATTAAAAGGGTGTAAAGAGTTCGAAATGGATAGTGACGGATATTGGGAGTGTGTCACTAGAAGTATCACTATGAATATTTATCATTACTCGGGAACGTGCAAGATGGGCCCGTCAGGAGATCCCACTGCGGTTGTGGATCCTAGGCTCAGGGTAAGTGCCATTATTTATTTTTTTTACCCCTTTTTATTTAACGCAGAGGAAAATTTATTTTCAAATGCTCCCTTGCAGGTGCACGGCGTCAAAGGCCTGAGAGTGGCGGATGCATCTATAATGCCGGAAATTATCTCCGCCCATCCAAATATTCCGACGTACATGATCGGTGAAAAATTAGCGGACATGCTAAAGGAAGACTGGGGGTACCCAACGAAACCTCAACAATAGATATTCCTGAATAATTCAGAGACAATAGTGATATTCACTTTTGGTTATCTTTTGGCACTTGATCAGTGGAAATTTTAGGAAAAAATCAGCGGAGAATAAATTATAGGTCAATTATACCATGAGAATTGACGATAATCTGAGAATGGAAATAACGAACATCATTGAAAATTCAATGATATTTACTTTTAGCATTGAGTATGCAAGTTCTCATAGAAAATTCAGATAACTCGGAATTTTAAGTGAATCCTATAACTTCTCGATTTTTTTTTCTCCTAAATCATAATCGATTTCATTATTGGGGAGATTACTAGTCAGCTGTCCACATTATACCGTAATTCATGAATTCATACCTTTCAACTTTCATCCAAGTATGCAATACAAAATCACACGCACCTGTAATCATAAAAAAAAAACATCATGTACCTTATACTTGATAGTAGAACGTAAACAGTTCCATAATGTTAGAATTAATTATTTCCATTTTCAAATGATCAGTAAAAAATGGATTTGCTTAAATTCAAATTTCATTGAATTGATAAAATTTAGAAAATTGTATTCCTTTACTCTCATCTTTCCATTGAATTTAAGCTTTTCCATTTTTTCCTGGAGTTAATAAAGAAAAATTACTGGACAAAACAAAAATATTTGACAATAGAAAAAAAACTATAAAATAAAATCGTTTGTTTTGACATCAAGAAATTTTTCCTCCACATAATATCTTTAAAAAATTAAATTACGGATTCTCTAGGGATTAAATTCCCCCGAGCCCTCAAAATAAACCCCAAGATACACGAAATTGACTGAGAGTTATTATTACCCCTAATCATAATTATGCATGCAATCACTTTTTTCGCTGCGTGTAAGAAGGGATGTACGCAGTCGATTGGATAAATGTTACCTGTCTGGTTAAACATTACGTATCTCGAGAAAGCGCATTTCTCTCAGTGGACCTCTTAACCACAGCGAAAATAGCTGTCTCCAGTCCAATACTGTCTTTCCTAAAGGCCTCACCACTTTGAACTCCCATCACTCCTCGAATAAGATACTATTATTCAATTAAACCTAGACCGCCCGTAACGACTCTCCTATATTTTGAGGTAAGAATAGTTGTCATCTCATTAAATTAATTTAACCGAAGATGTACTTGAGAAGAAGAATGACGAATTTTTAAACATGAATATTTCATGCGAAACGAAAGAATATATAAAGAAATGCATCACAACATTTCAATTATAATATAATATTTTATATATAATATTATTCAGACGCATTTCTAAACTGTAACAAATTAATTCGTCAACAATTTGCAAAAAGTATAATATATATCTCAATATGTCAGTTCACGGGAATTTTTTCAGAATTTTTTTCGCGTTTTTTTTAATCATCACTTCCCCAGCGCTCGGAAATATTTTGTTGCCACTTATATTTGACCTACTGTTTTTACTATTACTTTTATCACTTCATTGTATTATGTGTGTTCATTATTATATTATTTATATTGGAGAAGTATTTTCTAATTTAGAATTTTATTTGAATCGTTGTCTGAAAAAATTCAGTAGTTTCATTAGACAGTGTAATCTGCATGTCGATATCTCCAGCGAGATTGTAAAGAAGAGAAAGTATTTTTGCCACAGGTTATCTCCACTACCATCGAAAATTCAGAACTGGACTCGATATTCTTATGTATTCGATGCTAATCCCCGTTTTTTAATTATTGAGTGTTTTTATCCTGGATATGCAATAATTAGTAGCAATAAAGTTGTTCCCGCGATTGATGGAATGATTGTCGGGAATAAATCTCATGAATTATTAATCCTAGGAACATGGAGGAGCTCCAGGGAATGACTATCCTCTCCCTGCTCCTCGTCCATCCGTCGATGGGAGCCAGTATGTTTCAACTTTTCTCGAGCTACGGATTCCGGGAAAGTTTTGACATTCCTACTGTGATCATTCCAACCCGTGCTGAATATGATTTCATAATAGTCGGCGCTGGTTCTGGTGGATCAGTAATTACGAATCGTCTCTCTGAGAATCGTAAATGGAAAATTCTGCTGTTGGAGGCTGGCAAACCGGAAGGTATACTCAATCAGATTCCGATCTTGGTTAGCAACTTTCAGCAAACTGATTACAACTGGGGATACAGAGTTGAGGAGCAGAAAAGCGCATGTCTGGGAATGAAGGATCGACGTTGCACTTGGCCAAGGGGAAAATCGTTGGGTGGAACAAGTACACTTAATTATATGATCCATACGAGAGGTAATCGATTGGATTATGATCAGTGGGCGGCGCTTGGTAATGATGGATGGTCCTACGAGGAGGTTTTACCGTACTTCAGGAAAAGCGAGAGGTTTAGAGTTCCAGGTAAACTGTTTAATGAGGAGATTCATTTTTTCACTCAGTACTGGAGTGGTAAAGTTTGATAAGTCAACTCGAAATTGAAAATTCTCGAAAAATTCTTGATCAGATCATGACGGGTATTTTTTTTCAACACTTCAGATTTTTTTTCAATTTTTTAAAATAACGACAAAACACATGAAAATAATTGCATCACCACGAAATTTCGTACGCCATTAAATGAAAAATTGCAATCACGTCATAGTTTTTCATGTCAATCCCATTGATATAGTCCACCAGAAAAATTAACGAAACGTGAATTATGGCTAAAAGTCTAATTACTAATTACCGGCTAATTTTATAAATTTTTACTTCATAAACGATAATAAAACTGTTAAAGACGGAAACAACCCGAAAGCAAAAACAAATAGTTCCCCACTGCCTCAAGGATCTTTGAGTGATCTTCAAAGGAGGAAGTAATTTTTTTCCAAAATACATTTTTTTCATGGTTAAAGTATTGATGTTATATAGATTCCATAAAACGCTCAGAACCAAGAAAAATGAAAAAGACCAAAAGAATCGTAAATCATTCCTTTCCAGGACCTTATAATAGTTCCTTCCACGGCGAAGATGGACCCTTGTGCGTTGAGCACGCTCCCTACCACACAAAACTGGCGAGTTCCTTCCTGAAAGCAGGACAACACCTGGGGTACGAAGTCCTGGACTGCAACGGTCCCCAGCAAATTGGATTCTCCTACCTACAGCTGAACATGGACAAAGGATCGAGATGCAGTGCCTCAAGAGCCTACCTGAGAATAAAACGCTCGAACCTAGACATCGTAACGGACGCAAGAGTCACAAAGATCCTAATAGACAACGAGAATCGTGTTCAGGGCGTGAAGTTTGTGAAAAATGGCGTAACCCAGACAGTTCGGGCAAGAAAAGAAGTTGTTTTATCAGCCGGAACGATAGATTCCGCGAAATTACTGATGCTCTCGGGTATTGGACCAAAGCAGCACCTAGAGGATTTGGGAATAACTGTCCTAAGAGACCTGCCTGTTGGCCACAACCTCTATGAGCACATCGGCTTCTTGGGACTGACGTTCATGGTGAACCAGAGCCTTAGTTTCCTCCAGAATCGGCTAGTGACCCCTCGCTACATAATGGATTACGCCCTCCACAGATCCGGACCTCTCTCAACACCAGGTGGTGCTGAGGCTCTTGCCTTCATACGAACAAAATACGCAATCGATTCCCGTCCCGACGTGGAGCTCCTCTTCAACGCCGGTTCACTGCACTCTGATAATGGTGTCGCTGTGAGAAAGGGTTACGGTGTGTCCGACCAAGTGTACAATGCAGTTTTTAAACCGATCGAGGGAAAAGACGCATTTTCCATTTGGCCGATCACCCAGAATCCCCGGAGTCACGGCAGAATCATCCTCAAATCGAAAAATCCATTCGACGATCCAATTATTCAGCCTAATTTCTTCCAGCATCCAGCTGACATTGAAATCATTCTCGAAGCGATTAAACATGCACTGCGAATCGTATCAACTCCACCATTTGAAAAATACGGAGCTAGAGTGCACACGATAAAAATCCCTGGTTGTGAGAGTCTCCAGTTTGACTCTGATGATTACTGGAGATGTGCTATCAGACACTTGCCATCGATGATGAATCATGAGATTGGAACAGCCAAGATGGGACCTTCCACGGACCCCAGTGCTGTTGTCGACCCAAGACTCAGGGTTCATGGGGTTCTGGGCCTCAGGGTCATTGACGCCTCTGTCATGCCCACGATGCCCGTTGGACACATCAATGCTGGAATTTTCATGATCGGGGAGAAGGGCGCTGATATGATCAAACAAGATTGGGAAGAAAATCAATGACGCAGCCCTTACGATATTTCATTTGTTACCGACTGATACCTGAGACTTTTTCAATAAATAATTGTTTTTATAATCATCCGTTATTATTCATTTAGGTTTTACTGGTGAGTCTGCTAGGGGTTAACACCCTTCTCGCTTTTGCCGGGACTTGCGGAATTCAGAAATATGAAAACCGGTCTACGGTCGTATATCCCCTACTCCACTAACCGGCGTAAATGAGGATGAGTTTTATTCAAGTCAATACACACATAAGACTAACCCTGACGTTTGCAGGACTTCTCCAGAATAGTAATGGAGCACAACAAAGAGTGAATTGCTGGCGAGCTGTACGGCATTGTCGGGAGACAAGTGATTTTTACGAGCGATCGGTACTTGTCGATCTCTGGATACTCTTTCTAATATTGTTTTGTAAGTTATTTTTTTTCGTACGAGATGAATTTTTTTAAATGAACATTAAATAAAGTGTCTTTTGGCGTCGAGCATTGTTTTTCTAATATTTTTAAATATTCTATAGCAAAGATTTAATGAATCAAGTTTGGTAAGTACTTTAGCTATTTATTTATTCCACCTTGGAATACTCCTGAGGGATTATTTTTTTATATTTCATATTTACGGTATTTAAGATGTTAATAATTATCACGTTAAGGAAACAACTAAATTAACGAAAAATTGGGGAGGAATATTCACCGGGAGAATTGTAATTTTAATTGCAATGTAAGGAGGAATTTTCCTATCAATTTGTTTTTATGAATTTTGAGGTAATGAAATTAATAGTAATTTCATTTTTGAATTACGGTAAAATCTGGCCTGCCAAATAATTTCAAATAAAACGGTAAGGAATTGCGAAGTGGATGGCCTTGAAGTCCGCCAGGTCGCTGCCCCTTGCCTGATTCGGTAATCATTTGTATACAAATGAACAATAAAAATTCTGCCAATGATTCATAATAAAAATTTGTGAATTACAGAAAATGGGGATGAGACCAGGAGCAATAATTTTTCTGCTATTGCTGATAAAATTATCGGCGGGCACATTGAATTTAGATTTACTAGCGAGCTACGGACTCTGGGATAGCTGGCATATCCGAACTGTTCCGGTTCCACAGGCCAAATACGATTTCATCATCGTCGGCGCCGGTTCCGGAGGCTCGACTTTAGCAAATCGATTATCAGAGAATCCAAATTGGCGGATTCTGCTGCTGGAGGCTGGTAAGCCTGAAGGAATATTCAACCAAGTGCCTCTCATTGTGAGTTTTTTTCAACATACGGATTATAACTGGGGGTACAAACTCGAGCCTCAGGATAACGCATGCCTTGGGATGGAGAATCGTGTGTGCCCTTGGCCCAGAGGTAAAGCCTTGGGTGGATCCAGTACTATCAATTATATGATTCACACGAGGGGCAACAGACTCGACTACGACCACTGGGCTCATTTGGGAAACTACGGATGGTCCTATGAGGATGTACTTCCGTATTTCAAGAAAAGTGAAAAATTGAGAATATCCGGTAAATTTATTGCTCTGATTTAAATCTTTTTTTTACTCTATTGGACGTATGTCAAAAAACCTGTTTAATTTAAAACAAGTTTTTTTTTGTGGATTTAGTCGCAATTTTTTTGACGTTAAGAATTCTTTTTTCAATATCCCGAGAATTTTGTTTTCTGTGTACATCGTTGAAATTTTTGGAATTTTCAATCGATATTTTATTATTCAATTTGCATTCTTTTAAATTCCAAATTTTAGCCTTGAATAGTAATTTCCTAATATTTAGCGTATTTCCAGATTCGTACAATGCATCTTATCACGGTACAACAGGAAAGTTGAGCGTTGAGCACGCACCATACCACACACCGATCTCCAGAGCATTCTTAGAGACCGGAAGACTGATGGGCTACAACATCTTGGATTACAATGGACCAGAGCAAGTCGGTTTCTCTTATCTCCAATTAAACATGGATCGTGGCGCTAGGTGCAGCGCATCGAAAGCCTATCTCAGCTTCAACCCTTCGAATTTAGACATTATCACGGAGGCAATGGTGACGAAAGTCCTAATCGACAGTAAAAACCGCGCATACGGTGTGAAAGTCGCGATAAAGAACATGAACTACAAAATCCTAGCAGCAAAAGAAGTTATCCTATCAGCGGGGACAATAGACAGTGCCAAACTACTGATGTTATCTGGAATTGGACCCAGAGAACATCTAGAAGAACTCGGAATTAATGTCCTCAAAGACGCTAAAGTCGGATACAATATGTACGAGCACGTGGGGTTCCTTGGCCTGACGTTTCTGGTGAATGACAGTGTCAGCTTGACAGCAAATACTATTTTCCAACTAGAAGAGATGTGGAGGTACGCGATTGACAGGTCAGGCCCAATTTCCATTCCTGGTGGAGCCGAGGCTCTTGCATTCCTCCACACCAAGTACTCGACCGATTCTCGTCCGGATCTTGAACTGCTGTTTGTCGGGGGATCATTGAATTCAGATGGTGACGTTGCTATTCGAAAAGGCCTGGGTATATCGGATAATCTGTACAATGCGGTCTACAAGCCGATTGAGAATGTAAACACTTGGTCAATCTGGCCGATAGTTCAACGTCCAAGAAGTCACGGGCGAATAAAACTGAGGTGTGCCGATCCTTCGGTTCCACCGATTCTCGACGCCAATCTTCTTGACGATCCTTACGATATTGAGATCATACTAGAAGGCATCAAGAAGGGCATGGAGATATCTCAAGCTGAGCCCTTTCAGCGGTATAACAGCAGAATTCACGACATTCCAATTCCAGGTTGCAGCGGATTTATGTTCGCCTCTGACGATTATTGGCGTTGTGCTATTCGCCATCTGCCGTCATTAATGGATCATCAGATTGGGACAGTAAAAATGGGACCTGCGTCTGATCCATCGGCTGTGGTAGATCCTGAGCTGCGGGTGTATGGAGTTGATGGACTGAGAGTCGTCGATGCTTCTATCATGCCCACGATGCCAGTAGGTCACATTAACGCAGGAATTTACATGATTGGAGAGAAAGCCGCCGATATGATCAAACGCACGTGGACCACACCCAAGAGTCATCGATGTTTTTGATAGATTTCAATAGATAGAACACCGTCCGTACTACGTTTATCCCGCTCATGAGTTTATGGACCAAATCAAATGTTTTGGAGCGAGTATTATTGATCGCGTATTGAATACAAATGACAATTGAGGCAATATTGACGTTTTCTTATTTCATGTTTACTGGAAGGCAGACGTAAGCTTAAATAAAAATTTGAAAATAATGTGGGATGGTGGAAATACATTTGATCACCTGTGCAATTGTACATGTATTCATACTAGAACGATTACACACCGCGTCTATATAGCTTGTGAGACAACGTGAGTTGGTAATATTTGATTATACGGATGAGAGAGTTTTTGGTAGAATTTGTAAATAATTCTGGACTTTAAATAGTGAAATTCTAGGAGGATGGGGGGGACGATGCGATTTTTGATTCTATTGCTGTTGCTGATAAATTCATCATTAGGAATACATATCTTGGAACTGCTCGCGAATTATGGACTAACAAGTGGGTTTGGAATAAAAACGGAGCAATTGCCAAGAATCAATGAATATGATTTTATCGTCGTGGGTTCCGGGGCTGGCGGTGCAACAGTGGCCAGTCGCCTATCGGAGAATAGAAAATGGAAAGTTTTGTTACTCGAGGCCGGTAAACCTGAGGGAATTTTGCATCAAATACCAGGAGTTTCTTACACGAGTTCTGAATACGACTGGCAATTCCAAACAGAACCCCAGGAAAAGGCATGTCTAGGGCTGATAGATCGAAAAGCGGCATATATTCAAGGAAAGTCCTTGGGTGGTTCAACTTCCATAAATGGCATGATGTACTCCAGAGGACACAAACTTGATTTTGACGTTTGGGCTGGACGGGGGAATTACGGGTGGTCGTATGATGAAGTGCTACCGTATTTCAAGAAGAGTGAACGCGCCCGACTTGAAGGTATTTAAGAAACTTCCACCTTTTAAGATGATCATCTCATCTTACTCTCGCCTACATACAGCACTTTTTTATTTCAGAACCGGTGGACAAAGCCTATCATGGTAAAAAGGGGAATGTACACGTGCAAAATGCACGATGGCAGACACCTCTTGCAATAGCCTTTGTAGAATCCGGAAAAGAACTGAATTATGATATTATTGACTACAATGGACGACAAATGATTGGATTCTCGTATGCTCAATTAACAGCAATAAATAGCACTCGATGCAGTGCTTCGAGAGCATACCTGGGGGTCAGGCGATCGAATTTGGATATTGTTCCCGAGGCAACTGTATCGAGAGTACTCATTGACGACAACAATCGGGCCTATGGTGTGGAGTTTATAAAAAACAACAGAACATATCGAATTAATGCGAGGAAAGAAGTGATTCTATCCGCTGGCACAATTAGCACACCGAAACTACTGATGCTGTCTGGGATTGGACCCAAAGAGCATCTCGACGAATTGGGAATCAAAGTAGTGAAGGACGCCAAAGTCGGCGACAACCTCTGTGACCATGTGAGTTTTCTCGGACTGACATTCTTGGTGAATCAAAGTATCAGTTTAATTGTACAAAATAGCCAAACACCAGAAGCTGCCCTCCAATACGCTATCAACGGAACTGGACCACATTCTACAACTGGTGGTGAAGCGCTCGCATTTACTCAGACAAAATACGCAACTGATGCGAGACCTGATATTGAATTGCTGTTCTTCCCTGGACACCTGCACATGGATAACGATGGAGGTTTACGAAAATCGCGTCGAGTAAGTCAAAAAATATACGACACTGTTTGGAAACCCATCGAGGGACAGGACGCTTGGATGATCATGCCAGCTGCTCAACTTTCTCGCAGTAAGGGACGCATCCGACTGAAGTCAACCAATATTGAGGATCATCCTATCATCAATCCCAATTTACTGAACGATCCGATTGATCTTGAAGTTATTCTCGAAGGTGTCAAACAGTCAATCGAGGTTGCCAAATCCAAGCCCTTCCAGCAATACGGCACTAGACTACACGATATAAAAATTCCTGGTTGTGAGGCATTCCAATTCGCCTCGGATGATTACTGGCGTTGCGCTATTCGATATTTAACAATTCCCTTCCTTCATAACGTCGGTACTGCTAAAATGGGCCCATCCACAGATCCTACAGCCGTCGTTGATCCTGAATTGAAGGTTTATGGAGTAAAAGGTTTGAGGGTCATCGACGCTTCTATCATGCCGGAAGTGCCCGTGGGACATACGTCATCAACAACTTACATGATCGGCGAAAAAGGTGCCGATATGATTAAACAATCATGGTATCACTGAATTCTCGTAAAAATTGTTGGATTTATCGTCAGAATTTATGGAATAAATTGAAGTATAAAAAAATGGAAAATGCATATTGAAGAATATGAGCGACAGACAGCCTGCGTCAGCCATGGTTCCATCAATTTATTTTGTACGTTTTTATTGAATTATTATCCACGGCCTACAAATGTAAGCTTGAATAAACCGCAGCGAATAAATAAACTCCGAAGCACCTGTGTAACTTACACGGTGAATATTGTTCCAATTATTCTTATTATACCACAGCTATATAGCTCGCGACAAAACGCCAGTATCATATTAGTTCATTAATCAGTGATGGACAATCAAAACTCTTGAAAATTCCGATTAGTCAGGTGTTTCTTATCTTAATGACAATTTCCTATCGAATGTCAAAAAAATGTACGCGATAATGGAAACACTTATATCTCTCCTACTAATGACACATTTATCGGTAGCAGTACATATTTTAAAACTGCTTAACGAATACAGTCTAACGACCACGTATGGAATAAAAACCGAACAATTACCGCGATTCAACGAATATGATTTTATAATCGTTGGGGCCGGACCTGGTGGTTCTCCCGTAGCTAATCGCCTGTCGGAAAATGCAAACTGGAGGATTTTACTTCTTGAAGCTGGTGGACCCGAGGGAATCTTACAACAAATACCCCTACTCTCGTCCTTGAACACGAAATATGATTGGCAATACACATACGAGCCCCAGAAAAATGCATGTTTAGGAATAAAAGATCGGAGATGCCCTTGTCCAAAGGGAAAATCACTAGGTGGTACGAGCACCATGAACAGCATGCTCTACACAAGAGGGCATAAATTGGATTTTGATATTTGGGCTCAACAGGGGAATTACGGTTGGTCGTACGAAGAAATTCTGCCTTACTTCAAGAAAAGTCAACGCGCTAATCTGCGAGGTACGTGACATTAGCAGCTTTTCCAGTGCAGCTATTAGGAAAGTTAATTTTTATCTAATCCCTGTCCTTTAGAACCAGTGGATGAATGGTATCATGGCAGGAACGGATATTTGCATGTACAGAATGCGCCGTGGAGCACTCCTCTCACGGCTGCATTTTTGAATTCGGGGAAACAGCTGGGGTACGACGTTGTTGACTACAATGGACGACAACAGATTGGATTCTCGGATAGTCAATTGACCATGGTGAATGGTACACGATGCAGTGCCTCAAAAGCGTATCTGCGGATAAGGCGATTGAACTTGGATATCGTAACAGAAGCCACGGTTTCGAGGGTGTTAATTGATGACAACAATCATGCCTACGGTGTGGAGTTCATTAAAAATAATAAAACATATCGAATTAATGCGGGTAAAGAGGTGATTTTATCAGCGGGTACAATCAACACACCGAAATTACTAATGCTCTCCGGGATCGGCCCCAAGGATCATCTCGACGAATTGGGAATCAAAGTGGTGAAGAATGCCAGAGTGGGATACAATCTTGGTGACCATGTGGGTTTCGTTGGTCTCACGTTTTTGGTAAACCAAAGTATCACGCTTCTTGCAAAAAACATAAGGACCCCAGAATCTGTACTCCAATATGCTATCAATGGAACTGGTCCTTATTCAACAGTAGTTCCTGCGGCACTCGCATTCATTCGCACAAAACTCGCAACTGATGCACGACCCGACCTTGAACTAGTTCTGCGGACTAGGTCATTCAATACGGATGGGGACGGGGGAAAGTCACGAAGTATAAGTCGAGAAGTCTATGACGCGATTTGGAAGCCCATTGAGGGTAAAGACGCCTGGGGAATCTGGATAGGCGCACAATTGGCACGTAGCAAAGGACGTGTCACGTTGAGATCAACTAATATTGAGGATCACCCAATCATTGATGCTAATCTCTTGGACGATCCAAATGATCTCGAAGTTCTTGTGGAAGGGGTTAAACTCGCGATTGAGATATCCAAATCCAAGACTTTCCAGTCATATGGCAGTAGACTGCATGATATAAAAATTCCAGGATGCGAGACATTTGAATTTAACTGTGATGATTACTGGCGTTGTGCAATTCGACGGTTAACAACTACTTTTAATCATGAGATGGGCACCGCCAAAATGGGTCCACCTACGGATCCTACAGCTGTCGTTGATCCTGAATTGAGAGTTCATGGAGTTGGGGGATTGAGGGTCATTGATGCTTCCATCATGCCGGGAATACCAGTGGGTCATTTGACAGCCACAGTCTACATGATTGCCGAGAAAGGAGCCGATATGATTAAGCAATCCTGGGAGAAATAGGACAACCCTGTTTTCCCATCTTGTCTATTATTACCAGGCTACCCCCGGCTGATGTGATTTTGAATTTTTTCCTGAATCCACAGATTTTTCTCCACACCTTTTATTTCCAAGTCAAACCCAATATTCTCTGATAAATGTAATTTAATTGTTTAATTGTAAATAAATAATTGCGTGTCGAGTATAAATAAAATTGAAATCGATATTGATATTTCCTTATTTCATTTTGATGGGAGCGCAGACATGAACTTAAATAAATATTTATCAACAAATTTCAATCATGGAAACACATCCGATCACCTGTGCAATGTAGGCATGTTCATACTATAATGATTTCGCCCCGGATCTATAAAGCTCGACACAGAATGTGCGTTCATAATATTCGACTCCTCGACCGAGTAAGTTTTTCATAAAATTGGTCAGAATATAAATTGTATAATTTCAAGAGAATGACAGCTAAAATCCAATTGATAATGCTGTTCCTGATGATGATGGATTCGTCATCAGGAATCCATATCTTGGAAATGCTCGCGAATTATGGGCTGACCAGGGGATTCGGAATAAAAATTGAGCAGTTGCCAAGGCTCAATGAGTATGACTTTATTGTCGTTGGTTCTGGGCCAGGTGGTGCACCAGTGGCCAATCGTCTATCAGAAATTAAAAACTGGAAAGTATTGCTCCTCGAGGCCGGTAAGCCAGAGGGAATTTTGCACCAAATACCAGGAATTTCTTACACGAATTCCGAATACGATTGGAAATACGTAACAGAACCTCAAGAAAAGGCGTGTCTAGGATTAATAGATCGAAGAGGGACCTATACCCAAGGAAAATCATTGGGCGGTTCGACTTCCATAAATGGCATGGTTTACTCCAGAGGACATAAGATTGATTTCGACGTTTGGGCTGAACGGGGAAATTACGGGTGGTCGTATGATGAAGTGCTGCCGTATTTCAAGAAGAATGAACGCGCCAGCCTTGGAGGTATGTAAAATGATTTTAGCAATCGAACGAGGTGCATCTCATGACACATTCATCTAACCTTTTCCTTTCAGAACCGGTAGACAAATCGTATCGTGGAAAAAAGGGATATGTACACGTGCAGTCTGCACGATGGCGAACGCCTCTCGCTTCAGCCTTTGTAAAATCCGGAAAAGAAATGAATTATGATGTGATTGACTACAATGGACGACGACACATCGGAATATCCTATCTTCAATTAACAATGTCGAATAGCACACGATGCAGTGCTTCGACGGCATACCTGCGGGTCAGACGATCAAATTTGGATATCGTCCCTGAAGCGACTGTATCGAAGGTACTAATTGACGACAATAATCGAGCCTATGGTGTGGAATTTGTAAAAAACAACAGGACATATCGAATTAATGCGAGAAAAGAGGTGATTCTATCCGCTGGCACAATTAGCACACCGAAACTACTGATGCTGTCTGGGATTGGGCCCAAAGAGCATCTCGATGAATTGGGAATCAAAGTAGTGAAGGACGCCAAAGTCGGCTATAACTTCTGCGACCATGTGGCTTTTGTCGGGCTCACATTTTTGGTGAACCAAAGTGTCAGTTTGAGTACAAAAAATACCCAAACACGAGAAGCTACCCTGGAATATGCGATCAAAGGAACAGGACCGTACGCAACACCTGGTCCTGAGGCAGTCGCGTTCACTCGAACGAAATATGCAACAGATGCTCGACCAGATGTTGAATTGTTCTTCCTCGCAAGATCACTCCACAACGATAACGATTCAGGAGCGCGACAATCGCAGCGTGTGGCTCAAGGAACTCACGACAAAATTTGGAAACCCATTGAGGGCCAGGATGCATGGTCGATTATCCCAGTTGTCCAACTTTCTCACAGTAAGGGACGCATCCAACTGAAGTCAGTTAATATTGAGGATCACCCTGTGATCAATCCAAATTTATTGGACAAATCGATTGATCTTAAAGTTCTTATCGAGGGTGTGAAACTCTCACTGGAGATAGCTAAGTCAAAAGCTTTCCAGCAATACGGCACTAGGTTACACGATATAAAAATCCCAGAATGTAAATCTTTACAATTCTCCTCGGATAATTACTGGCGTTGTGCTATTCAACATTTATCAATTCCCTTTCTTCATGGAGTCGGTACTGCGAAAATGGGCCCATCCACAGATCCTACAGCCGTCGTTGATCCTGAATTGAAGGTTTATGGAGTAAAAGGTTTGAGGGTCATCGACGCTTCTATCATGCCGGAAGTGCCCGTGGGACATCCGTCAGCAACGACTTACATGATTGCCGAAAAAGGGGCCGATATGATTAAACAGTCATGGCGCGACAGATAATCTCCCTATTAATTTATTTACCTATCAGTAATTACCGTTGGATTTATCCAAATATTATCACCCCTATTGTTTACACTGTCGATATCAGGCCCTACATTTTTTATTACTATAATTGTTACTTGAAATCCATCAAGCAACTGAAATTCAAAAAATCCCTCAAGTAGAGGGATTTAACCGACAGTCCCATCAACCAAGAACAACACTCCCATCGATATATTTTGTACATTTCGATTTGGTTATTTTCCACGAATTTAAAATGTAAGCTTGAATAACAAATAAATAAGCTTTGAATCACCTGTGTAATTTATTAGGTGCATATTGTTTCAATAATTCTCACCACCGCAGCTATATATCTCGCGACACAACAACTTTATAATAGTCGATTACTCAGTGATGGGTCATTAAAGAATCGTTGAAATTCCAGAAAAATGAGGGTGACTATTGGAATACTGTTTTCTGTACTGCTAATGATAAATTTGTCAGCAGGAACACATATTCTGAGACTACTCTCTGAATATAGTTTGACAACCACTTATGGAATAAGAACGGAACAATTACCAAGGTTTAATGAATATGATTTTATAATCGTTGGTGCCGGGCCTGGGGGTTCTACAGTGGCCAATCGCCTGTCAGAAAATCAGAACTGGAGGATTTTACTGCTGGAAGCCGGTGAACCGGAGGGAATTTTGCAGCAAATACCTTCGTTCTCTTCCATAAACTCTAAATATGATTGGCAATACAAGTATGAGCCTCAAGATAAGGCTTGTTTAGGGATGAAAGATCGGACATGCCCTTGTCCAAAGGGAAAATCACTAGGTGGTACCACCACCATAAATGGTATGGTTTATGCAAGAGGGCATAAATTAGATTTTGATATTTGGGCCCAACAGGGAAATTACGGATGGTCGTACGAAGAAATTCTGCCATACTTCAGGAAAAGTGAACGCGTTAATCTGCGAGGTATGGAATTTATGAGATTATTATTATTCATATTTATGGTATCATTTTATGGCTCTGACTTTCTTGAATTATTAAACTGACTTATTAAATTGACCTTTTTTTTTGTGAATGTGTTGCATGAATTTTTCTTCCTAATTACTGCCGAATAAAATTATTTCCTTTGGAGCAATAAGCAGATATGAATTGAGTTAACTACTGTGTAAGAAGGTTGGAAGAAAATTTTAATTTCAGGAACGATTGACTACCAATTTTCCGGTGAGTAACGCTGAATGCAATTTACAGAGAAAAGATTTACAATTTTTATGTTTCATGTTTGTGAAAATTCAGTGAAATTAATGAATTTTAAAAGACAGACGAAAATTTATTTATGTGTTTGAATTTTCGAGCTAGAATAAATCTTCACTGTCAAATTCCATTGAATTGTTAGTAATAAAACATAAATTTCTATGAATTTCTCCCGTTAAATCACAATCAGTGTCAATACTCTCGGAATTGTGGAGTAAATAAAATGAAATTTTGTGTTCTTCAAAGACGGAATTACTTGAAAATTCGAGGGAACGATAAAAGATTTCAGGATGTGGCATAGAAAAATGAGAAGAAAATTGCGGAGACTGTATGAAGAAAAATTCATTCTGAACTTTGTGTGTAAAGCATGACCCATGTAAACATGAATAATTTCTCGTTCTCCAGAGCCAGTGGATGAGCCCTACCGCGGTAGAGACGGATATTTGCATGTGCAAAATTCTCCATGGAGCACTCCTGTCAAGACTGCCTTTTTAGACTCAGGGAAAGAGCTGGGATACGACGTTGTCGACTACAATGGACGACAACAGATTGGATTCTCGGATAGTCAATTGACCATGGTGAATGGTACACGATGCAGTGCCTCGAAAGCGTATCTGCGGATAAGGCGATTGAACTTGGATATCGTGACAGAAGCCACGGTTTCGAGGGTGTTAATTGATGACAACAATCATGCCTACGGTGTGGAGTTCATTAAAAATAATAAAACATATCGAATTAATGCGGGTAAAGAGGTGATTTTGTCAGCGGGTACAATCAACACACCGCAATTACTAATGCTCTCCGGTATCGGTCCTAAGGATCATCTCGACGAATTGGGAATCAAAGTGGTGAAGGATGCTAGAGTTGGATACAATCTATGCGATCATGTGGCTTTCATTGGACTAACGTTTTTGGTGAACCAAAGTGTCGAATTTCTAGCAAACGCGAGAACTCCAGAAGCTGCACTTCAATACGCTATCAATGGAACTGGTCGTCATTCGGGAACACTTCCCTCAGCAGTTGCATTCGCTCGCACAAAACACGCAGTTGACGCTCGACCAGACATTGAATTGATTCTCCGAGCCGGAGCATTTAATATGGATGGCGACGAAGGAAGATCCCGGGGTATCAGTCAAGAAGTCTATGACAAAGTTTGGAAGCCCATCGAGGGACAAGTGACGTGGGCAATCTGGCTGAGTCCACAACTAGCTCGTAGCAAAGGACGCATCACACTGAGATCAACTAATATTGCGGATCACCCAATCATTAATGCCAATCTCTTAGACGATCCCAGTGATGTTGAAGTTCTTGTTGAGGGAATTAAATTCGCATTGAATATATCTCAATCCCAGACCTTCCAGCGATATGGCAGTAGACTGCATGATACAAAAATTCCTGGATGCGAGGCATTGGAATTTAACTCTGATGATTACTGGCGTTGCGCAATTCGGAGTGTAACAGCAACCTTTAATCACGAGATGGGTACCGCCAAAATGGGTCCAGCTACAGATCCTGCAGCTGTTGTTGACCCTGAATTGAGAGTACATGGAATTCGGGGATTGAGAGTCATTGATGCCTCTATCATGCCAGAAATACCAGTCGGGCATTTGAGTGCGACGACTTACATGATCGCCGAAAAGGCAGCAGATATGATTAAGCGATCTTGGCAGAATTAGCAGAAGAACCGCAAGTTTAGATTAAAGGGGTTGGATTAGTGATTAAACGATCCGCCGTATATTGAAGTTGAAAAATAATCAGAGAAGATGATCAGCGACTGGATATTTTCGTCGATTTATTTTGAACGTTTCGTTTCGACTTGATTGAATAAACAATAGCAATTAAATAAACTTTGAATCACCTGTGTAATTTATTAAAGGCATATTGTAGCAATTATGCCTGTGATACCACAGCTATATAGCTCGCTCCACAATGCTAAATTTATATTAATTCATTAGTCAGTGATGGTCACTGAAAATTCTCATAAATTCCGATTATCCAGATAATTTTGATTTTGACGGCACTCAATCGAATTCCCGAAAAATGAGGGTGATAATTGGAATAATTGGAATGTTTGTTTGCCTATTGCTGATGGGAGATTTATCAGTAGGAACACATATTTTAAGACTGCTCAGCGAATACAGTTTAACGTCAGCTTATGGAATGAGAACAGAGCGACTGCCACGACTCGATGAGTATGATTTTATAATCGTGGGTTCCGGGCCTGGTGGTTCACCAGTGGCCAATCGTCTATCAGAAAATAAAAATTGGAAAGTTTTGATCCTCGAAGCCGGCAAACCTGAGGGAATTTTCCACCAGATACCCTCAATTTCCTTCGTGAATACTGAATACGACTGGAAATACCGAACCGAACCTCAAGAAAAGGCATCCCTAGGATTGACAGACCGAAGAGGATCTTATATACAAGGAAAGTCGTTAGGTGGTTCGAGTTCGATAAATGGAATGACGTACGCTAGAGGACATAAAATTGATTTTGATCTTTGGGCTGAGACGGGAAATTACGGGTGGTCGTATGATAATGTGCTACCATATTTCAAGAAGAGTGAACGCGCCAGACTTGAAGGTATTTAAGAAACTTCTCACCTTTCAAGATGATACATCTCATCTTACTTTCCCCTACATGCAGCGCTTTTTTATTTCAGAACCGATGGACGAAGCCTATCATGGCAAAAAGGGATATGTACACGTGCAAAATGCACGATGGCGCACACCTCTGGCAAAAGCCTTTGTAGACTCCGGAAAGGAAATGAATTATGATATTATTGATTACAATGGACGACAACAGATTGGATTCTCCTATTCTCAATTAACGATGTTAAATAGTACGAGATTCAGTGCTTCCAGGGCATACCTGCGGGTCAGACGATCAAATTTGGATATCGTCCCCGAAGCGACTGTATCGAAGGTGTTAATTGACGACAATAATCGGGCCTATGGTGTGGAATTTATAAAAAACAACAGAACATATCGAATTAATGCGAGAAAAGAGGTAATTCTATCTGCTGGGGCAATTAACACACCGAAATTACTGATGCTTTCTGGGATTGGACCCAAAGAGCATCTCGATGAATTGGGAATCAAAGTAGTGAAGGACGCCAAAGTTGGCTACAATTTTTGCGACCATGTGGGTTTTGTCGGACTCACATTTTTGGTGAACCAAAGTGTCAGTTTAATTATAAAAAATACCCAAACACCAGAAGCTGCTCTTGAATATGCAATCAATGGAACTGGACCGTATTCTACAACTGGTAGTGAAGCACTCGCATTCACCCGGTCAAAATACGCAACCGATGCCAGACCGGATATTGAATTGATATTTCGTGCATGGTCAATCAATATGGATAGCGATGGAGGATTGCGTAGAATGCGTGGTGTAACACAAGAAATTTACGACACTGTTTGGAAACCAATTGCGGGCCAGGACGGCTGGGCAATTATACCTGCTGTCCAACTTGCTCGCAGCAAGGGACGCATCCAACTGAAATCAATTAACATTGAGGATCACCCTCTGATCAATCCCAATTTTTTGAACGATCCGATTGATCTCCATGTTCTTGTTGAAGGTGTCAAACTCTCAGTTGAGGTAGCTAAATCAAAAGCCTTCCAGCAATACGGCACTAGGTTGCATGACACAAAAATTCCAGGATGTCAGTCCTTTCAATTCTCCACAGATGATTACTGGCGTTGCGCTGTTCGATATTTAACAATTCCTTTTATGCATGGAGTTGGCACCGCTAAAATGGGTCCATCCTCGGATTCTACAGCTGTCGTTGATCCTCAATTGAGGGTCTACGGAGTGAAGGGCTTGAGGGTTATAGATGCTTCTATCATGCCAGAGGTACCAGTAGGACACTTAATGGCGACAGTTTACATGATTGCCGAAAAAGGTGCTGATATGATCAAACAATCATGGCAGTGACTAAAAACTACGTACCAACATCTCCCCACCAGAAATTACTGTTATACTAATTATGATATTCCTATAATCCGAGCACTTTTAAGCTGCTACACGAATTTACCTATATACGAATTGGCCTATACTTTTTAAATCAAGAATCGAAAAAATGCAGACCTGAATTTTAGGGTGAAACCATAAAATTAATTGTTATAAATTATGGTGAACTTTTGAGTATAACACTTATCAATGAAACGACGATAAGACATGCTATGTCCGCCACGTGTGTTTTGATTATTTTACACTGATTGTAAATGTAAGTTTAAATGGACAATATCAAATAAATAAACTTTCAGTCACCTGTGTAATTTATTTAATGCATATTGTGCCAATTATTCTTCTCCTACCCCGGCTATATAGCTCGTTATACAACGATTTTTTGAATAATAACCGATCAGTCGGTGAACAATCATAATTATTAGAATAATCGATTGTCCATCTATTTTTTTCCTTCAACGACGTTCAGTAATAGACTTCCAGGAAAATGAGAGTGATATTTGGAATGTTAATTTCCCTGTTGCTAACACATTCATCTGTAGGAATACATATTTTAAGACTGCTCACTGAGTATGGCCTGACAACTACTTATGGAATAAGAACCGAGCAATTACCAAGGTTTAATGAATACGATTTTATCATCGTTGGTGCCGGACCCGGTGGTTCTCCAGTGGCCAATCGTCTGTCAGAAAATAAAAACTGGAGGATTTTACTTCTGGAAGCCGGGGGACCCGAGGGAATTTTGCAGCAAATACCGATGCTCCCTACCATAAATACTAAATACGATTGGCAATACAAATATGAGCCTCGAAAAAAGGCATGTCTGGGCCTGAGAGATCGGAGATGTCTCTGCCCAAAAGGCAAATCACTCGGAGGTACAAGCACCATAAATGGTATGGTTTACTCGAGAGGACACAAATTGGATTTTGATATTTGGGCTGAACAGGGAAATTACGGGTGGTCGTACGACGAAGTTCTGCCGTACTTCAAGAAAAGTGAACGCGCTAATCTGCGAGGTATGTGATATTAGTATTAATTCGTGAGTAGCGATAAGGAAAATTGTATTTTTATCCTTTGAATCATAATGAGTATAAGTGTGAATAATCTGTTGTTCTTTAGAACCAGTGGATAAGTCATATCACGGTAAGAATGGATACGTGCACGTACAGAATACTCCATGGAGGAGCCCCATGACAGATCTCTTTTTAGAGGCCGGGAAAGAGCTGGGATACGACATTGTCGACTACAATGGACGACAACAGATTGGATTCTCGGATAATCAATTGACCATGGTGAATGGTACACGATGCAGTGCCTCGAAAGCGTATCTGCGGATAAGGCGATCGAACTTGGATATCGTGACAGAAGCCACGGTTTCGAGGGTGTTAATTGATGACAACAATCATGCCTACGGTGTGGAGTTCATTAAAAATAATAAAACATATCGAGTTAATGCGGGTAAAGAGGTGATTTTGTCAGCGGGTACAATCAACACACCGCAATTACTAATGCTCTCCGGTATCGGCCCTAAGGATCATCTCGACGAATTGGGAATCAAAGTGGTGAAGGATGCTAGAGTTGGATACAATCTATGCGATCATGTGGCTTTCATTGGACTAACGTTTTTGGTGAACCAAAGTTTCACATTTCTTCAACAAGCGATAAGTACTCCAGGAGCTGCACTTCAATATGCTATCAATGGAACAGGTCCATTTTCCACCCCATTTCCTGGAGGACTTGCATTCACCCGCACCAAATTCGCAACTGATGCTCGACCCGACCTTGAAATAGTTCTCCAAGCAGGATCATTCAACGTGGATCCTCGAAAGGGAAGAGCACGGGGAATAACCGAAGAAGTTTATGACACCGTTTGGAAACCCCTCGAGGGACAAACTACCTGGGGAATTTGGCCGAGTACACAATTGGCACGTAGCAAAGGACGTGTCACGTTGAGATCAACTAATATTAAGGATCACCCAATCATTGATGCTAATCTCTTGGACGATCCAAATGACCTCGAAGTTCTTGTGGAAGGGGTTAAATTCGCCATTGAGATATCCAAATCCAAGACTCTCCAGCGGTATGGCAGTAGACTGCATGATATAAAAATTCCGGGATGCGAGACATTGGAATTTAACTCTGATGATTACTGGCGTTGTGCAATTCGACAATTAACAACTACTTTTAATCACGAGATGGGCACCGCCAAAATGGGTCCAGCTACAGATCCTACAGCTGTCGTTGATCCTGAATTGAGAGTCCATGGAGTTGGGGGATTGAGGGTCATAGATGCTTCTATCATGCCGGAAGTACCAGTGGGTCATTTGGCAGCAACAATTTACATGATCGCCGAAAAAGGGGCCGACATGATTAAACAGTCGTGGCAGAATTAAACAATGCATCACCATTTCTCTTTCATATCATCTAATGCCAAGTGTCTAATATATCATTTTTCAGAATTGGAATAGAAGGAAAAGCGATGATTTATCACTCAATATTCTGTACTACTTTATGAGTATAAATAATGTAAACAAGCCGTATTTACTGGTACGATTCGTTTATTTTCCCAAGATTGCAGACACAAACCCAAATAAAGGATTTCAAATCGATTGTGATAATCAAAATACTTCGGGACAGCTGAGCAATTTATGATATGCGCATTGGGTAATGAGATGCATCGAATAATTTTACGCTATATAACTCGTTCTTTGAGCATAATCGATTGAATTTGGTGCCTGGGTGAGTAAATTACGAACTGTTACAACTTTCAGGAGAATATTCCTGGCGCCTTTTCAGAAGAACAAGAATAAATAGATATTCCCATAAAAATTGTTAAAGTTTCATTATAATACTGAATTTCAAGATGCATTTCCGTAAATATTCAAGAGTTCTACCCAATTTTATCAAATAATTGAAGGAAAATTGACTATTTCCATCGTCTTTCACTTATAAATGGTGAATTTCCAATTGTGCTATTCTTTAAAAAACGAATATAGCGTATGAATATATTAGAAGACAACCTAAACTTCCCAGAAATAACGAATCTAAAAAAAAATGCCTATGAAAATTTTGTTTGCAATACACTTCCTCTTTTCCTCTAGCTCGACGACATCAAATTTCACGAAAATGAAAGGGATATTCAAAGTATTAATTTCGTTACTGCTGACGATAAATCTTTCATCAGCAGATATACACATCTTGAAACTCCTCGCCAATTATGGATTCACCAACACTTATGCAATAAAAACCCAACTTCTACCCAGATTTGAAGACTACGATTTTATCGTGGTTGGATCTGGGCCCGGTGGGGCCCCAGTGGCCAATCGTCTATCAGAGAACAAGAACTGGAAGATTTTACTGCTCGAAGCGGGAAAACCGGAGGGTGTCTTGAATCAAATACCGATGCTGTCGTTTACGAATTCTGAATACGACTGGCAGTACAAAACGGAGCCTCAGAAGAAGGCATGTCTGGGTATAACAGATCGAATCTGTCCTTATACAAAAGGGAAAGCCCTGGGTGGCACCAGCACCATAAACGCCATGGTTTACTCCAGAGGGAACAGACTGGATTTCGATCTTTGGGCTAGACAAGGAAACTACGGCTGGTCCTATGATGATGTTCTACCTTATTTCAAGAAGAGCGAACGAGCAAGACTTCAAGGTACAATCGATCTCTTATAAAACACCTAGGAAAATTATTTATAATGGAATAGACCTCACTATTAAATAACAATCTTCAATTATATCAATTGAATAATAATCGATATAACATCATCATTGAATTTAACTGGTAAAACACCGAGAAAATGATATTTGGAATTTTTAATAACGTCACAGTTCCGTCACAGGAAATTTGTGTGGAATTTGCTATTGACCAATTGGTTAATTTTTCAAAAATTCATTCAAAAATTCATTCAAAACATGTATCACCAAAAATAAATCACTTGTTTTCGGTTTAGAACCAGTTGATAAATCGTATCGAGGAAGAAATGGATATTTACACGTGCAGAATGCACCGTGGCGTACACCGCTAGTAAAAGCATTCTTGAAATCGGGAAAAGAGTTAGGCTACAATGTGATTGACTACAACGGAAGACGTCAGATCGGTTTCTCCTACGATCAATTAACAATGTTGAATGGCACACGCTGCAGCGCATCAAAAGCCTACCTCCGAGTTAACCGATCAAACCTAGATATCGTGACAGAGGCGAGAGTATCACGAGTCCTAATTGACAGCAATAATCGTGCCATTGGCGTAGAATTCACAAAAAACAACAGAACATATCGAATCACTGCGAACAAAGAGGTTGTGCTATCAGCAGGAGCAATCGACACTCCAAAACTCCTAATGCTATCAGGAATAGGGCCCAAGGAGCACCTGGCCGAGCTAGGTATCAAAGTAATAAAGGACTCCAAAGTCGGTTACAATCTGTGCGACCACGTGGCCTTCGCCGGACTGACATTTCTGGTGAACCAGAGTGTCACCCTAATTCAGAAGAACATTCAGACACCAAGGGCTGTACTGCAGTACGCCATCAAGGGAACCGGGCCTTATTCAACAGCTGGTGGAAACGAGGGAGTGGCATTTGTCCGGACAAAATACGCAATCGATGCCCGACCCGACGTAGAACTAGTCTTTCGTCTGTCATCATTCAACGGTGACAACGACGAGAGCTTCCGAAAGGCACGTCGTGTCTCTCAACGAGTTTACGACACCGTCTGGAAGCCCATCGTGGGTCAGGACTCCTTTGCTATTTGGCCCTCGGTGCAATTAGCTCGTTCAAAAGGACGTGTCAAGCTGCGGTCGACAAACATCAATGACGATCCTATAATCGATCCCAATCTCTTCGACGATCCAAATGATCTTGAAACTCTTGTTGAAGCTGTTAAATTCGCGATCAGACTATCAAAATCCAAAGCTCTGAGACGATACGGGACTAAGCTACATGATATTAAAATTCCTGGATGTGAGTCATTGGAATTCAACTCGGATGATTACTGGCGTTGCGCAATACAACATGTAACAGTCACCTTCAATCATGACATGGGCACAGCTAAAATGGGACCATCCACAGACTCATCTGCCGTTGTTGACCCGTTATTGAGAGTCTATGGAGTCGGAGGATTGAGGGTCATTGATGCATCCATAATGCCAGAAATACCAGTGGGTCATTTGTCAGCGACGACTTACATGATAGCCGAGAAAGGTGCTGATATGATTAAAAAGGCGTGGAAGAGTTAACTGCATCATAAACCTTCCCCGACCCAATTACGCTTGTTCATTTAATTTCCACGCGTTGGAGTAAACGCAAAAATAAACTATACGACTTAAAATGTGATTTGAAGTGTAATTTGAGCCAGCTCGAATATTACAATTCATTAAATATCGTTTACTCTGAAAACGATGGATTTCAGGAAAAAATACAAAGAAACCTTTCTCGTGGTATATTTAATAAGCTAGAAAAAAGTTTCTGTAATGTTTCTGCCTGGAATTGATAGTTTTCGAGATAAATCGATTATTAATGAAGATGTTGGATTCGCTTCATCGGAAAAGAGTCAATTCCACCATAAACCTTCCCCTAAACAAACCCACGTTTAATTCAATTTCCGCAGGTTGCTCTAAACTCAAAAATAAACTCAAGTCTACAACATCATTCAAGATGCACCCATAATGCCAGAAATACCAGTGGGTCATTTCAGTACCGAAGTGGTAAAATGAAACGACTCAAATATTTCAGTTTCATTAATTATCGACTGACCTAAAATACTATTGATTTTAGAAGGAAATCTCAAGAGACCTTTTCCATCCTAAATTTAAATAGCTGTAAAAAAGGTCCTACAATGTTTCCACCTAAAATCGATAGTTTTCGAAATAAATAAACAATTAATAAACGCATTGAATTTGTCTCATATCTTTGTGGTGTTTCGCTCCCGATTACTGTTTATATGATAAAAAAATCGCAGAAAAATCAACTGCCCCATAAACCTTCCCAAACCACCTACGCTTGTTAATTTAATTTCCCCACACTGCAGTAAACTTAAAAATAAACCAGTAAACTCGATTGTAAAATATTATTGCCGGACGGTCTATATCAGCCATAATTCCATCCGTTTTTTTGCACTAAATCTGATAGTGCAGTCAGTATGACTCATCTCCTGCTTCAAAACACATGCACAAGCAGGAAAAGCGATAACACAATAAAAACAATGTTATGTAAGGCCTTTCTGATGCAAAACTCATTGCTAATAAAATGTAAAACCCCAGAGAAACGTTTTTTCCTCGACACCGGTGACAGATCTCAATAATAACCTCGAATATGACACAATCATTCCTTATCAGTACCCTAGTTCCCCTGGCCCCTCAGTTGTCACCACCGAGGGAATTCAAAAAGCCGTGATGCCAAACAAACAAACGCAATAAAGCAATCATGCACAATAAAACTACAACAATCAAATATACCTGATACAACAAGAGCCTCATTTGGACCGCAAGTGTGTACGTTTCCCATGGTAAAACCGATGTAATGTTATCCTTGTGCTGTCCTTTCCTGGGGATAAAAATTGTAAATACACTGAGGTCCACAAGACACTAAACACAAATTATCCGATCAATGTTTTCTAATTGGCACTAATGAGGACTTATTCCCATGTGAAACCGAAAGGCTAAACTATAATTCACGATACACTACGTCAAAACCTTCACTTTTTTTATTCTTCTTTCTTATTTCACTCGTCTTCTATCCCTTTTCACGGAGTTTCCTCTGATTCTACCCGAAAGCCACTGCCCAAACGGAAAAACACACACAAGGACGCGCCACGACCGACACAACACTGAGCCGACAGGGCTGCCACCATTCAGCGGTTAAAATGGCGCGGGGATCGCCAGTTCCGGTGTTTGGATGTTTGGAATATTTTCAGGAGGCATTATTATAACCTATAAACCACTGTTAAACATACAAAGTACCTTTTCTGTTTTCAACAAACAACGCAACATTATTTTCAAGTTTTTATTGGGGAGAGTTTTTGTCAATCAGTCAGGAGTGATTGTTGCTGGGGAAATCGTGAATTTGTGAGGATTTTTCATGAAAAATCGAGGGGATAACAAATGTATCATGGAAAGTTGACGCACGGTTGGAGTGTACGTACTCACCTGTTTCCACGTAATGCACTTGATTGTTTGGTGGATTGGCGGACGGTAATATGAACAAAACAACGATGAACACACCGCAATCGAACAAGAAAAAGAGGAGCAGGATGGGGGTGAAGAATGAGACGACTGCACCGGCTAGTCAGGAAGTACTTAGTCCCCAGGAGGCCACACGTTTTGTTTTGGTAAAATAAAAATATCAGGGATTCAAGATTTTTGTTGTTTTTTTTCAACTGAAGATAAACTTATTTTTTAATCGGCAATTATTCAAGATTGGCAGAGTGAAACTGAATATTTTCAGGCTTTCGAACAGAAACTTTTCGATTAAAAAAATGATATTCATTTGGCATTCTCATGTTTTTTTTTCAGATGAATCCCCTGGGTAACGAGCTGGGAAAAACCTACAAAATCAGTATAAATAATGGGATTCCAGTAGCTTCTATGGACGATGTGGATTTGGACGAGAAGAAAGTGATATCCCAGTGTCTGGATAAGGAGAAAGAGGACAAGGCAGTGCTGAGTAATTTACCAGTGGCTGTGGTGAAGGAGTTGAAGGGTTACGAGGACCAAATTGGCGAGGCAGAGCCCCTGCCCAATTCGTATGTGAGATTTATGGAGAGAAGTGGAGAGGAGCTTGATGGTGAGGTTGAGTATGACCTGGATGAGGAAGATTCAGCCTGGTTAGCTGTTGTTAATGAACGAAGAATATCGTCGGGGCTGCCTCCAATGGAGCCAGACACCTTCGAGCTTCTGATGGACAGACTGGAAAAAGAATCGTATTTCCAGCAGCAGAGCAATGGAGGTGGAGGAGTTGCGGCTGACGAAGACGCTGTTTGCTGTATCTGTATGGATGGAGAGTGCCAGAATAGCAATGCCATATTGTTCTGCGATATGTGTAATTTAGCTGTCCACCAGGATTGCTATGGGGTTCCTTATATTCCGGAGGGTCAATGGCTCTGCAGGAGATGCCTCCAGAGCCCTTCTAGAGCAGTGGACTGCGTTTTATGTCCCAATCGTGGTGGTGCCTTCAAGCAAACCGATCGTCCAGCCACCTGGGCACACGTTGTCTGCGCTCTGTGGATTCCTGAGGTGCGATTTGCTAATACTGTTTTCCTCGAGCCAATCGACAGCGTCGAGAGCATTCCTGCTGCTAGGTGGAGGCTCACCTGCTGTGTATGTAAGAGGAGAAGTGCTGGTGCCTGCATTCAGTGCCACAAGAGCAATTGTTATGCTGCATTTCACGTCACCTGTGCACAACAGGCTGGGCTCTGCATGAGAATGAGAACTGTTCAGCCTTCCAATGGAGAGCCCATGCTTGTGCAGAAGACTGCCTACTGTGAGGCACACACTCCACCTGATTTTCAACCGTCCACTAACCCTGCCGAAGCCAGGAGGCGGGCTATTGCTAATAAGAAGACATCATCTGCGCCTGTTATATCTATTCCCACTATTCCACCTGAGAGAATCAGGGAAATTGCAAGTCTGGCAGAAGGTCTCCCAAAACGGAGTCAACTGATCCAGCGTCTGATAGCCTACTGGACCCTAAAACGTCAACACCGAAATGGTGTACCACTCCTCCGTCGCCTCCAGAGTTCGCATCCCCACGGTAGACCACCACCCTTGGGCAGTCACTCACCAGCTCCAGACGGCGAGCTTCGAGGGGAGCTCTACCGCCAGCTGAAATACTGGCAGTGTCTGCGCCAGGACCTGGAGCGAGCGAGATTGCTGTGCGAGCTCGTTCGTAAGCGGGAGAAGCTGAAGAAAGAGCTGTTCAAGGTCAAAGAGAAATGCCTGTGGTTCGAGCTGAGACCCCTGGAGAGTGTCCTCCAGACGCTATTAGAAGCAATTAAGGCAAAAGATACGAACGACGTTTTCGGTCAACCCGTGAACATCAGCGAGGTGCCGGATTACTTGGATATCGTCTCTCAGCCGATGGATCTCTCGACGATGGAGACAAAAATAGAAAAACAGGAGTACGAGAGTGTCTCAGATTTTCAGAGTGACTTTACCCTCATGGTGAACAATTGTCTCGCTTACAATCGCAAGGACACAATTTTTTACAGAGCCGGGCTCAAGATGCGCGAGCAGGGAGGTGCTCTTATTGATCAAGTTCGCAAAGATTATCCTGAACTCGACCCTCACCCACCTGTTGTCGACCAGACGACGACAAAATCGAGAAAACGTGAGCGTGTTAATCGGAGTAGGACAGAGTCTGAGAGTCAGACTGGAGAGAAAGAAATGGTGGGTGTGAATCGTCGAACAGCTGTGTTATTCACGAGGAAGGCCAAGGCCAGAGCCAGCAAAGGGGGACAGACCCCAGTCAGTGAGGAGATCAAGAAGCAGACGGATAGCTTCAGGGTGTACAGGAGTGGAAATATGGATAGTGATATTGGGGAAGGGGATAGCCAGTCGTCGAGTTGCAGCAGCTGCTCCACCAGCAGATCCACAACTCCTGAACCTGAGGAGGAGGAGGAGCAGCAGGAGGACGAAGAGGAGGATGATGACGAGGAGGATGAGGAGGAGGAGGACAGCGAGCCCCCGCCATCACCGAAGAAAGTGAAAGATAATGAGAAGGGCAGAGGAAAAGGTGAGGGACGACTCGATGCTTTAACACTCGTCTGGGCCAAGTGTCGAGGATACCCATGGTATCCTGCCTTGATCATTGACCCCAGCACTCCCAGGGGAACTGTACATAAGGGGGTGCCCATTCCAGCACCTCCTGATGATGTTTTGGCACTCGCTGTTAATTATAAGGATCCTGTACATCTGGTTTTGTTCTTCGATACGAAGAGGACATGGTGAGTAGAAAAACTTATTATTTTGAAGACTCTCAGTGATTTACTCCTGAATGGAAAGTTTTGAATAAAAATAAATGTATTAAAATTTCTAGTTTTTTTAGTTCTAAATATCAGTAGGTAAGAAATAAAATAAGCATTTAAAAAAGAATCCATTCAGAAGCAAATTAGTCATTTGTGTGTATTAATAATTCGATTGATTTATGAATTGATAATAATAATCGGAAATTTCAGGCAATGGTTACCTGGGGAGAAGTTGGAGAAACTCGGTGTCTCGCAGAAAGTCGACGAAGCTAAATTAATCGAATCTCGAAAGCCAGCTGATCGTAAAGCTGTCAAAAAGGCGTATCAGGAAGCACTTCATTATCGCAAACAAACACATAATACAGCATTCAATACAGTATCATCATCGTAGTTAATGGTATTAAAATAGTTATCGTTTTTTATTAGAAATACAATTTCTTCATATCAAAAGGCATACGAAAAGAGCATAAACATAATTTTTGAGGAAGTGGTGTGTTTCTCATTGATCCTATTTTTTCCTTACGATTTGGGGTTTGAAGTCTGGGTCGATGGCTTTTGTGAGTGACTCGGCGTATAAATTCAGTCTCTGGGTCATCTGAATAATTAATAATCATTATTAATACATTATTTCCGACGTTGAATGAAAAAAATACTTACTCGAAACCCCCAATGATCTTTCGTCTGACGACAGGCGTTGAGGTCCATCTCGACAATAAGCAATTCGTCCTTATCACGACTCAGACTTGGAGTTCGAGTCCCATCTGGTGCAGTGACGTAACTGGAGCCGTAAAAATGACCGAAGTCTTTGTGAGCAGGCTCACCATTGCCTGATGTGAATTCATTCGGGAATATTTCAGTTCCCACTCGATTTATTGCGCAGGTGAAATAGCTGTTCGCTATCGCAGCACATCGGGCCTCAATGGGCCACAGGGGCTCAGATAATGCGCCCACAGTTGCCGAAGGATTAAAGACAATCTGTGTTATAAATTTTAATTATGAAAACTTTTCTACTGGAAAATTCCACCGATTTTTTCAAGCATTGGAGAATTATTCAATTACAATTGCTATTACCGGGTAACAATAATTATTATTTTCTCATTTTCGGATCTGTATTTTTTTCACAATTACCTCTGCACCGTTGATACCGAACATCGCCCAGTTCATGGGGTGATGACGCCCGTAGCAGATATTGACCGCAATTTTTCCGAATTTAGTTTCAAAAACTGGATGGCCAGTATCTCCCTCCATGTAGTACGTGGACTCATTGAAGTCTCCGACTCTCGGAATGTGATTTTTCCTGTGTTTTCCCAGTACTTGGCCATCGGTGTCAATTATAACGCAGGTATTCCATAGCGTATCCCCGTGAGTACTGTCTCGTTCCAGAATCGGAGATATTATCACCATGTTATACATCTTCGCTAATTTCGATAGTAGTACGGTGCTGGGCCCTGTCAGGGCATCTTCAGCGAATTCAACCCATGGGAATTTTTCACGAGTGCAAAATGCAAATGGCATGGCTGCAATTATTTCAGAAGAAATATATCAATGGAAAAACAAAGAAAAAAATGACAATTCTCTTTTCACAATTTTTATTACCACACCTTTGGATTTCTTTTTTTTAATTATTAACAAACTAGAACTCAATTCCGGATTTATTCAGAATAGAATTCCGTTGGAATTCAGTAGAGAGAATAAGCAGATGAAATCAGGAATTCTTTTTCGAATAGCCTTGTTAAATAATTACACGAATTTCTTTGGTTTAAGAGAAAAAACAAACATTATATAATCATTTAAAAAAATTAATACGTACGCCAGGCTTCCTGAAGACAAAGGATGTTGACGTTATTACTCCCTGCAGATTGAATATATTTCTCGATTTTATTGTATATCGCATTTCGTTGCTCTATTACTGGTTTGTCTGTGGGAAGAACTATCGAATGTTGGATCAATCCCACCTGGACTATTCTCCGAAGATTCGATGACTCCTCTCGAGCAGTCGCAATGAGAGAACATAGCTTTATTTTCAACCCGAAATCAGTGACGAAAGGCTGACGTTCCCTGAGAATAATTTTCATCATTAACATAAAAATTGGATGTTAAAAATCGGGGAGACAAATGGAAATATCAAAGCTTTTTATAATCATTGGAATTGAATCATAAGTCTCATTTCTATTAATCGATTGATTAATCACAATTAGTTATGGTTAAATCATTGATTAGTTATTTCGTTCCATTTAATCACTTGCTCAAGATGAGTTATGAAAAGTGATGGCGAATGGAAGATAAGATAGAGAAATAAAACAATGAATATTCACTAGTGTTCAGTTATTAAAGCAGTGCCATAAAATAGAATATTTGTTCATACCTCCAGCCTGTCCCGTACAAATGAGCTTTTGCCTTTTTCAATTCGACTTCGGGGAGATATTTCTCGAGGGTTTCTTCCAGATTGAAGCTTTCCATCTTCGAACTGCAGATGATTGATCGTACTGGAGGATTTTTAAGTATTTATCAACGTTCTTATCAATTTATGTGAGAAGTGGGTCAGGTTCTACGCCTGTCAGAAATTTAATTCAGTAGTCAAGTGATCAAGCGAGACCACGGGACTTACCACATTATTCTAATTATCGAATTATCTTAAAGGCTGTCGGTCCTAGGTGAACATATCACAGAGTTTTTACGTAACTGATTGAATTTCCAACAAAAAAGACTTTCCAATTTTTTTTCCTTGAATCAATATTTTTTTCGGCCCATCGATATTTGAAAATTGTAAAATTAGAGTCATGCTCGCTTTTGTGCTCCATTCCTGGATTGTTGTTTTGAGAGGTTCAACGGAATGCCTCCCACTTCAAATTGTTTCAAACGCATCCACTGTGTTTACAAATCGACACATGTGACAAGAACATTTTGTTGTGAGTGAATTAAAAAAGTGTTATTACGTACAGCCATGGGAGAGAATCAACAACCCATTATTTGTGTTCCTGGTGATGTACCGATGATTTAATGCACACTTTCCAGTTTATAATATTTTCGAGAAAAATGTTCTAACCTAAATTGTGGGTTTTACAGGGCAGAGACTGTGTCCAGCGAGTAAAACGAGTCTTTCTGGTCCTGGGACATACGAATTAACTGGATACATCTATGCCAAGTTAGCTGGAACTGTCGAGATATTAAATGATGAAAGTGTAAATGAATAAGTAAAAATAAGATAGATCATACTCAATATATTAAGATATTTCTTCGAACATCCTCAGCTCAGGAATTCATTGAAAAAATTATTATATTTAATCAATGCAAATCGCCGTCTTTGCAATTTTTATTTCATTTCGCCAATTACTTCGTAAAACTATTCGATTGCATTGCAGAGTGAATAATTTTTGTACGAGTTTCGGAAAAGAAACTAGAATATCCAATTGGTGACCAAAATCAGAACATAGAAATACAGGGACAAACCTATTAAAATGATTTTTGTATTGAGAAATTTTCCGCTAGGAAGTCGCGTTCACTCACTATCCAGGTAATTTAATCTCAAATTTTAAGTTTTTTTTTCTCATTTTTCAACAATTTAAGACAAAAACGATAATAGTACATGGCACAACTGAGCAGAGTATTGTGCCAGCTCCTGGGGATATCGTGACAGCAATGGTAACTCTGGTAAATCAGAGATTTTGCAAATGCATTATGAAATGCATTGGGGATACCGTCTTGACGAGGACGTACAGAGGAATATTGAGGAAAGAAGATGTTAGGGCCACTGAAAAGGACAGGGTGGAGATGTACAAGTCGTTTAGACCTGGGGACATAATACTAGCCCGAGTTGTATCCTTTTTTATTCTTCATAAAATAACAAAAGGAATATGTAATGAGTCATGAATTTTTTTTCTTGTCTCAGCGATTTCTCATTCCAGGTGGAAAAATTAATTCTTGATTATGATAATTCCTTATTATTCTTGATCAGATGCCCATGACTGAGGCTCACACTTATTCTTTGAGTACTACTGAAGATGAATTGGGAGTTGTTGTGGCTCATAGTGAAGAAGGTTCGTATGAAAGTGAATAGAGGAGAAAGCATAACCGCATCATCTTCCACATTTTATAACAATGTCCATTAATCAATTTTCATATCAAGTGATTAAAGAACCGTAATAATTTTTTCCAGGTGTTTCTATGGTCCCGATTAGCTGGACGGAGATGCAGTGCCCAAAAACACTCACTAAAGAATTCAGAAAAGTGGCAAAAGTCGTTCCTGAACATGTACTCAATGAAATGGGATGAAATATCTCTTAATGCAAATGATGCTACGTGTATTGAAACTGAATAAATATTTTTAAGATATTTGCTCCCTATTCCTATGAGTTTTTTTTTACTCAATAAAATAAAATCATTTTCCACTTCGCAGACGAGAAAACGTATATTTCAGGTCAAGAGGTTTCGTACACATAAATTATTATTTGTACTTTACAGAGCAGAATTAGACCTTTTGAATTAATATTCTGTCGTCCTAAAGAAAACAACCGTAAAGAATAAATAACAATGGCGCCTGTCCTCAAAACACACATGTTATAATAACAACTGTGAAACTGTCTAATATCTGCAAGGAATGCTCTGTCCTTGAGAAATATAATTATGAACAATCATAAATTATCATCTGAATCGTTACGAAAATGAGTGAAATAAGTGACTGGAAATGTGAGGCCTCGAACTACATAACAGGTAGGATTTTTCACTCCTGAGGTTAGGATCTCAATCCTATTTGAAAGGAAAGGCAATAATAAGAGGCAACAATAATAACAAAATAGAATATTTTTCTTTGCACTCCTTTCTGTCTGTAATGAAGAATAGATTTCTTAGGATTGATCTATTTATTCCTGAATTAGGAATATTGTGCAAAGAAAGACAATAGAAAAATGTATGAAGCATCCATTTTGCATAAACTTCCAGTACATAAGGATTCTTTATTTCATTTCAGAAATCAGGAGAATGATGTACGGCTTTGGTGATTCGTCAGAGCCGTTGATAGAATCAGCCACGATAATAAATGATGTTGTGCAGAAGCAGATGAAGAGTATTGTTTATGAGGCATGCAGAGTAGCTGACAGGAGAAAATCAGATGTTGTTGAGGAGCAGGACTTTCTATTTCTTCTTCGACGGGATAAAGTCAAATTGCATCGGGTGTTGAAATATCTTCGTAAGTAAAATATGGGAATAAAAAAAAATGTTTGTAATGGTTAATGGTCAGGAAAAGTGACTGTTATTTTCTGTTCTTCCCAGAATTCAAATCAGCCGTGAAGAAAGCACTCGACTCCAACCTGTTCTCCTCGCCTAATGAAGACCGCAATGAAGTAAAATTCGATAAACGTTTCCACCAATTCTTGAGTAATATTGAGAGCCCTAGTAACACCACGACAATCGACCATGTGAAAAAAGCACGAGACCTACGCGCTGAAATGCTGTCACGAAGGCTCGATGCCGTTCGTTACATGGAGTACAGCACCGCAAGATCAGCCTCTTTCGCCAATAAATATAATCACAAATTTGGGAGCTGGATAGCAACAGAGGGAGACCTGAAGATTTCCAAACAGGCGTATACAGTGTTGGGATATTTTGCTTATGAGACAGTGGCACAGATCATGGATTTTGCTTTCTTGGTGAGGCATGACCAAACTAAAATACATGGGGATGCGTTGGATAGACTGAGACTGGGATATTGTAATCCTGCGACTTATAAACCTTATCAGCACGGCAAGGTAAATTCATTAAGGATCAATCATGAATCGATTTGAATTGATTTGAACTTAAAGTTCATTTGGATGTACTTTTTGTTTTCTTTAAATCATATTTTATATTATGAATTAAATTTCGGTCTTACAATTAATTCTAGGGAGCATCGATGAAGCCAGTGACTCCAGCTGAGATAAACGAGGCCCTAAGACGCTACTGGTCCCCCCAGCTGGACAAAACAGGCCCTTTCAACCGCTGGTCAACGCCCAAATCACATCCCAAGTTCCTCGCCATCTAGACCAGATCCAGCAAAATCTCCCACGACACATCCCTTCCGCCAATAACTTCCAAGTACTTTCAATACAAATTTTTATTACATTATGTGACATATCTACAATTCAGTACCCCTAAAATCTTCATCTCCTTAAAAATTAAAGCGCAGTTTCCCTCAAATGTTCAGGAATTTATACACATGCTCATTTTATTCCTGTATCATGGAGAGAGTAACGTCGATACTCTAGCCTTACCCTCGGCTCCACCTGTGATGCAGGTGCCAGATTGATTAGCTGTCGACCAGTCGCAGCACAGAGTTCCCTTGTGTCCCCCAAGCTCAAGGACTTTTGCCTGAGTCCCTGGAGGCATCTGCATAAAAAAAATCAATTTACTCAGTTATTCACAGTTGAGTAAACGATTGGGAGGGAAAATAACATTGAGAGAAAAAAAATTCCAAATTAATTTCCCTTCCAAGTAGAGAACTCCTAAAGACTATCAAGATTCCATTTTTAGCTCAATATTTGAAAAAGATTTTTTACCAGGAATTCACTTTTATTAAACTTCAATTTTCGACCGAATGTCTCGAAAATAGGAAGTAAATCTCTGATTATTCAGACGTATTAAATTTGATTTGGGAATTTAATAAGCAGCCCATATTAAATTTTCATTTCCCCAAGTGAATTGAGGAGAAAGATAACTCAATACCTTATATATGTTGCCACCATTCTGTGTACAGAGTAACATATGAGTTCCACTCTGATCAAAGGTAAACAGTTTCCCATGTACAGCATTTTTCTCGATTTTAATTTTGGTCTCCCACATGACTTTGCCCGTTTGATTGAGACTCCTCTGGCAGAGTTTTCCTTCCTCGCTCTGAGCGCAGATATTCGTGTAGTCATTTATAAGCTCGATATCTATCACTGGACTCGAGTGGCAACTCAAATTATCTATTATCTCGTTTCTCCTGAGATCGTGGATCAATATATTTCCGTTGGAGAGACCAGTTATGAGCAATTGTCCATTGTGATTGAAGGCTGAGCAGAGGGCTGTCACGTTACCATCCATTGGCAGTGTTCTTTCCAATTTTTTTGTCTTCAAGTCGTAGAGTAGGAGTTTGCCCTCCGTGGGATCAGACAGAGAGCAGACGAATGTTGAATCTGTGGGATTGCAGAGAAGGGTGACAATTCTGGAGCCCTCGTGTTGAATTTCCCAGAGAGTCTTGCAGTCTCGAGTGTCGTGGAGTTGGATTGATCCGTTGTTATCGCCGTGGAGGAAGTAACGCTCGTTCTTTGATATCCAGTCGAGGGATGTCACTGCTTTGTTTGAGGTCAAGGTAGTTGATGTGAATGTCGCGACGGTTTTTGGTGATGGTATCGGCGTCCAGACCTTGATGATGCCATCAGCATCTCCAGTAGCCACGTAAGATCCAGAGGCATTACTTTTACATTGTATTATTGACGTTTTGTGCTCTGTGTATTCTTCTTGACTGAGTAAAATATAACTCGACTCAATCTTGTCTTTGGTTTTCCTTTCAATTGCAGGATCAACTGACGAGTCTCTCTTTCTCGTTAATCTCGAATCACAACTCATGCTCCGTTTACTGACGAGCTCTCCCTTACTTAAGGAATTGACACGACCTTTGGTATTCGGTCTTTTTGTTGACGTTATGTCATCACCATTTTTTTTCGCACTCGACAGAGATTTACGGTGAAGAATAGGACTAGAACCTCCTCCTATGTTTTTTATTAGACTCCTCAGAGTCTTGGGATTCTCCATCAACGGCGATTCTCTACAGGAGAAGTTTGTACATTAGTTTATCTGTGAATGTTGTTTATGGCGCATTCCTTACTGAGCAATTATATAGAAGTCATCCATGATTGGTGGATGGTGAGGAGTAGAGCCAGGGTTGACATCGGAAATACTCTCAATTTTTGTTGATTCACTCAAACATTGCTTCAGGGCTTCGTTCTCCTCTTGCAGACGTTTCAACTTGTTGGAATCCTCGTCGATTGTGAGCAATGTCGGTTGAGGCATACACTGTCATCCAGATTAATTAATTATTAATTAACATAGCGTTGAAACAATTATTTCATCTAATCTCCTTAACAGTTAATTCAAACTTCAAAGTTCAACCCAACTCAGAGTTTTATAACAAATAATTATACATATTTAAACAATAGTTTCAATTTTTAAACACCATTGCGATAATTTAAAATTCAATTAAATTTTCATTCCCTTGAAAAATCAGATAAACATTTTTCCAGATTTACAATTTCCTATTAAAAATTAATAGTAAAAAATTTCAGGGGTTTTTCCTTGAAATTTCACTCGTAATTCCCTGAACTCACTTGAAATATCGTAGCCAAGAAGTTATGGAGGGATACAAGCATAGTATCCTGCCACTGCTTGCTGAAGTGTACAGAATATATCGGATTGTCCTCAGGATTTTTTATGAATGGATAAGCTACAATAAAAGACGATAAATGAGAACAACACCTAAAACTACACCATCAACGAAACTCGAGGATGATCTAAGAAATATCCGTGAGTTTATCATAAAAATATAAAAATAAATGTGAAAACCCTGTATTCACCGAACCAGTCTTTCCACTCTGAGTGGCCCTGCAGCTCTGGCGTGAGCTTTGTGAAAAACTCCTGAATCCTCTCAGGTTTATTATTGACAGTGGCATTAACAAGATACATCTTCAAAACAGCATTCTCCAGCTTTCTGACAGCCGGAGTAAAATGATTCTCAAGTCGTGAGAACATCCTAGTGTCCAAATGACCCCACAGTTCCCTCAGAGACATGAGATCAAACGTGAAAATGTACTGCATCAGCTGATCGACAATTTTATCCACCTAGAAATACGACAATTATAAAACGGTCGACGACCCCCGGAGGATCGACTGAATTCTCACTCTGAATCCCTTCTCCTTCTCGGCTTTCAGCTCATTGTCAAATGTCTTGAGTGTTTGACTGAACCCTCTGAACAGCAGATACTCCTTAACCAATTCATCGACGTACTGTACGTGTGACATTTTGCACCTCACTCTGAATACTGGAGCAATTCAAATAAAAATAATGAAAACTAAAGTACCCGAGCCTTTCCACAACAATGCTGATGTCATATGGGTGCCATATTGTCTGATACTGAGACGACACAACCACAACAACGACAATAACGACAACAACCCACCACCACTTGATCGTCATTCCATCTCTCTCTGTTACTCTTTATCACTCTCTCACATCATACGCCACTGCAGTAAGTCTGACGTCAGAACGCTGCGTTTAAAGAGTTCCACTATCTTTTAATTTTTCATACACTTTTTTTAATTTATGGGAAAATCTGGATCAGATGGACATGGAAAAATACATCGCTTATAGGTTTTATCATCATTCAATGACGTTTCATTTTACAAATGTCTGGTAAAGTTTTGCGAATATTCGCGAAATTTTATTGAGAACAAAAAAATTATTCCACAGTGGTGATATTTCGTGAGATATTGAATAATAATACAACGTACAAACGGAATATTTTTTAGCGTCAATTTTATCAAACGTTTCTCAGAAATTTGTAAAAAACTTGAAAAATCGAACAATAATAATTTCATTCCGATAAAATTCAGCTTTTAAAATTTTTCTGGGAAATTATCGATGGGCTTTACGCAAAAAAAATAAAATACGTTTTTGTATTTTGTCATTATCCACTGGTAATAATTTAATATTTAATAAATTTGTCAGAAAAAAAACGAGAATTTCGTCAGAAGAGGTGTAGAACATCCTTAAGAAAATTTCCATTTCTACAGCCAATCGTGTCAAATGTGAATTTTATTATTTCGTCAATACTCGCTGTGAAACGTACTCTAATTTCGCAGACGAAAAATCTCGTTTAAGTTTTCGGTAATAGAAGGTGGAATTTAATTCCGTTCTTCAGCAGCCCTGAGATATCCGGTGTGAATATTAAATGAAAAATTTTGGGGTGAACTTATTTGATATCATAAGGGGACTGAAAATGTTTTGGAATTTACTGTTAACTGCATTAGAATGAGGAATTATTTCTGCCAGGCAAAAATATTTTTCCTCCATGATTCCGCAGAGGCTAAAGCTCCCAAAGCTCTTCATCATTGAACACCAAAAAGAGAAAAAACGAAAAACAGACTTTTACGACTCTCTTAAACCCAAAAGTATCGAGACCTGTACATAAACAAAGAAAACAGATATCTTCATGTTTGAATGGTTTCCACGCGCTATTTTTGCCGGAAAGTGCTCCGCGGTGATTGACGTGAATGGGATTTGTAACTGATGATGGAAATAAAATTCCCACGCAGAAAGACATTTTTGGATTCTTTATTAAAAGGCACAAGATTTTGCATTCCCTGCAGTAGACAGCATAGGCATTTAATTGCATTTGAGAATTCCGCCTTCTCCAATTAGTAAAGATATTAATCATTGGCGGAGAAATCTCGTTGGCTTTGCTTGTGATGACCACTAATTATTCGCGATTTATTTCGTAAAACCATGAAATGCGCGTTGAATTCAATAACGAAGAATTTCCTCTCTAGTGGAGCGTTCAAGGAATATCTGTTTGTAAAATTTTCGCGAAACCTTTTTGTTCCCCTCATTTGACTCTACAAAAAAGGTCGTGAAAAAAATTTACTATCTCCCCTAAATCCAGAGATATTCCCCGGAACTCAAATAGGAAAGAGACCGAATTGTTACAACTTCATTATTGAATTCCCATCCTTTAGACGAATACTCTAATCTATCTAATATTAATTAATCCAACGATCCTATTTCTCCAAAATTGTCCCATCACCTGAAAATAATACAAATTCACAACAAAAAAAAACAAATAAATACATAACAACTTGATGAATGATTCATTAAATTATCAATTATTATAATAATGCATAAATAGAGATTGATTTTTTATCGACAAATATCGCGAGATGCTCTCAAAAGCAGTTATTTATAAATGATTTTGTTTTGTGATCTTTTTCCACAAATTTGTGATTTCTTCTTTTATTTTCCACTGAAATCAAGGCCAATTTGATTTCAATTCAGATGATCTTTTGCCGGATGTATTAAATGAAATTTTTTTTTAATGACTTGACCTATTAAATCGCTAAATTTTCGGTCAATTATTGTGGGACGAATTGCACAGTAGCCGGGAGAGCTGCTGAATTATTTATCATTTGATATTATTTCACAATTCAACATCTTCTTCCTTGGCCTTTGGTGCTTGCTTCTGGTCCTTGTACTCATCATCCTCTCTAATAGTTGCGTGTACGTCAGCGACTTCAACCGGTGGTGGTGCAGTAGTTTGTATCGATCCATCGTCCACTGCAACTTCGAAACCTATGGTGGCACCTATTTTTTGACTCGCCTGCTTGAACGAATCTGACAGCATCACCTGAAATTAATTGACCAGTTCAATGATCGAGGGGATAGAATGTCGTGGTGGATCCCTACCTGGACAACGTTGATGCACATCGACGTGAGGGCGAGGCCGAATACGAGGTAGACTATAGAGCACATCATGTATATAGGGTGCTGATGGACAGAGAAAAAGACGAGTTGAGAACTTCGAGTGCTAGAAATAATTCTTACGAAATGGGAAAATCTTGCGTAAGGTCGCTCCCGTATGCTAGACATGATTTATGCTTTTTTTTGTCTTTGAACTAAGAAGTGCTGGGAAATGGGGGAGTAGTCATGAAAAATTGGACAGTAAATCGAATTATTGGTGATATTCAGAAGCAGCGAATTGAGATTTATTAATAAGTGTAAAAACAATATTCCTTCTATTTTAGGAATAAAAGAATCCAGGATTTTCCCTGATATTCCCTGAGAATTCAAAAAATCCTGGAATTTGACAGTAAACACAAGGGTAAAATTGCTGAACTACAACTACACCTACAACTTGAGTGCTAGTAATAAATTAAAGATAGCTGAGAGCTCCTTACCATCTAGGATTGAGCATGAAAAAGAGCATGAAGCATCGGTTAAGTACTTTCTACACATTTGAACCCCCCAGAGCCCCGAACAGTGATCACCTCACCTTTGGTACAAAATCTCCAAAGCCAATGGTGCTCATGGAAATAAAAACGAAGTAAAAACTCTGGAAGAAGTTCCAGTCCTCCCAAATATTGTACGCAGTGGCGCCGACGAATATATATGCAAGGAGAAGAGTTATAGCAACGGAAATGGGCAGATTGAATTCGTCATCAATCTCAAAAGCCGAGAAGGCAGGTGTACCCGGTGTATCGGGTTGAGGTAGAGGTGTATTTCCATCGAGACTGAGAACGGTCTGAGGTGTTTGTCTGCTCATCTCCTCGATCTCCTCTGGATTCATCTGGGAGGGACGACGAAACGTCGCAAAATCGTACACTAATTGAACTCCCTTCATCACCTCCTGAAATAAAAATAACCAGAGGGTGGAATTCACGAGGTTTTTTTGTCTGTCGTCCTTGGCGACACGAGGGGTCAATTGATTACCTGAACTGGGGCAGTCCTCCGGACTCTCCGGCAACTCCCAGTGTAGTAAACTCGTCTCACAAATGCCCAGAGGAACTTCATCCCTCTGGTGAACAACTTACCGAAATCTGCCAAGATTATTAGGAACATGGGAATACCGAAAATTGCGTAGATTATCGTCATTGCTTGTCCTGTCGAAGTCGTCGGGTAGATGTGACCGTACCCTGCAACACAATAAGTCCTTTTTTTCAATCAATAAATTAATAAAAGTAAATTACCATTTTTACATTAAAACATTTTTAAAAACACTTACAAAATAACATTAATAACATGAATTCATTCATTAAATTGATTTTTATCTGATAATACTACTATTTAAAATGATTATTTTTTAAAATAAAAATAATTAATAAAGAATTGGAGCATGTTCGGGGATTTTTCAGTTAAAAATGAATAACTCCACTGCTACAATTGTTCTATAAAAATTCATAAAAATGTTGAGAAAATTTGTAACCAATTGTAAACCAATTGTTCTAAAAAAATGGACAATAAGGAATTTGAGGGATTTTCCTGAAGATTTTTCCTCTTCAATTTTCGCGGAACAATTTATTCTAATTTAACAGTTCCCACTAGTTTCTCATGGTATAAGAGAAATTGTTGACAGTCTACGTAATTATATATTTTTACTGAGATTTCGAGATTTCCTCGAGTTTGAGGTTTTCTAAAAATTCCCCTGATTTCATTCCCCTCCGTTATCAAACAATCGTGGCCTCACCGATAGTAGTGATAACCGTCAGACAATAAACAAAAGCATTAAGAAAGCTCCAGGTCTTCTGTCCACTGTAAGTATGCAGTCCAGCGTCATACGCCTCATAAAGCTGCTCCTCAAATTCCTTGAGCTTCCTCCTGGCCATACTCTTCCAGTCGTCCTCCCTCAAATTATGACTGTAATTCCACAGGCTATCCAAGAAATCGCGCTTCACCCTTTTCACCCCGCACTTGTAAAACTGCTCGAATGCGCCCTCCGTGAATCGAAAAATAAAAGCACCAACCCCACAATAAATAATCATCAGGACGAGTTCTGCAACACAGCGGTTCCTGTGTTTCCTCAGGATGTCAGTTTCCCTGGGGTTTTCACTGACATAAATCCTGAACTCAGCCCTGATATCAGACGATAATCTCAAGTACTCGAGAAACCGTGAGCCTCTCAGGCCCTTCCGCTTCTCTCGTTTTTCCTCCGGCTTTTCCTTCGGCTTTTCCTCCAACTTCTCCTCGAGTTTTTCCTCTGGCTTCTCCTCCACCTTCTCCTTCTTCCTCGATTTAAAAAACCACGACCACAACCACGAGTCCTTCACACCCTCAACCTCCCCCTCCTCACGTATTTCTTCACGTCCATCCACTTCAAGTTTACTTTTACGCCTTTTCCGCTTCCTGAGAGCGGCCTCGACCCTGGGTCTGACATAATCGTCGAGACCGACGTCGAGGATACCAATTTCCCGTCTCTGGTACTGCTGCTGGGCAATTTCGAGGTCATGAATTAGAGAGTCATTGCTCAATGGAATAATCTGTTTAACGACACGTGGAGGAGAGATCTCCACATCCTGACGAGGCTGTTCATCGCGTTGTGAAACCTCCACTGCCGCCCCAGCCTCCTCCAGTTCTTTAATCTCCTTCACCTCCTTCACCTCTTTCACCTCCTTCACCCCCTTCCTCTCCTTCCTCTCCTGTCTCTCCTTCCTCCCCTCCGTCTCCTCCCGCTGTCGCTCCCCAGAGCAGGACCTCCTGGACTTCCTGGACTCATCCGAAAAGTATTTCCGTGTTCCCAATTCCTCCCCAAGAGATCGACCCCCCCGTGGTGGCGCAATAGGCTCCTCACTCTTCGAATATTTCCTCACTCCCTCATCACCCCTCCGCAACAACTCCTTCCTCAGTCGCCTCGGCTTCTTCTCCCTCTTCTTCTCATTTCTCTCAGCCTCGCTCTTGCTGGATTTATCATCATCAGCGCTCGATCCACCGCTGCTCAATCGCTCCTGCGATCGTTTGGCACGTCTTCGGGGCGCATCTCTCCCTCGTCTAACAGTTTCCATTCTATTTTCATGACTGACATTTTCTGTCACTTTAAAATCATCCAAATCATCGTCATCCCGTGAACTTGTCACTCCAGGTCGAGAAATCTCCTCAGGTTTGTTGTCATCAATCTGTCCATTGGCCCCAGCTGTCTCCTCACTGGCAAGTGCCTCCATTCGCTCCGTATCCTCCACCATCCGTTCAATTCGTGCTCTCGCCTCTCTCGCCACCACGTCCTCCTCCTCCCCCTGGATGTCCTCCACCACTTCTCGAACGGCATCCGGAGTTTTATCACGTCTCCTCGCTGATGCCGCTGCTTTACGACGCCTGTGCACCGCGTAACTCTCCTCCATGACACTTTTATTTCCCTCTATTTCCCTCTATTTCCTAATATTTATCTTATGCACCAGGCAAATGAGGAATCACTAGGTTACCGAGGAATTACTTGAACGGAACATGAACGTTGTCGCACCGAGATGCTTCTATGCGGACAAAAATAAAGCTCGAGCTCCCACCACTCCACCCAGCATCCACTATATATCTCAACGACTCCTTATTTTGTTACCCATCCCCTCTCGAGAGAGGTCCTATTCCTCACCCTCCTCATTACTTTCAAGTAACAGTTCGTTTATTCTAGATGAAGAGCCGTCAAACAACAGTTTGCTATCCTTAATCATCCATTATCCATTACTCTCAGCGCACTCGAGGGTGAAACTCATGATTCCGGATAACTTGCTGTCACTAGGCCAGAATTACACTGAATTCGTGTCTCATCTCTCGCTTTTATCTTTCACTTCTATTTTCACTTACGTAATATGTCGCACTGATTCTCGAAATAGTGGAACGCGTGGGATCAGCCGATTTTTATTTGAATTCCACTGATTCTTTCAGCTTTGGAATATATTTAGGCGCGCGACAGGGAGAGGAATGACTTTTTTTTTCAGGAGAGAAGAGAAATTCTTTTACTTACCGATCGTTGTGTAAATTGTGCCGCAATAGAAGACTGCGTTCCAGAAGGTCCAGAGGTCTTCCTTCGTGTTCATAAATCCGTATTTGAAGTGGTCCCGTAATTTGCTCTCGTAGTCTTCGATTTTATTGGCCACCTGGCCATGCCAGAGATCTCGCTGATTGAAGATTACTTTATTCTCACACAAATCCCGGATCTCGAAGACGGTTTCATTCCTGAGGAATTATTACATTGATGATGATTTTATGAGATTATTGTTGCAGGGGTTGATTGCAAACAATGGCAATGGGCGCACCTATCCTGGTGAATTGTCCGCTCCAGTTTTGTTTCCTGACCACCCTCGATGTAGATGAAGAGGAAGGCACCGGCTATGCTGTACAGGAAGACCACCACCACCAGGAATATATGGGTGAACCATCGTTTACTCCAGGAACTCACCTGGGGCATAGAAATTATTGCGGTGGGAGCAAACCTTCGGTGAGAGGCACACAGTATGATAAATAACAATTTAAATATAGGAAATATTTAATAGGGATAGGAATATTAAAGAAATAGAATTCAAATTCTGTTCAACTCGCTGATCGTGATCTGAGATAAAATAAAAATTCATAATAAAAATCATGAAAATGACACGAATTTGAGACATGATTTGGGGAACATCAATAATTTATTTGGTGATCACTTGATTGATTTTGGTTGACATTCCTTACTTTTTCGTACAGCCAAAACGCACTTTTTTCTCCTACACTCAACCCAGATTTCGTGAAGTCCTTGATACCCTTGATTTGAGCGAAAACAAATTCACTGGCTTTATTATAGTACATAACTTGTGGCTGGTTGGAGCCAGGAGTTGGGGGGACCGGTGTTTGGCCATACGGTGTGGCCATGTACCCGACAGGAGTCTGAGGATAATGGGCATATTGTCCAGGAACCGGAAGAGTTATCTTCGGTCTAGGTCTCTGCCTCTTCGGCTTCGGTGACTCCGACATTTTCCACCGTTTTAACTCCAATTGGTATCAGGGTTTAATTATTTTTCCTTCTCGACGGTGTTGACCCCTCCATATTACTCCACAAAAATTCTGTAGAAAATTGTCGAATGTCTTGTCAATGGGACGGGGAATCTGGCAGAACGGATTCCCCAGGTTTATGAGGGAGAAAACGGAACGAGATTGTGTCGCTTTGGCGTCGCGACGTCGACTGAGGTATGAGGATAATCTTCGGGGGGTACTTTTCAAATCTCGCCCGCCCAATTTTCCACGACTGCGCGCGACTTCTCAACCCGTTCGTCAACCCCTGGACTCAATCAATTTTCTGTTTATTTATTTTTATTCATCGCCTGCGTGTTGCGTCGATGGCGCCATAACATTACAATAATCATTACCAATTATTTGCACACGTTCGGATTTATTTGCAAGCTCCGGATTTCCCTACTTCCATTTCAAATACGTTCGTTGAAACGTTTGCTTGCAGTTATTTTTTTGATTCATTTCAATTTTAGAATTGTTTATATTGATAAATTACTCTGTTAAAAAATATCATTTAAAGTCCGTGTGGTAAGTGTCTTGCAATATTTCTATTAAATTTTCCAGGCATTTTCTCGTGGGAAATCCATAATAATGTCATCAAAAAAATTATGGAACCTCAGAGAATATATAATTCCATTTCCGACTCTCCAAATTTTGAAGGAATCCCATCAATTTTCCCCCAATCACCCGTTAATTAAAAATTGCCATTCGAATTCCCCAATTAAAACCTCAAAATTCCGTCAAAAACCGCGAAAAAGGCGCGATTTTCAAAAAAAAACTCTCATTACAAAACTTATCATAACGACAATGAACAATTAAAATTTTAAACATTTATTCCATCAACAATATTATATTCGCCGACTACACGACTAATTTTTGAATGGCGCAGATAAAGATAGAGAAAATGAAGAAAGGAGGTAGAATCCGTTGTACGAGCGTAAATGATGATTCCCCGGGTGAGACGCCCGCGCGCGAGGCGTCTCCGGGGTTGAGGCCGTTGAGAGTGTTGATGGTACCGGCCGGGCGCCACCATCACCATTAAAAAAAAAATAAACGGCGGCATCCAATTGGTGGAAATTCGTGTACGAGCTCCACCACTCCTGGTCGATCGACCTTGACGGGAGTATTCTAGAGTCCCGGAGGAAGCGGACTCTCTCGTTGTCGCGTTCGTCCATCCCGCAACGGCGTGTGTGAGAAAAAAAGACGGGTTTAAAACGTTAAAAGAGCGAGACGCCTTGTAGGCGAGTGCGAGGCAACGAAAGAGGAGAACAAGTAGACAAGGCAAAGAGACAACGGATAAAGTGTGTTAATCGTGCAATCCGGTAATTAATGCTGCATCTGGATTATTATTTGAGGGGATAAGTAAGGATTGTATAATCGTGCAAGAGTTTGACTGTCTGTCGGGATCGTATGCTACATTTTTCCCTGGCTTTTGTCGACCATTGTCATCCTTGTTGCGCGTGTAATGGCCGTCGTTGGGTTTGTTGACGCCGCACCGAGCTACCAAATTAATTTATCACATTTGCCATTTGATCCGACCAATCGAGCGTTCAATAATTCATCGGGTTTACCGTTTGTCGTTTTTTTTTTATTACCATTCATACGAGAATTTTAACCGTTTGCCAATGATTTTGGAGACCCTGGGCAAGGACTGTTTATGAACGGAGGGAGTGAGGCGACGTGGAGTGAGAAAAAAGGGAGACAGAAGCCGCAGAAACCACTTCACCTACATGAGCACACCAAAATCCACAAGATATCCAGGGTTTTCACATTTTTTTTTACGAGAGCTCGCGGTATATATCGAATAATTTGCGTCGAGGACAGTTTTTTCATCATGATTCAATAAATTTTTCCACCGATTGAGGCCTCACGGGCGGCTGACCTTTGCTCTCCACTTGCGTCCTGCAATTAGCTCATTTTTTTTCAACCCCCCTTTTTTTTTCTTTTTTCGTCTGTTTTTATGTGGATCGTCAGAGGTGATTGTCACAGTGGGAATTATTTTTGGGGAATTGATGGGACGTGATTGGATTTGGTACTGAACAAGAGTTTGAAGTAGTCGTGTGCCAGAGCAACGAGTAACGAGTAACGAGTACCACCGCCGCCGTCATGGCAACTTCACGATCATCCGGGTCTACCAAGCCGGACATGGAGATCGTAAAGGCTTCGTAGAAGTTATCACATGTGAGTAATCAACACGTATTTCATCATTTATTTTTTTTTCTTCCTTATTTTTTGTACATCTCGTCACATCTCCATATCTCAGATTTTTTTTTCTCCGTTATCATCGTCGACGTTTTTTGTAGTAAAGGAGTTAATGTTTTCGGCGGTTTTTGCCGCTGGGTCGCGCCTCTTTCGCGTGTGGGATAAATTTTTTTTGCCTCCCAATGATTATCTTTTTTGTTGTTCTTTTATACTGGAGCCTCTGCGGCGTGGCTTTTGATCAGGGAGAGATTTTTTTTCGGGGGAAATAATGCAACACCTGTTTATGGTTTTTTTGCCATTTTGTCGTATGTATGGGTTATACCTATAAATTTCTAGAGGAGAAATTCGGTATTTTATGATGTTCAATGGTCAAACGAGTTTAGTAGCTATTAAACAAACGATTTAATCATGCATCACTCACTGCTGTACACGTATGTCCCCATCACAAGTGACAAATCGAGAAAATTTAATTTCTTTTTATTTTGTATAATTGATGTCCATTGATTGCGCAGGATCAAAGGCAGCGCATCAATGGCCCTAGAATCAAATGGTAACAACGTGGTCTGGTTGAACGCAACCCGTCCTGATCAAATACAGCAGGTATGCGCCTCGCGCCCCAAGCAAGAGAAAAGAAGAACAATAATGTAGAGTTTAAACAAAGGGACGATCACCTACTGATTCTGTCGATATCCCATTTTAGGAATTTCAATTTTTTTTTCAATTTTTTTTCTTTTGAAGGGAGGCTATTGGCCTCATAGTAATTAATTATTCTCTGTGCAGCACGTTGGAAAGGACGACTCACTGCGGATAGAGCCCACTGAGGATCAGAGCCATCTCCAGCAGGGACAGCATCATCGATATCAGCGCAATCTCATTAAGATACCGAATCAACAGAGTCAACAGGTCGATCAGCCAGTAAAGTGTTCCATGTTTACTCAAACGGAGCAGACTAATAGTTTTACGCAAACTGAGCAAAGTAACTCCGGTTACGCTGAGCAGCGCCAGGTAATTTAATCGACAATTTTCCAACATCTTAAAAAATTATTCTCTTTTTATTTCTCAGAGTATTTTCTATTTCACGGTGAAGCACTTGAAAACATTAGCATAAAGATGTTATTCTGAGATTAATTTATTTTTAAATAGTAAAAAGTATTTTGAGAAGATGGAAAGACAGTTTTGGAGGGAAATTGGAATGATTGGCATCTCGGTATAATTGAAGGCTTTCTCAATTTATTTAGAATCAATTAAAGAATTTATAAAAAAAATTCCATTGCTTCTTATAAGGGGACGATTAAGATTATTTGGACTCCCAGAAGCTTTTTCGCGGTTTTTCAACGGTTTCCATTGAACAAAAGGATAAAAGGGTGAAAGTAAAAATTGCAGTTATTCCTGAATTTTTTAAATATTTCCTCATTGAATTTAATTGTGGATATTCTTAGAATCCATTGGATTGGTAGAATTATTTAATTAATGAAATATTTAATGTTACAGCCTCAACAGCAGGCGACAATGTTCGATCCTCAGCAAATCCAGCAGCAACAGCCTGCTCAGGGGCAACAGACCCAGCAGCAAGGCCAACAAATGCAATATGTAACCGAAAAAAAAGAGGAGAAACCCCAGCAACAAGCAACAACAGCTGAATTTCCCTTTTACTACAATGTCAATATGCTGCAGAAGGTACAAACAAACACAGTGAGCACGATTGGTGCTATAACAACCGATGACAAAGGCTGTTATCGTTTTGATGTACAGCCAGTTGGTTACAATACACTGCTAAATCAAATGAGTCTAGCAGCAGCAACAAATGCTGCAACTTTCAAGTGTGACATATGTGGCCTGGTCTTTGGACATTTAAGTCTGTTAAATCATCACAAGAGACTCCACAATTCGACACCTAGCAATTTACAACAGCCTCAACAGGTTGTCGTACAGGCACCAACGACTGTCACTGTAGCAACAACACCTGAACGACCGTACACGTGCGATGCTTGTGGTGCTTGTTTTGCATTACCTGGGGAATTGAAGAGTCACAAGACTAATATGCATCAGAAGCCTAAGGTCCAAGTGTGTGAGGAGTGTGGGAGTGAAGACCCCTGTGAACATCATCCTACTAAAGTCAAAAAGGGTGAGTTGGTAATTTTTTAATTCGGGGGTTCAATGAATCAGTGGCAACTGACATAAATCGGGTTCAGCATTTCCTTCGATATCGATTTATTTCGAAAAGTGTAGGTTTCAATATCAATCCCTACTTAAAGAATTTTATTTTAGAAAGTTTTTTGAAAATCTGACCAATTAAAACCAATATTTCGCATAGCAGTAAATAATATTTGATGTACATTTCAATTCGTTAAAATATCGAAATTTCATTTTTTAATTTGATACTACCCTTCTGATAGATTTCAAAGTGAGTGATGCCCCTCAAATGAATTATTCTACAGTCGTCGATAATAATAAAAATTTTTTTATTTAGCAATCAAGCCTGGCCATCATCCTGTCAAACGAAGGGGCGTCACTAGTGTAACCAAGTGCCACAAATGCAATGGAACGGGAATCATTTTCATTGGTAGGTTTTACTCTCATTCATTTCGGGGACAATATGAAAAAATGTCACAATCGATAATTTCACTAATCTCACACAGAGCGAAGGGATTTCCCGATAATTTAATTAATGAGACTGACATTTTTTCACTGACTATTATCACTTGCATCCTTTCGATCATATTGTCATTTCATTGCTGTCATGATCGTACATCGGGTGATGTATGATAGGTAAAGACGACGAAAAACTAGATTCTGGACTGAGTTCCCTTGCGAAGTGTGGCGGCTGCAAGGCAACAGGCCGCATCATCATAGGAAGTAAGTCGGACAAAATCACAGCCAAGGAATCGGGGGGATTTCCATCATCTTATTTTCATTATCATTCATTACTCGCTGGTGTATGTGATAAAGAAATCCCCCTGGTTTTAGATGATGACAGTTCTGATTTAACTTCTGTTTATTGTTGATTTCCCCCATTTCGAAATTCTCCTTTTCTGTATAAAAAATTTAATTCTACTGGCCTGTGACGATTTTGAAAAATCACGGTTGTTTCCCCTCAAATTGATACGTTCGGAGAAATTTCGAGAGTATTTTGAATGATTCAATTGTGAAATAAACACATGCATGTTCCCGTAGTTTTGCTAGTTCAATAATTGATCGAGATAGATGAATTCGTCTCGATGATGATAAGGAAGTATAGAACTGTCGGCATCTAAATGTAAGGACGATTAAGCGAAAAGAAATCTCCCCTAAGGGACAGTTTTATAAATGTTGAAAATTCATCCTCACATATCGACGCATCAGAGCATTTTCATATTTAGTGTACAGCAAAATGTGGACTTTTTTTTTTAATCATTAACATCCATCAGAGCACGGGCCACAGACTAGCACAAACCAGTGAGACTCGAAATTTCAGTTGAATGACAAAAGCATCGTGATTTATCTCACGTTATTGAGATGGATATCACGTTAATGATGTTTGTAGAACTGGCCCTTGAGGAAAACTAACACTTCGGTGCGATTTGTCATTGCAGGCGGCAAGCAAAACCAGAACCAGCCGGAGAAGCCGTTTCACTGTAACGTTTGTGATGGAACATTTTCACGCTACTCATCGCTCTGGTCACACAAGAGACTCCACTCTGGGGATAAACCGTTCAAGTGCGAAGTCTGTGGTTTGGCCTTTGCGAAGGGTACGTACAACTATTTATTATTAAATTTCAACTTCAAATCTTTGAAGTCAAAATTTTCATTTCAATTCTTTAATATCACATTTTTTTTTTATCCATAATTTACAAAAAATTGATTTTCACTAAAATTCCATTCCATTTTTAATCCTAAAAAAAATATGTATGAAAGCCTGGAGTAGTATGGACAACTGGGGTAAAATGGACCCTCATTAAAAATTGTTCCGTTATATTACGTTGTTAAACAAAAATGGGTTTTAAAATTTTTTACTAAAAAATCGGACTTGACATTCCAGCTGCTTACTTGAAGAATCATGGACGCGTGCACACTGGCGAAAAACCATTCAAGTGTAGCGTGTGTGGTATGCAATTTTCACAGAGCCCACACTTAAAGAATCACGAGCGCATACACTCGGGTGAGCGTCCCTATCAATGCGAAGTCTGTGAGAAAACATTTGCGAGACACTCGACACTGTGGAATCATCGTAGAATTCATACTGGTGAAAAGCCTTACAGGTGTAACACCTGTGGGTCGGCTTTCAATCAGGCAACTCACTTAAAAAATCATGCTAAAGTCCACACTGGGGAGAAACCTCATAGGTAATTATTATTTTTTATGAAATCCAATGAGAATCTGTCGTAATAAACATGGATAATTTGAATGATTTAATAAAATAAAAATGTGGATATTTTCCAGATGCGATATTTGTGAAATAGGATTTTCGGATCGTTTTGCCCTAAAACGGCATCGTGCAATTCACGAAAAGTATGGACAAACGGCGAGAAATCAGAATGCCAATAGTGCGAGTAACTCGCAACAGCCAAATACGAGTAATCCACAGCAACAGCAGCAGCAGCAGCAGCAGCCAAACACGAGTAATCCCCAGCAGTCACAGCAGGCCCAGCAGCAGCCACAGCCACAGCAGCAGACGCAACCTGGCCAGCCACAGGTAGTCGTTGTGAATGCAACAACACCAGTCACTGTAAGCCAGGGCCAGGGACAGGCAGTGATGCTAGATGAGGTATACAAATGCCAAGTTACTTTTCCAGAGCCTAAATGATTTGACAGTTGAGAAGAGGACACATGCCAAATGCTGTGCTGAATAACAAACGAGAGAGTTTATTATCTTTGTTCTCCATCGAGACAACAAATTCGGGAGATACTATTTCATTATTTTTCCTCCCTTTCTTTAACTCTTTATTTTTCTTTTTCTTCGTCATTCACCATCGTATGGTGTGTGTTATATCTGTGGAACAAGGTTCAACTTGTTTGAATAATAAATAATTTTAACGACCTGTGCCGACGATAGACATTTTTTAAAATACGCTTTACACGGATTAATGAAAAAAAAAACTAATGATAATGATTATGAAAAATCACCAGTTTGTTCGAGAGTTGATGACGTGGTGATTCGAATTTAATGAACATTAACATCTTGTCTGTGAAGAAGTTGACGAAGTTATGAATGATAATTGATACTGCAGAAACGATAAATGAGTATCGAACAGGCAGACTAATCTGTTTTATAATTTTAAGGCCGAATACTATATTACGAATATCAGTTATATACTATAGAAAGAATAGTTTGTAATAGTGAATAGCTGATTAGAGTAATTATGCATATAAAACGTCGATACATTATTTTTTTCTTTCTTTCCAACAATTGTAAACAGAGCGGTCGTGATTGATCGTTATTATGTCCCATTAAAAAAATTCTTATTTCATGTAACTAGTATCCGCTTTAATCAATAATTTGCTATTCAGGAGTAACAAATTGTTGAGACATTTGTAATGATTGATTATATATTTTTATTCTCGTAGTGAGTGTCTCGATAGGCGGGGAAATGGACGCGAATCAAAGTACTGTTTATGAAAATTGTTTTTTTTGGGGCACGAAGACAAGAGTTATGGTGCAGCTTTTTCTAATGAAATTTTTCATTCACTCGTCACAACACAATGCACCTGTTATTATTGAGTCGTTTTATCTTCAGGATTTTGCATGGATTTAAATTCCCTTCTGTTAATTTTTCTCTTCCATCACTCTAGTGATACACAAAGTTTTTTTTAAGAATTTCAAACACAAGATCATTTATTCATTTTGTAAATTAATGTTTATTGTAAAACTGTTACGTTATATTTCCTTCTGAACGTAAATACGGTCATAATACCTGCTACAGTATTTCGGATTAGATTAGATACAATTTATCTATCAATGTTTCAATACATTTTATTCTGCCTATTGAAATCGTCAAATCAGTTTTTAAAAAAACATCTTAAGTGAATTTATTATTGTGATTTAGTGGGCACCTGAAGCAGCAAAGTGGAGTTCCAGAGGCTGAATGACACGCTTTTTTTACTATTTAGTTTATTTTCTATTCTATTTTGACTGCGTTCACTGACAAGAAGTTTATATCGCTATTGAATCAATCCCCTGTGAAAATTATTTGGTAGGTCAGGCTCTGCATACTCAATAAAACATATTTTTTCATTGATTTTTTTTGTTCCCTAATGGTCAGCCTCGTCTTACGAATTCCACTTGTAAATATCTGTGAATTTTTTAATTATCTGATAATTGTAATGAATTGTCTTCCTACAGTTGCGTAAGAGAACCTGACCTGCCAACTTTAAATTGAATTGATTAAAATTTTCCATTATTCATTCGTTTGCTTCTTGAAAATTGATTTTTCTTCTCACCCAAATGTTGATTTATCAGTCAACGCGAGAAATAAATGGGAGACGTATAGGGATTTGAGTGTTTGTTCTGTACAAGATACTCAGTGAGTCATGGGGAATAAAAATCTTGATCCCCGGAGGCCAATTGGAATGGTAGACCTACAGAGTTTCATTTGTCCCCTTTTTTATTATAAATTTGTGGTAACCCGTTAACTATTGTACAGCGTACAAACTCAGATGTACCTATGATAAAGAAAAAAAAACAATTAGCCTAAGTTTAGAATTAATTGAATTCTCTGGCATCGCGGATAGTGTTTAAATATTTTTTATTGGCAAGAGGTTAAACGTAATAAATTAAGTGAATGAATAAATAATATGTGCAAGAATTTTTTGCGAGCACTATCCAAGCTGATTTATTTTTGCGATACCGAAAATCGATTTTTAGTCCTAGAATTTATATATGAAAGAATGATATATATTATAAATACATTATAACTATTGTTTTTTTCTTCTGTTGATTATTCAGGCAAGTCTTGACTTATTGTACATGTTGGAGCTTAATGAGTATGAGTTTAACAGCGTTTATTCATTGGTGTGTCCAACTAATACACGATAACCAGAAAATTTTTGTATGAAAAAAAAACATTCGACAACCTCTGTAATATTTAGATTTATTTACTGTCAATATAGAGTAGGAGTTTGGGGGATACGTACGTGTACCATACTAATTACTTCGTCTAGATGAGGGCTGGGGGAGCAACGGATTACTTGAGAAAAGTAACACAACCCAATTAGCACACACGATATATAAGGAATTAGATATTAATAAATATGTCTCGTGAGACATTTCAATTTTTTACATCATGTGTTTGTTGATTACTCTTGCCAATTTCTGCCGATTCAATTATTCGTCAATTAATTAATGCAGAAGATGGAACCTTCGATTCTCTCAGAAGGTAAGAAGACCGGTTTTATTTAAGTAATAATATTCAACTATTTTTTTTATCGCAACAGATTGCAATTATGAACGTCGGTGCGAATTATTTAAAAATTTGAAATTTAATTTATTTCTTTATATATATTATATATATTGTTTATATTTCTAAGAGTAACTTCAATTTTTTACCCCCATGTGACCCCCTTAACCAAATTCAATTAACCTTAAATCAAAAAACCCTCTCCTGGGGTGTCCATCAAGTCAACGGGGTGAATTTTATTTTCTGCGGTGTGAATGCTTTTTGTTTTTTATGTATTTAACTGAAATTTAGCCGACTGTAGAACGTGCGGAAGGGGGAAACCACATCTTATAGAATTTCAATGGAATAAATTATTCAATATGTTGAAGATATACCACTAATAAAATTATAGTTTTATAGTGAGCGCGTTGTCTACTCGGCAATGCGCTTGACTGGCACGCGGACCGCTTGGGTTCGATACCAGCATCATTCTTTTTTTTTTTTCAAAATAATTCCAATTTTTTTTTTATAAATGGCTAATCGTTGGCAATATCGTTTAAAAACTGAATTTTTGAAAATCGGGAAGATATCCAGTGAAATTGAAAAATTAGCAATTTTTTAAAACGATACTTTTGCTAAATATATACTCCTAATGCAATAATATTATTGTAATTATGCGTTATCCTAGCGGTAACGTGCTTGGCTAGCACGCCGACGGTCCGGGTTCGATCCCGCCGTCATTCATTTTTTTTTTAAATAATTCCAATTTTTTCTTT